AATCTCTGGACATGAGAGACGCTATGTTCCTTTCCAACTACTGAACTCCTGATCTGGTCCAGAGGCAACAACTGTGTGACAAGCAGTTGCTCATCACATTTCAACAGAGCAACTGGTGTTCCAATCAGATGAGGACAGCAAAGTCAATAAATACATAGCAGGGACTTTGTTTGACAGCACCAGTAATCAATAAGATAGTTATCACATGTGATTTGACTAGTCAGCACCAACTTAGAGTTTTTTCCTTCTTTGCTTTATGTAAATCCTATAATTACCTCTTCCTTCTTTCTCATAAAACCCCCTTGCTTTCCCTACAAGAGTAAGATACTGTTCTGGTTACTTCAGAATCTGTGCTTCCCGAATTGCAATTCTGAGACCCCGAACAAAGACCCTTTGTCCTTCTTCAGTTCTAACTCCTTTCTTTGGTTGCCAACAGAGAAGATAAAAGGGCAAATATGTCAACAATTGAGGATATACAGGAATATGGTAAAGAGCATATAGGGATTGCCTAATTATCCAGCTTTTCTATTGGTTTTTAATTACTTCCAAGTAAAAAGTTAAAATATAGAATTGGTTGCATAAATTATGGTATGTCATGGATAATAGAAAAATATGTAATTGTCCTAAACAATTCTGAAAATCTCCCTTGACATGGAAAGACATCACCAATATATTAAATGAAAAATAGTAAGTTGCAGGGCACCTGGGTGGCTCAGTGGTTGAGCGTCTGCCTTCGGCTCAGGTTGTGATCCAGGGGCCCTGGGATGTAGTCCCACATTGGGCTCCCCACAGGGAGCCTGCTTCCCCTTCTGCCTATGTTTCTGCCTCTCTCTGTGTGTCTCTCATGAAGAAATAAATAAAATATTTTTTAAAAATAGCAAGTTGCATAGTATGTAGAGTGTAATTTGGGGGAGGTAGAAAATGCTAATAAGATAAAGTCTAAAATGATATAAAGCCAGGTGTTAACACTCGTTGTCTCGTTGTTGTTTTTTTGTTTTTGTTTTTGTTTTTGTTTTTGTTTTATGATGAGCATCTCTTAGTTCTCTAACCAGAAAAGAAGAATTTTTTTTCTGTGGGCAGGCAGGAGGAAGCAGGGCAGACAGGACAGCAACCAGGCAAATAACTACCATTACTATGATTTCATGGTTAAAATACCACATTCTGTTTATTTTTATAGAAAGAAAATATATATAATACAATGAGTCCAGTCATGACAGTAGGAAACTAGAAATCAATTATAAGAAAAAAAACTAGGGGAATAAACCACAAGAACACTAAACAACATGCTAGCAAACAATGGATAGGTCATGAAGACATCAAAGGGGAAATTTAAAAATATATGGAGACAAACAAAAATGGAAACACAATCAATGAAAATCTTTGTGGGGGTGCCTGGCTGGCTTGGTTGGTAGACCATGTGATGCTTAGATCTCAGGGCCATGAGTTTAAGCCCCATGTTGGGCATGGAGCCTACTTAAGAAAGAAAATATCTTTGGTACACAGCAAAAACTGTTCTAGGAGGGAAGTTTATAACAATACAGGCTACTACAAGAAACAAGAAAAATCTCAAGCAATCAACTCTTACACCCAAACGAGCTAGAAAGAAAACAAAGCCCCAAGTTAGTAGAAGGAAGAAGATAAAAAAAAGATTCGAGTGGAAATAAATGGGGGAAAAACAGATCAATGAAATAAAGAGCTAGTTCTTTGAAAAGATAAAAAGAAAACCTTTAGGCAGACTCATCAAGAAAGAGCAAGTACTCAAGTAAAATCAGAAATGAAGAAGAAATAACAACCAACAGCACAATACAAAGAATTATGAAAGGATACTCTGAAAAATTATATAACAAATTGGAGAACTTAGAAGAAACACACAACCTGCCAAAACTGAATGAATAAGAAATAGAAAATTTGTTATTAGTAATAAAATTGAACCTGTAATCAAAAAACTCCCAAACAAAAGTCCAGGACTAGAAGGCATCACTGGTGAACTCTATCAAACATTTAAAGAAGAGTTAGTACCTATTCTAAAACTATTTCAAAAAATAGAAGAGGAAGGAAAACTTCCAAATCCATTCTACAAGGCCAGATTTACCCAGATTCCAAAGCCAGACAAAAACACCACTGAAAAAGAGAACTAGAGGCCAATATCCCTGATGAACACAGATGCAAAATCCTCAATGCATTACCAAACTAAATCCAACAGTAAGTTAAAAGGACCATTCACCATGATCAAGTGGGATTTATTCCTGGGATGCAAGAGTGGTTCAATACTCTCAAATCAATGTGATATATTACATTAATAAGAAGGATAAAAACCATATCATCATCTCGAGAGATCCAGAAAAAGGATTTGACAAAATATAACATTTATGATAAAAACTCAACAAAGTGGATTTTGAGGAGCATACCTCAACATGATAAAGGCCTTCTTTGGAAAAAAAAAAAAAAAAACCACAGCCAACATCATACTCAATGGGGAAAAACTGAGGGCTTTTCCCCTAACATCAGGAATAAGACAAGAATGTCCATTCTCACCACTTTTATTCAACAGAGAATTGGAAGTCCTAGCTACAGCTATCAGACAAGAAATAAAAGCATCCAAAATGACAAGAAGTAAACCTGTCACTATCTGTAGATGACATGATAGTATACATAGAAAACCCCAAAGACTACTAAAAAACAAACAAACACACACACACACACACACACACACACACACACAATCAGGATAAAGGAATTCAGTAAAGTCGCAGGATACAAAATTAATATTCAGAAATCTGTGGTGTTTCAATATGCTAATAATTAAGTAGCAAAAAGAAAAATTAAGAAAACAATCTCATTTATAATTACACCAAAAAAGAATAAAATATCTAGGAATAAATTTAACCAAGGAAGTGAAAGACCTATACTATAAAAACTATAAGACAGTGATGAAAGAAGTTGAAGACACAAACAAATGGAAAGATATTCCATGCTCATGGACGGGAGGATTAATATTGTTAAAATGGCCATATTACCCAAAGCAATCTACAGATTAAATGCAGTCCCTATCAAAATACCAATGGCAGGATGCCTGGGTGGCTCAGCTGTTGAGCATCTGCCTTTGGCTCAGGGTGTGATCTGGGTCCATGGATCGAGTCCTGCATCAGGCTCCCTGCGAGGAGCCTGCTTCTCCCTCTGTCTATGTCTCTACCTCTCTCTGTGTCTCTCATGAATAAATAAAATCTTTTTTAAAAATGCCAATGGCATTTTTCACATAACTAAACAATCCTAAAGTTTATATAGAACTACGAAAGACCCCAAATAGCCAAAGAAATCTTGAGAAAGAAGAACTGGAGGTATCCTATCCCAGATTTCAAGAAATACAATGAAGCTATAGTAATTAAAATGTATGGTACCTGATTTATATGGTCAAGTAATGTATGACAAAAGAGTCATAACATACAATGAGAAAAACAAGTGTCTTCAACAAATTATGTTGGGAAAACTGGACAGCAACATGTGGAAGAATGAAACTGGGCCACTTTCTTACACCATACACAAAAATAAAGATATAAATGTGAGACCAGAAACCATAAAGATTCTAGAAGAAAACATAGGTAGTCATCTCTTGGACATTGGCCTTCACAACATATTTACAGACAGGTCTCCTGAGGCAAAGGAAAAAAAGAAAAATAAACTACTGGGACTGTACCAAAATAAAAAAATTTTGCACAGGAAAAAAAGACAAGAAACAAACAAAAGAACTCAACAAAACAACAGTGACTTACTGAATGGAATAAGATATTTTCAAATGATACACCCAAATAAAAGTTTAATATATCCAAACTATATAAAGAACTTCCACAACTGAACACACACACACACACACACACACACACACACACAAATAAATAAATAAATAACCCTGAATAATTCCCTTAAGAAATAGGCAGAGGACTTGAATAGACATTTTCCCAAAGAAAATAGATAACTAGTACACATATGAAAAAACGCTCAACATCGCTAATCATTGGGGAAATGCAAATCAAAACCACAATGAGATTGTCACCTTACACCTGTTAAATAGCTAGTATCAAAAACACAAGATATAAGTATTGGTGGGGATGTACAGAAAATGGAAGGCTCTTGCCTCATGGGTGGGAATGTAAATTGGTACAGCTACTGTGGAAAACAGTATGGAGGCTCTTCAAAAATTATAAATAGAAATACCATATGATCCAGTAATTCCACTGCTGGGTATTTATCCAAGAAAGCAAAAACACTAATTAAAAAAGATCTATGCACCCTATGTTTATTGCAGCATTATTTACAACAGCCAAACTACAGAAGCAGCCCTGGTGTCCATAGGTGAGGAATGAATGAAGGATATGTGATTATACACACAAAGGAATATTACTCAGGCATAAAAAAGAATAAAATCTTGCCATTTGTGGCAAATGGATGGACCTATAAGTGTTATGATAAATGAGTCAAGTCAGAGAAAGACAAATAGCACAGGATTTCACTTATATGTGGAATCTTAGAAATAAATGAACAATAGATTCCTAAATACAGAGAAGAAACTGGTGGTTTCCAAAGGGAAGGTAGGGGTGGAGGATATATTTGTTCAAGTATTTTAGATATAACATACATGTATGTTTAAGTAGTTCAAGTACATCATATCTATAATATTTTATATATATTCAAATATTTTTATATATATTCAAGTAGTTCAAGTAGTATATTTTATATATAAAACATAGCATATATTATATTACATAATGTATGTATATTATAACATACAATATATATTATAAAACATATAATATGTATATGTATTATGTATATATATAATGTTGAAGAGGGAACATATACTTTTATAACCCCAAATATTAATGTTTTATGAAGACAAAAATGACTCTTAAAATTATTGCCTAAATATCTGTTAGAACCTTTATTTTGGCAACTACAGAAGAGAGTTAATACAAAAGGAATAAGAGAAAAATTAAACTTTATACCTTCTTGTAGTTAACACTCCCATTGTGAAGGTGGAGAAACTCGAGAGCTCTGTGTCCTGAGAGAGATATATAAATCAATTAAATTCAACTGGAACTGAAAACAGAACTTATTCAAAATATTTTAAAAGGAAAATGAGGGCACCTGGGTGGTGCAGTCAGTTGGGCATTAAACTCTTGGTTTCAGCTCAGGTCATGATCTCAGAGTCCTGTAATTGAGTCCTGCCTCGGGCTTCCTGCTCAGAGTGGAGTCTGCCTAGGATTCTCTCCCCCTCTCCCTCTGCCCCTCCTCTCTCTCTCTCTCTCTCAGATAAATAAATCTTTTTTAAAAATAAAATAAGGGATGCCTAGGCAGCTCAGTGGGTTAAGCATCTGCCTTGGGCTCAGGTCATGATCTCAGGGTCCTGGGATCGGATCAAGTCCTGCATCTGGCTCCCTGCTCAGCAGAGAGTCTGCCTCTCCCTCCCCTGTTCCTGCTTGCTTGCTCTCTCTAATAAATAAATAAAAATATTTTTAAAAATTGAATTAAAAAATAAAATAAAAGGAAAATGTAATTTGTCATTGTGACTGTCAAGGAAGTGGGAAATGAAAATTAAGTGTATAATCACTAGTAATTAACTACTAGTAATCCACTAGTAATTTTCATTAGACATAATAAGATAAGATTCATACAATATTTAGATTGCTAAAATACAAATCAAATTTGCATGGTGATTTGAAGTTTCTGCTTAGCTGGCCCCAGGGCCCTACTAAGCTAGATCTCACTTCCCCTCTAAGTGAAATTAAGTAAATAATTCCCACCTTACAGGTCTGTTGAAAGAGTCACACAAAATAAACGTGATGTGATAAGCGCAGTGGCTGATACACAGTAGTAGCTCAGTAAACAGGTGTCATCATCTTATTTTGCCTCAACAACTGACAGAGATAAATGAACCTAAGCAGGAAATATGATACACAGCCAAAACTATGGACTGAATCAATTACTCTCGAATGTTTTTCACCAGCTGAGCCACATTACATGGACAAAAAAAAAAAAAAAAAAAAATCCCAAGTCACCTGCTCCACCCACAGGCCAACACACAGACACACACATCCACACCCTGAATCTTCCTAGACTCTGTAAGGCGAACATGCCTTGTGAAGTCACATTCAAAGATGATACCTTACTTCTATTGTGAATCACATCCAATTTTGTAATTCATACAAAAATATAGCCACAACATAAGCATAATTCTCTAAGATACAAGTTCACAACCCATGCCAATAACCTGTGATTTACAGCTCAAACCACTGAACAAGGCCAATTCTAATTAACTCACACAAATGTCAGCCTTCCACACAGGCTTTACATAGAAGTGAAAACATGGACCAAAATATTTATAAAATCCTCTAAATAATTAAATGTTGGAGTTTTGTCTTTTACATAAAACTCCTCAAAATCTGTGCAAGTTAGGAGTGGTCTTCAATTATGTTCATGGAAACAAAGTTTTATATTATTTCACTCAGTGTAAGTTTAGGATATATTAATCTATCAGGATCTTTGGCACCTACTGAATACAGGTAAGCAGTTATCTGATTTTATTGAAATTTCATATTTCATCTGTGTTTAAACTCTAAGGATTTAAACTATTCCATTTATACTTATTCTTGAATATTTCTGTTTACTTATTCTTTTTCATCCCACTTATAGTTTTAGCAATTTCAATTTCAAAGAACTTACACTTGGAGAATATTCTCAAATTCACTGAGAAGTTCGGCCTCCTTAATTCACAGAAGAGGAACACAGAGAAAATGAACCGCTCTGAGTCACATCCTTAGTTTACAGCAGAGCTGATATCAGAACCTCAGTCTAACGCTCTTTTCTATTATTTCCTGACTCCCTGTTAGCAATAAATGTGCTTGGAAAGAACACTGGACCGGCTGTCAGGACATGCAATCCTAGGCCAGCACACTAATGAGCTCACTGTGAGATGCTCCAGGTGAATTCCCGTACGTGAAATATAGGGTCGGGGCCCAGGGACTTCTTGTGCCCTTTCAGAAGGCAAAATTCTGGGATCATAGGTTCTCATTCACCAGCACTCAATGCCTTGGTCTATCTTGCACTGATAAGTTTTCACACTTTATTTGTCATCTTGTTTTGATTTGTACCTTCAGGCTAGTGGCCTAACTAACTATAAAATATTCTTATTGTTTCTATCTAAAAGAAAACCCAGATATCAGGTATGTTTGAAATCAATCCAAAAATTGTTACAGAATATAATCCTATCTGAGTACTTTCCAAATTGGTTTACATTTTCCATCAGTTAAAGAAATATTACAAATATACCTCATGCAAGAACCAAGCCTACCATGTACCTGTACCTGATACTCTGCTATTACCCCCAAGCTCATGGATACCAGCTCCCCGTAGCCTGTCTTCCCCAGCTCCTGTCATCATCCTGGGCTCCTCCCTGAAGCCAGCCACTTGACTCAGGGGACCCACTCCCGTGACCACGAGTGGCCCTGTACAACATACTTGGAAATATAAACCAACAAAAACACATTCCTCGCCTCTACCAAGTTCCACCCATCCTTCCTCCTCTTCCATTCTATCAATCCTGTTTCCTGGCAACCTCTAGGTTATCCAGCTCCTCACTGTTTGCCCTCATGAAGCAGGCCTCCCTCCCTCGCCTCCTGCCTATCCCTCTACTGACTGGAGGAACCCACCTGACTCTCCACTGCCTGGCTGCTCACTGCCGTCCGGGGACTTGTCGTCTGTACTTGGGCCCGACTTCCCATCTCTTCCTTAATGCCTTTCGGCGGACTCGGTATCCTTACTACCACGGCAAGGTGCAGGCACTTACCTATCTCTATGTGCGTGGAGATGCCGCATGGTGATCCTCCTGGGCAGAGGGAGCCCAGCGTGATCAGCAGGCCAGGCCAGAACCTGCAAACGGACATGCCTTGTTACTCGCTGCTCCTCAGAGACATGAAGCGCTCAGAGTTGTGGCAGCAGGCCTGCCACCCAGGCCCAGACCCACTGCTTTCCCTCTAAGCAGGTCACTGACATGGAAAACCAAGCCTCATTTCAAAATAATAACACTTCCCAGGAAGCTGTTTAACTACTGTTTAACTTCACCAGAACAGCAAACAAACCCCTGGGAGAGAGGGAGAAAAAATAAAAGCCATCAACCAAAATCTGAATGCCTTGAGGTAGAAGCATTGCCACTTTCTCATGCAGGTGTCCTCCAGATTTCTTTTTAACATGAAATTTGTATGGTGACACTAGCAAAGCTGTCTCCAAATATTCTTTGGTTTCTTCAAAAACGAAAGAGAGAGAGAGAGAGAGAGAGAGAGAAAGAGAGAGAGAGAGAGAGAGAGAGAGAGACTCACCTGTCTATATTGAGAGTCAACATGCTGAACCACCTCAGCTCACAGGGGCTGATCTCCTGGGCATCCTTTGCACATTATGTATCAGGGTGCCCTGTGTCTTTAGCCTCCAAAGCCACAAGTGCTGGGAAAGCTTTTATGACGATCAGCTGGCACCGACTTCTCTTTCAGTATTTGGCAACAGATACTGACACTTGCATGGGATTACACAAGAGCAACCACTCCTGGCCGCTCTGCTTTTGGCTGTTCTTATGGGGCTTATCTCGAGCCTGTTGCATGGTCAGATTCCTGCACCGCAAGCAAAGATGCTGATTCCACTGGGGGTGGGAGACATGGAACAGATTTAAGACCAAGAAACAAGGATTCAGAAAATGCTAGGTTCAGAATACACCTGTCAAGAAATATATAGTCTATTGCACTTAATCCGTGGGAAAAATTCGGTGAAGCTCTTCATGGAAATGGTAGTGATTTTAATGTAGAAATTATTATTATACATGAAAAGCAAGAAAGGAGATCCTGAAAGAGTGGGAGGAAACCGTACTCATGCTCAGGTGAGCAAATAGAAGAGATTAGGAGAAGATGGGAAGATTAGGTGTCTGCCAAGTTTCCTCTGTAACCTTAGTTTAGCCACCTGCAAGCCCCAAGGAAAAGGATCCGACAGCTCTCCCCCAGCCCTGAGGGCATTCGGCCCAGCTCTCCTGGCTGCTTTTAGGCCAGAGGCCATGAACTAATGTGCTTTGTCTGGCTAAGTGGGTGTTTTGTAAACATAGTTCTAATCTCCTCCTTACTGCAAGTGGGGGAGCAGATGGAGAATGGTGGGAGTAGAGGCGGAAGTGCCCAGATGAGGACAGGCGAAGAAAAAAGGTCCCAGGCACCGACAGTCTTGTCCTCATGGGCTCTGGTGAGCGATCGCACCCAGCCAGGCTCCCGGGAGCCATGGGGCAGCCTAGGAGCAAGACAGGAATCAGGGGGGATTGTCTCATTCTGAAAGGGGTCTTGCAGGGGCACAAGACAGACAGAAGGGGAGGCCAACATCATGAATTTCCTAGGCCTTAGGCATTTTTGCTTTTGTTAGGTCCCCCTCCTCCATAGAGATAAAAAGAAGTCATCAAATTTTACATCTCCAATGGTCTTAGTATATTTATAATCAAACTAAAAAGTTCTCTTTTTTTCTGATTTTTAAAAGAAACTAAAAAGTCTTGTATGCCCTTAAAATTACTATGGGCCCTAGACAGTGTGCCTATTGGGGAAGTTAGCTCAAAAAGGGAGAGGGCACTGTTTGAAACCGAACCTTAGGAAGATAAGCGACTGATTTTGGATCAACAGAAGCAGCCACGGTGTCTCAACAGTAGGGCGCCCTCTGCAGGCAGCAGGTGGAAATACGCCAGGTCCTGCGCCCCCAGTGATACCTATAGGGCAGCAGCCTCCCTCCAGGACCTCCTCTCTCCCCCCTCCAATTCCTTGGATAGAATACAGAAGAAAGTAACGAATACACACACACACACACACACACACTCCGCTGTTCCCACTTCTGCTAGATGCGACTCACTCAGGGCTGAGTGACGCCCACTCAGCAAAAAACAAAGGCAAAATTCAAAGTTACCGCCTCGGCATTTTGCAAGTAAGAACCTAAGGTCCTAGAGAAAGTGGAAGGCCCACAGGCTCCGGGGGAAAAAAAAATACAGCAAGAGACTCAACTCAGAAGGAGCCTCGGAGAAGCAGAGGTGTGCTGAGACTAGTAATGCCAAGTGAATGCACAGAAATGGTCTTCACTGCAACCCGCACATTCCAAAGGGAGCCCCGCGAAATACATCTTTGCGTCCTCGTTAAAGCTGAGGCTTACCCTCCCGCTTCCAGATTTCTAGGCCGATGTCTGCTGGTGATCTGAACTCAGTCGATTCAATTCTCGCGAATGGTGCCATTGACTGGTAGAGGCCTCACTTCCACTTTCCTAGTGGCTCGTCCTAGGCCAGTCACTACGCCTCTGAACCTTGCGCTGAATTTACCCTCGCAACTCTGCTAAGCAATTGAATATACGGTCTCTCACAACAAACGAGAACCTTCTACGGAAAAGAGAGAGGACGGAGGTCAAGCAACGTGTCCAAGGTCGCGGAGCCTGTCGACAGCAGACTGGATTCGGGGCCGAGGCGGCCTCTCCCCTGCTCCCGGGGAACCGGAGAACCGGAGAACCGGAGAACCTGTCAACGCACGCCCAGGGGGACGCCCGGGCGGGCCGCCGCGCCCAGGGCGCACCAGAGGGCGCTGCTCCGCCGCCGCGGCCCCGCCGCCGCCTCGCTCCTCCGCCGCCCGCCCCGGGCGCTCGTGCGCGCGCTCGCCCGCTCGCCCGCTCGCCCGCTCGCCCGCTTCCTGCCGCGTCCGCCGGGGCCATGGCGACCTGGCTGCGGCGGCCCGGCCGCGGGGCCCCGCGCCTCCCGCCGCCGCCCGCCGGCCGCGGCCCGCGCCCCCGCTGCTCCGCGCAGCCCCGCCGCTGTGCCGGGGGCCCCGCGGGCCTGTGCGCGGCGCTGCTCCGCACCGACGGCTTCGTGGGCGGCCGCTGGCTCCCGGCCGCCGCCGCCTTCCCGGTGCACGACCCGGCCAGCGGCGCCGAGCTGGGCTTGGTGGCCGACTGCGGGGAGCCCGAGGCCCGCGCCGCGGTGCGCGCCGCCCACGAGGCCTTCTGCAGCTGGAGGCGCGTCTCGGCCAAGGTGAGCGCGCTCGGGGCCCCGGACGCCGCGTACGGAAAGCGGGCGCGTCGCCGCCGCCCCCCGCCCCCGGGCAGGCCCCACCGGGCCCCACCGGGCACACAGAGCGGCGGCCCGGCCCCAGCGCCGCCCCCCGCCCCCCGCCCCCGCAACCGCGCGGCAACCCCAAGTCACTGCCCGCGCCGGGCGCGGTGAGCAGGTGGAGGGGCCTGGCCCGGAGGGACTTGCGAGCACAGGTGGCCCTCCCTGGCCGCTCCAGCCTCACACCCGAAGGCTGCGGGGGGGCCGGGGCCTGGACTCGGGTAGGGGCCGGGCCATCCTCCGGGGTTCTGCCTGGCTGGGGAGACCGCTGTGCCCTGACGTCTCCTCGGCTGTACACGGCCTTCGCGCTCGACCCTCCGTGCCCCCTCCGTGCCCCCTCCGTGCCCCCTCCCACCGTGCCCCCTCCACCGTGCCCTCACCTCTTCTTGTAAAGACACCGGGCGTATTGGGTGAAGACCCCCTTCAGGGACCGTATTTAACCCTGATGGCCTCTTTCGAGACCCTGTTGGGAGATCCTGGGGGTTAGGACTTGAACCTAGGAGTGGGGTGGGGACGAGGCACCCCGGCACACAGGGTAGCCTCATTAGGGCGGGAGCTGCAGAGATGAAGGGAAGAGGGAATTCAGCTGGAGCAAGATTCGTGAATCAGGAGCACGCCTGACCCGTTTGTAGACCAGCAAGGAGGCCAGGGAGGATCGGGAGGCCGGTAGTAGTAACCGAAGGACAAGCTGGATCCAGGGGCAGGTGTAGACGTGGGTTTTACACTGAGGGAAGTAGGGCGCCCTTCCAGGGTTTCAAGCAGAGCTGTGGTCAGGCTTGCATCTGGAAGGGGCACTCTGGCCACACATGGAGCATCTGCGGGGGGGGGGGGGAGGCCTGGGGGGGGGGCAGAGGCCCCTGAGAGGGCGCTGGCAGGGACGGAGCTAACAGGGCGGCTGCTTGAAGCAGGGTGCTCTGCAGGAGGAGTCAGCTGGAGGCCCTGGCGATGTTAGCATGTTAGCGTGTGAGAGGAGGAGGGGCCAGCCAGGACCCCCCAGGGCTTTAGGCCATAGCCACGGGGAGGAAGGAGTAACCAGCAGGTCCCCCGGGGAGGGGACGAGGAACTGGGGGTGTTACAGGTTGTCCAGGAAGCTCTCCAGCCCAGTCTCTGCTCCAGGGGTTTGGAGGGCTGGTGCTGCCAGGACTGCTCACGGACACTGTCACCTGGTGTTCATGTCACACACCTCACATCAGTGCCCTGGAAAATTAATGTGCATCAGTTTGTCCTGCAGGAGCTGGAGCCTTCTCAGTAGAACCTTCCTTGTTGGAAGGATTTGGAGAGTCTTGCTGAGTAAGCGGTGGGCTGAGCTTTCCCAAGGAAGCCAGGTCCACCCGTGAGCGAGGAGAGGCGGGCTCTGGTGCCACTTGTAGAGCAGCTCTGGCCCACCCCTCTTGACCCCAAGCCTGTGCTGTCCACCCTGCTCCCTTCCCTGCCTCCCCCCACCCCCCAGCTCCTGTGGTCTAGCTCACCTGTTGCTCCTGCCATTGGGCCCATCAGAGCACACAGCCTTACGCCGTCCTCCCTTCTCGGAGCTGCAGCATGGGCCCATAGGCCTTGCCTCACCCTTCTCGTCAATGTTTTTTTTGTGTTGCCTCACATTTTTCTTGTTCGTGTTTGAGGACCCCCTGTTTCCCACCTTGTGAACTCCCAGAAGATCTCAGAAAATGGATATTTACAAGCTTTATAAGCTAATGTATTAGTTACTGACAGCTGCTGTAACAAATCAACACAAATTTAGTGACGTAAAACAACATGACAACACGAATTCATTCTCTTACTGTTCTGGCAGTCAAAAGTCCAAAATGTGCTGGCAGTGCTGTGTACCTTCTGGAATCCCTAGGGACCCCTGTCCCCATTTCTAGAGGCTGCCCTCATCACTCCAACCTCTGCTGCTGGTACCTTCTCTGACTCTGACCCACATGCCTCCCTCATATAGTGATCTCTGTGATTACAGTGGGCCCACTGGATGATTCAGGATCACCTTCTCAGCTCAAGATCTTTAACGTAATCACATCTGTAAAATCCCTTTTGCCAGGTAAGGGAACAAATTCACAAGCTGCAGGGATTAGGATGAAGATGTCTTTGAGGGCCATTAGGGTGCCTGCCACAGCTGAGTACTGTACTGGGTGCTTTATGGGTGCTTTACCTAGTCCTTTCAGTGGCTCTCTGAGGCAGAGGCTTCATCTGCGTCCCAGCTGAGAGGCTCAGAGTCCACCATCCACCATGTGTCTCTGCTCAGGTGGGCCTTGAGTCCCACGGGACCCCATGCACCCCAAGCCTCCCTATTGGAGTCCCACACACATGGTTCCTCACAAAGACCGCAGGAGTTTCCTGGGGCTGCTATAACAAAGTACCACAAATCTGATGGTTTAAACAACTGAAACACAATATCTCGGTTCTGCAGGCTCAAAGTCCAAAGTCTAGGGCTGGTTCCTTCTGGGGGTTCCGAGGGACGGATCTGCCCCAGACCTCTGTCCTTGACTTGTAGTTGGCTGTCTTTTCCCTGTGTCCCCTGCTCCCATCATCTTCCCTCTGTGCATTCCTGTTTCTGTGTCTAAGGTCCCTCTTTTTACAAGGATCCCCCCTTTATATGTTGGAGTAGGGCACACCCTAATTTTAGTTAACAAAACTTCAAAACTTTTAAATTTATTGAAAATGGAACTTCATGCTAACTTGATAGCCTGTAAAGACCCTATCTCCAAATAGTGCCACCTTCTGTGGTTCTGAGGGTTGGAATAGCAGCGTGTCTGTTTTGGGGGCTGACACCATTAACCCCTAACACGGGGCGTGCCTCCTGAGGGCCGCCTGTTGCCCCCCACCCTGGTTCCTGATGTTTGGCCGGGACCTTGTGTTTTCTGCCAGCAAGTGGGATCTACTTTGCATTCCTGTGCTTCTCACGCTGTTCCGCGTTCTCTCATTCTCTCTCAGCCGAAGCGTGGGCTTTGTGTGAGGCAGGCCATGTGCTCAGATCTTTTGTGTGTGTGTGTGTGTGTGTGTGTGTGTGCGCGCGCGCGCGCGCTCAGATCTTTGATTTATTCCTCCAGGCCAGGCCCCCTAGAGCTGAGTCTTTCCTCTCTCACCCAGAGTAAGCACTGGCCTGTGGTCCTGGATCCCTGCCTGCTAGTGTACACGGTGACCAAGGATCTGTAGCTAGCTGTGTGTGCTGGGATAATCCATCTTTGCACTCTTTGACAGAAGTCTCTGTTTCTCTTTTACAACTTATGACTCAAGACACCCCTTTAGATGCAAATTGGAATGGAATCTTCCTTATTGCTTATCAAAGAAAAGTCTTTTATGCCTCAGTTAGAAAGAAGAAAGGTCAGTGTGTGTCTCCCTGAGTGAGAGACCATACAGCAACCACCTGAACACACGGAAGATTATTTTGTATTTATTTTGCTGTTTTTATTTCCTTCCCAGGAGAGGAGTTCGCTGCTTCGGAAATGGTATGACTTAATGATGCAAAATAAGGATGACCTTGCCAAGATAATCACAGCTGAAAGTGTAAGTCCGGGGTGCTAACCTGCTTCCCTAAGAAACTGTACGGAGTGCTCAGGCTCTAGCTTAGAAGACTAGGGCTGATGTCAGGGCTGATCTGCAACCAAAAAAAAAAAAGGAAATTCCTTGCCTAATGATCAGATATCAACCAATCATTGTGCCAGGCACCAGCTGTGTCTAGTGAAGCCAGGCCCTCATTTTGCTGGAACAGTTTGTATGTTCTACCTCTGACTAATATACGAAAAACATGGATGGAGCTAGATGGTATTATACCAAGTGACATAAGTCATCCTGAGGAAGACAGGTGTCATATGATTTCACTCATATCTGGAATTTAAGAAATAAAACAAAAAGAAAAAGACAAAAAGAGACAGACTCATATCCAGAAAACAAACTGGTGTTGCCAGAGGGGAGGTGGGCAGGGGGTGGGGAAATAGTAATACTACTACTACTGGAGGCAGAGATTTTGAGTGGAACTCTGTAGGTAATGCTTTCCCACCATGCCAAACGTTTTCTCTGTGATTGCCATGGTTGATTTTTTTTCTCTTGTTTTTGTACGATTAAAACGTGCCGGTGGTTGCTCCGTAACTGTAATAATGACTACAGCAGGAAAGATGAGAAGATGTCAGAAGGAGAAACAAGTGTGACGCCACCCTTCTCGCTGTCAGGGATCCATACAAGATTGTGGTCTGGGTGGCGGCCCCCTTGTTTTTGTCACCACCTGCCAATTGGCTTTCTAAGACTCCCACCAGGGTCACGAGTTTCTCAACAACCTTGGGGTTTTGTAATGAGAGACTCGTCTGCTGTGCGTGCAGCCTGGAGAACTGCGAAGTGCAGAGTCATGCTTTTGTTGTTAGAAGGCAGCACACTGTCCTTTTCTGACTCCATTTAGGGGAAGCCGCTGAAGGAGGCGCAGGGGGAGATCGTCTATTCCGCCCTCTTCCTAGAGTGGTTTTCTGAAGAAGCTCGCCGCATCTACGGAGACGTCATCTACACCCCCGCCAAAGAAAAGCGGGCGCTGGTCCTCAAGCAGCCCCTTGGGGTGGCCGCAGTCATCACCCCGGTGCGTGCACTGGCAGGACAGGCGAGGCCCTGGGGTAGGAGGTGGAGCAGGGATTGGGACAAGAATGACACCTCATTCTTTCTTATGAAGAGGCGTGCTTCCCCCACTGGCTCTGGCACCTGTCTTCTTTCCTGATTCCTTTGCTGCCTGCAGAGGACTGTTTCCTGGTCCTCTGTGATAGCCAGGTGCAGGTGGGAGTGTGAACGCCTGTGTCCTGTTGCCTGCAGCGGTGGGATGACCCACAGCAGGACCCAGGGGCTTCTCTGACGTGGCATTAAAGCTGCTGCTTCTAGGCAGTGCCTAGCCCATTGGAAATGATCTTTTTTTTTTTTTTAAGACTTAAGATATGACGCATTTAATGTGCTGTGGTTTGGGGAAAATTTTATGCTTAATTTATGATATCATCAACAGCAAAGCATTAGCGTGCCTACCAGCAGGCACTGGGCCAGGTTCTGGAGGTGAAACGGTTTTCAAACACAATATTGTGTCTGACTGGATGGAGCTGCAGCATGCTTGTGGGGCATGCTCTCTCTTGGTGACCCCACCTTTTATGAGCCCATCTGTGAGGTCCCCTGTCAAGTCCTCTACAGTGCCAGCTGGTCTTGAGACTGCTGTTCTGTCCTGGCTCGGCACAGTTACAGACAGACACCCCCTTAGCCTTGACTGACTGGGTGCGACTTGAAGCTCACTGTTCACTAGTTGCATAAGCTCAGGCAAGTTACTGAGCTGCTCTCAGCTTCCCCAAAGTAATGTTCTCATTATTCCACAGTCTAATAATACCTCAATGGGTCAGGATGATGACTTAATTAATTATGATTTAATTTAAAAGTGCTTGAGAGTAGTGCCTCACACAGAAGAAGCACTCTGCAAGTACTTGTCAAAATAAAAACTGTTGGGGCAGCCCCGGTGGCTCAGCGGTTTAGCGCCGCCTACAGCTCAGGGTGTGATCCTGGAGACCAGGGATCGAGTCCCACGTCAGGCTCCCTGCATGGAGCCTGCTTCTCCCTCTGCCTGTGTGCCCCTGCATGGAGCCTGCTTCTCCCTCTGCCTGTGTCTCTGCCTCTTCTCTCCTCTCTGTGTATTCTCATGAATAAATAAATAAAATATTTAAAAAAAAATAAAAATAAAAACTGTTAATATAGATATGGAGATACCTACAAGTGTCTATCTGTAAATAGAAGGAAGTAATCATCTGCCATTTCCAAAATTACCTTTACTAATGTTTTCTCCCAAAAGGCCAGCAAACTATGGCTTTCAGGGCCAATCCAGCCTGCTGCCGATATTTGTAAATAAAGTTTTACTGGGACACAGCCATGCCCGTTCCAATACATACCGTCTGTGGCTGCCTGCACTTTAGAACCAGGGAGTGGTTTTGACAAATTGTACATCCCTAAAAACCCAAATATTTACAATCGGGCCCCTTACAAAGTCTGCCAAGTCCCGGAGTGGACAGTCTTGTACTGTTTTAAATTCTGGAAAGGTTTCCTGTCTTTACGAGCCTTTGTCGGCAGAGTCCCTGGAGTTGACAGGTGTCAGGTGTTCTGAGCTCACCTGAGCAAGAGCTGGAGCACTACTTTATGAGAGTCCATTTATGCAATGGAATTTGTTGAATGACTTCTGACTTGCCTTCTTGTGCACCTTCTTGTGCAGTCTGCCCTCTCTCATACTTTCTGTGCTCTCTGACCCCAGTGGAATTTCCCCAGTGCCATGATCACCCGGAAGGTGGGGGCCGCCCTGGCAGCTGGCTGCACTGTCGTGGTGAAACCTGCTGAACACACGCCCTTCTCTGCCCTGGCCCTGGCCGAGGTGAGTATCCCCCCACCCCTGTGTGTGCAGAGCTGACAAAGTCCAAGTGAGGATTATTTATTCAGGGCAGAAAGAAGCAGATTCGAAGCCTCCTTCTTTGGCTACATCTCACCCTGGATGGTGTTTTAATTTACTAGCAATTATTTTAAGTCAGTTTGTTTGTTTTGTTTATTTATTTATTTTAAAGATTTTATTTATTTATTCATGAGAGAGAGAGGCAGAGACATAGGCAGAGGGAGAAGCAGGCTCCCTACGGGGAGCCCAATGTGGGACTCAATCCTAGGACTCTAGAATCACCCTGAGCTGAAGGCAGACACTCAACCGCTGAGCCACCCAGGCGTCCCTTTATTTTATTTTTTTAAGTAGGCTCCACACTCAGTGTGAAGTCCTATGTGAGGCTTGAAGTCACAACCCTGAGATCAAAACCTGAGCTGAGATCAAGAGTCAGACACTTAACTGACAGAGCCACCCAGGCACCCCTAAGTTAGATGTTTAGAAAAAACAGTGAATGGGGGATTTTCTGACATTTGTAGACAATATGTGTTTTTGGCTGCCCTAAAAATAGTATCTGTCCATCAGTTTTATTAATTAGGCAGGCATACAACTAAAGTGTGGGCATCTCTCACATGTAGGGAACCTCTTACTTACCTCTCCTTTCTCCAGTTCAATCAACATTCAGGAAGATCTCACCATTCTTCTGTTTAAAACTCTCCAGTGAGGGAGCGCCTGGGTGGCTCAGTGGGTTAAGTGTCTGCCTTCAGCTCAGGACATGATCCCAGGGTCCTGGGATCTCCTCCCGTTTGAGGCTCCCTGCTCAGCAGGGAGTCTGCTTCTCTCTCTACCTCTGCCCCTCCCCCCCGCCTGTGCGCTCTCTTTCTGAGAAAATATTTATTTTTAGAAAATCTTTAAAAAAACAAAACAAAACAAACAACCCACAACTCTCCAATGGCCTTTCATGTCCCTCAAAGTCCAGACTTCCTACAGTACCCGCCAAGGCCCTGTAAGATGCCACCCTCCAGACCCTAATCCCCCTCTGCCCTTACCTTACCTGTCACTCCAAAACCCCAGACCCCTCTGCTCCGGCCTCTCTGGCCCCTGCCACCCCACCAGGCTCACCCCGACTCAGCTCTACACCTGCCTTGTCTTCTTCCAGAAAGTTCTTCCCCTGGCACACCCAAATGCCACCTTTTCAGGGAGGCTTCATGGGCCACCCTGTTGGAAAAGCACAGCCTCTCACTCCCATGCCCCTGATCCCCTTCTCTGCTTTATTCTTCTTCCCTTAGCACTTAGGGCCACTTGACATACCTGCTGTCTCAGTTACATTAGAATGTAAGCTCCACAGAGATGGCCACTTGCATCTGCTTTGTTCACAGCTGTATGCCCAAGCCTGGAATAGTGCCTGGACCTAGGAGGCACTCAGAAATGTTGGAGGGCTTCCATGCTGTGAGAGCCACACTGAGTGTGGGTGTCAGTTTCTGGCCTCGTTACCTCCTTTCTGGGCTGGGACCTCTTCCTCCTTTGAGTCTCTGTGCCACTGTCTTTCACCCCAGGGTCAGCTGGTGGAGCTTCCAGAAGGCAGCAACAGTTACTGCGTTTGCCTTTCTGGGCTCTTAGGGGCCTGGTGTGGCTCCAGACCCAGGGACTGGAAGCTCCTCTCCTACAGGGCATTTCCCCCAATGGCACCTTATTTCAGAGGCAAATAGTACTATGGAAACGTTAACCAAATGGAAGGCTTTTTAAAATACAAACTGTTAATAGTTTTCCTTGAGATAATTCTTAAATCTGTACAATGTATGTAAGTTAGCATATTATTAGACTCCTTAGGTGTACATATAGTTAGTGGTGTGCTTCCTACAAATTATAGTATTCAGAACCAGTACCAATTTATGACCAGTAGACCCTTCCTGCTTATGCAATTTATTTGGAAACACATACCTGTGTGATTGGAAAGGCTCAGGATCACATGTTTATTTTATTTTTATTTTTTTTAAAAGATTTTATTTATTTATTCATGAGAGACAGAGAAAGAGAGAGAGGCAGAGACACAGGCAGAGGGAGAAGCAGGCTCCATGTAGGGAGCCTGATGTGGGACTTGATCCCAGATTTCTAGGATCACGCCCTGGGCTGAAGGAGGCGCTAAACCACTGAGCCACCCGGGCTGCCCAGGATCACAGTTTTAAAAACCCCTATAAACTTCATCCAGACTTCGTCAGACTTGGGTTCGGGATCCTTGCATCCTTTTGTCAGGAGGCACATACAGTGAGTTGTCTCTTGTCATGATATTGGCAGGGTTGCTGGTCAATGCTGCCCCATCTGGTGACTCATTAGGAGTTACAGAAATCATGATCTTGGAATGCTTTCATTTCTTTAATTTTTTTTAAGACTTTATTTTTAAATCATCTTTACACCCAACATGGAGCTTGGATTCAGAACCCTGAGATCAAGAGTCATATGCTCCAGCGACTAAGCCAGCCAGGCATCCCCTAGATTCTTTCATTCCTATTTCCTTTTTTTTATTTTTTTATTTTTTTTATCTTAAAGATTTTATTTATTCATTCATGAGAGACACAGAGAGAGAGAGGCACAGGCAGAGGGAGAAGCAGGCTCCATGCAGGGAGCCCGACGTGGGACTCAATCCCAGGTCTCCAGGATCACGCCCTGGGCTGAAGGCAGGCGCCAAACCGTTGAGCCACCCGGGCTGCCCTCATTTCTATTTCCTTCATTCTCTAGACCACTTCTGTAACACAGACCCTCCCGTGATCTGCTATTTGGTCACCGGCAGAAAGTTCATGTAGAAAAGGCAGGGTACATAGATTGATTCCTTCTGTTTACCAGTTTCTAGAATTAATAACCTATTCCTACCGTCTGCTGACGGTCACCAATTCGTTTGTTTTTTAAGTATCATTGCATGCTAATGAATTTTAGTGTATTTGATGAGTTTCAGTGCCTTGTAGTTATTGTCTTTCATGAAGCCCCAATTGTCCCATTCTTGGTCAACAGTGGCCTCTTCATGTTGGCTTCTATGCGTTTGTGCCTAACTGTTGTCTGCTTTGAGAGCTTCCTTTCTGGGAAGTTTCTAGGATCTGTTCTTTACCCTTGGTTGGTTTACTTCTCCAGGAACTCCTGTTATCCACGTGGTCAGTCTCTTTCATCACTCTCTCCTATCCCTTTCATTGTTTCCCTAATCTTTAAAAATACCTTTTTCACCTTCTGGTTTTCATAAAGGTATGATCCATTAGATTGTTCTCATATTCCTTTTGGTTTGCTTTTCATATCTTTTCTTTTTTTTTAAGATTGTATTTATTTATTTCAGAGAGACAGAGCAGTGGCAGGGGGTGGGGGGTAGGAGCAGAGGGGCAGGGAGAAGCAGACTCCATGCTGAGGAGGGAGTCTGGTGCAGGACTTGATCTCAGGACCTCAGCCAAAACCAAGAGGCAGATGCTTAACCGACTGAGCCATGCAGGCATCCCTGCTTTTCATTTCTGAAATTAGTTTGTCCTTGTATTTCTAATTCTTTCCTGTGTTCCCTTACTTCATTTCCAGAATTTCTCTAATCCTGATTCATGTTGTTGTTTTGTATATTGGTACAATTTTTTTTTAATAATTTATTTTCCTTCATAGTAAGTTACAGCTTTGATCTCTTTCAGGGGCATGACTTCCTGGAATGCTTTTGTTGTCCACAAGGATGCTTTCTGTTCTTTATTATTTTTCTTTTAATAATGTTGTATGGGATTTTGTGTGTGTGTGGGGGGGTATTTTTCTGAGCATTTACTTGATTTTTATATGAAGTTAGTTTTCTTTTCTTTTTTTTAATTTTATTTATTTATTCATGAGAGACACACAGAGAGAGAGGCAGAGACACAGGCAGAGGGAGAAGCAGGCTCCATGCAGGGAGCCCAATGTGGGACTCAATCCCGGGTCTCCAGGATCATACCCTAGGCCAAAGGCAGCACTAAACCGCTGAGCCACCCGGGCTGCCCTGAAGTTAGTTTTCCTAAACTTTTAGAAGGAGGCCTGAGTCTCTGACTTCATAGAGTACCTTTTGTTTTCTTGCTCTCCGAGATTTCCTGGCTCCATTCCCTTCCATGCTTGAACTGAGTGGTCTCCTCCTTTATTACACGGTTCCTGGGGCTGGCCCTCCATGCCCTTTGGTCCTCACTCTAGAGTCTCTGGCTTGCACCTGCTATTGTGCTGGGCATTTACAGGGGCTGTTCCACGTTGGCCTGCCCTGTGGGCTGCTTGGGGTTCTCCGCACCCCGTCCATCAAATAGCCTCCTTCTGCGGCTTCTGAAGGTGCCGATGCTCTCAGCTATCAGTGGTGTGTCCGCACCCACTGGTCAGGCAAAAAAGCAAGTTGCCCAACTCTCTGTTATCTGAAACTTCAGGGGGAGGGCTGCCTGGCTCCTTATCTCAGTGGTGTGGCCAGTGATGTGTTTGTTCGAGATGCATGTTGGAAGCAGATGCCTGGGCAGTCAGACCTTAGGTCAGCACTGCGGTGCAATAAAAAATAAATAAAATAAAAATAAAAGGATGTAGCTGTCCTTTGCTGACACTACATCCGCTCTTATAAATGTTGTCTTTGATACTCTGGTTTGCCTCTGTTTTGCCTCTGTTTTCGGAGAGAGTCCAGCACTGCCATTCCCACCGTCTTCCCAGACTCCCCAGTCAGATTTAAGCAGTGTTAATTGTTAATGAGATTCAGAGCTATTGTAATTCCAGATATGCCTGATCCAAAGAGGGTCACTGTAGGAAGAGTGCAGGTTTCGGCCGAGGCAGCAGGGGTCTGTGTGCTGGCTCCTCTCTTCCCTGGCTTGTGGCCTGGGCACAATCTCCCTGTGAGGCCTCCTGCTTGTCTCCACTGGGTGCAGAGGTCCCCTGCAGGAAGGTCTGCCTGCTGCCCTGCACACAGGAGGTGCTCTGGGAGTCTCCTGGCCACTCTCTCCCTTTGCAGCTTCTATAGCTTCTTGAACCCTCCCCTGATTTTTCTTGGGAAAGAAATCCAAGGTTTTTTTATTTTGTTTTGTTTTTTCTTTTGTTATTTTTTTTTTAACAGAAAGTGGCATTAAAACTCATGCTATAGTTTAATGTGTGACAACACATTTAATATCACTTTAGCATGAATAAGGATCTTATTTTAGTTCCAAATATATTCCTGTTCTGTCCCCCAAAGTGAGCTTAGTTTTCTTTCCATTATGTTTCAATGAAAACATCTGTTTCCCTTTTTCTGTTTTTCCAGTTTGCTCATTTGCTGCTCCCCTGTTTGCTGTTTCTCTCTATAGCTCGCAAACCAGGCTGGGATTCCTCCAGGTGTGTACAATGTTATTCCCTGCTCTAGGAAGAAAGCCAAGGAAGTCGGGGAAGCACTTTGTACTGATCCTCTAGTGTCCAAAATTTCCTTTACTGGCTCAACAGCTACTGGAAAGGTACGTGACTTAATTCCCAAAGGAAATAGTTGTCATTCTGGTGTTTTCTCTGAATAGAGTACGAAAATTCTAGTTCATCTTTATCACTCTCTGGGAGATTCGCAGTAGAGTGTTAAGAGGTCTGTTGGATAAAGTAATGTCTGCTCACCCTTCCTGTGACATGACAGAGGCTCCTCTCTGACGATACCGAGGAGTTGGGGTGGCCAGAGTACCCAGGATTTGTTGCATGTGAAGTAGCTGAAAGCTCTCTGTTGTATCGGCTCAGTTCTGGAATGTACAGGTCTTTCATTATCTAGAATTGAAGGTTCCAGAAACACACAACTGATGTTGAAATGGATGTCTCAGAACTGAACCCAAATTGTATTTAGTATAAAGGTACTTATAGAAATAGGTCTTTTGTTTCCTTAGAAAACTTTACAATTGTGCATGAGCTAGCAATTCTATTTCTACATATTTATACTGAGAGAATAGTTGCAGTGTTATTTTGAATAGCAAGGAATTGGAGACCTGAAATTTCCCACAGATGGGGGCTTACTAAATAAGTTTATGGAAAAGCCATACAGTGGAACTGTATGCAGGCATCTAAAGGAATGTTCTAGAAACACATGTGCTGCCATGAGAGAATCTTCCCGTTACAGTGTTGCCCTGAAGGAAGAAGGTATAAGGTGTAATGAATGTGTTAAGATGTTCCGGATGCATGGCTAATGGGGAAGATAAAGCAGGTTAAAAAACTGTATAAATCTACCATTCTGTTTTCTTAAAAAAAAAAAAAAGTACATCTATATGAACCTTTGTGTGTGGCTCAATTCTGGATCAATATACCTTAAAATTTGATCAATAGTAAGCTATGGGTTGTGGGATTCTGGGTGATTTTATTATCTTCCCTATATTATGCTTAAGCCCTATTATCATACAATTTTTAATAGGTAATATGCTTCTATGGTTCAAGAAGCAAGACAGTATAAACTTGCTCATGCTCAGAAGGGTCATCTCCCCCCTAACCCTGACTCCCTCTCTTCTATCAGTAATGACTTTTATTTTTTTGTAACCTTCCTACTGTTTCTTCTTCGTATATGAATATATATGATTATTCCTCTTGTTCTTATGCAAACTGTCATCCCATTTACACTACTGTGCTCTTGGCTTTTTTCCCTGCTGGGTCAACATCTAAAACAAAGGTTTACTAGGCCAGGTAGATCCTGGTGCAGTGCTCACGTAGTCTGTCCTCTGCCTGCAGGTACTGCTGCACCATGCAGCAGGCTCTGTGAAGAGGGTTTCCATGGAGCTGGGTGGCCATGCCCCATTCATTGTATTTGACAGCGCCAACGTGGACCAGGCTGTAGCAGGGGCCATGGCATCCAAATTTAGGAACTCTGGACAGGTGAGTCCTACAGTGTTTTTTCAGGGTGTGTGTGTGTGTGTGTGTGTGTGTGTGTGTGTGTGTGTATTTCACAAAGCTCTTAACCATCCAACTCACCTCTTGCAAGGAAACTTGTTGGTTCCTCCCATCGTTCTTTCTTTACTCATTCTTTTCAGCAAACAGTTAGCAAGGGCCCTCTTTTTGCCAGCAACTATTCTCAGCTCAGAGGGTCCAAAGGGAAATAAGGTGTAATCCCAGGCTATGAGGAATTTTCTGAACAGCAGGTATTTTTTTAAAAGATTTTATTTACTTGCTTATGAGAGATACAGAGAGAGAGACAGAAACATAGGCAGAGGGAGAAGCAGACTCCCTGCTGAGCAGGGAGCCTGATGTGGGACTCGATCCCAGAACCCCAGGATCATGACCTGAGCCAAAGGCCATGCTCAACCACTAAACCACCCAGGTGCCCCAGCAGATACTTTTTAATCAAATTGTTCTTTTCTTCCTGCTCTCTGGACCTGTTTATTTTCATAGTTTTCCCCTCATTGGGCTTTTCTGTACAGAACAGGTAAGATCATCTCCTCAGACACAAAATAGCCCAAACAGCTAGGGTCTGAGGCCCACAGTCTGAGGGAAGAGAAAGTAGGAAAATGTTGAGATAGTTCTTGAAAAACTCAAAACCCTGTGCCTGGGTCTCACTGTCCCTGGGATGGATGGAGGCAGCCAGATAGGCACTTGGTACAGTGTGCTCAGGGGGTGACCAGTTTGTCACCTGGGAGAGTGATGGCCTGAGTTCACACCTCCAGAGGCAGTCCTGACATGACCTTCAGAGTGACCTGATACAAATCTCACATTTTCCAGTCGAGAAAATGGAACTCTGGAGAGACTGGTTGACCTGACGTCCTAGATCCTTGGGTCACAGTCCTAACTCTGTGGACTGAGGGTCCTGTCTCCCAGGCTCTTTCCAAGCTGTTACCAGGAACCTAGCTTCTTACAAAAAAAATTCTTACTTTGTCTTAGAGTACCATCAATAAGTAGTTTTAAGTGCATTCCACAGACAAAAACTCCTGAGAGTTTATATTTTGAAAAAAATGTAGAATGTTGTATAATACTCTGTATATCAAATAGTTTGGGTAATTAATTTTTCCCCTTTCATATAACCTTAAATAAGCTTGGTTGTTTCAGAATAACCTGTGTTTCTCTTTAGAAACATAAAATGCCAAGGTGTATAAGCTTCAGTTACACTTACAAAGCTACAACTTTGAGATATGTTACTTGAAGCCAATAAAACACATAGAACACAAAATTTATAGCTACCTAGTATCTATAGTTTCTATTAGAAAAATACATGATTAATAAAAAAGACAAAAAGAAAATCTGTCAGGGGCACCTATGTGGCTCAGTGGTTGAGTGTCTACCTTTGGCTCAGGTCATAATCCCAGGGACCTGGGATTGAGTCCCGCATCAGGCTCCCCATCAGGAGCCTGCTTCTCCTTCTGCCTATGTCTCTGCCCCTCTCTCCATGTCTCTCATGAATAAATAAAATCTTTAAAAATAGAAAAAGAAGAAGAAAATCTATCAGTGATAACTGCCTTTCCTATAATGATTATATTTTGTAATTTAAAAAATATTATGTCTAGCAGCACCTGGGTGGCTCATTTGGTTGAGTGGCCGGCTCTTGATTTCGGCTCAGGGTCCTGGAATTGAGCCCCTTATAGGGCTCCACACTCAGCAGGGAGTCTGCTTGAGGATTCTTTCTCCCTCTCCCTCTGCTTGCACATGTGTGCCCTCTCTCTCTAAAATAAATACATCTTTAAAAATATATATTAGGCTTAATTAGAGAAAAAAATAAGGGTCTTTTTAATTTTTTTTTAATTTATTTACTTATGATAGTCACAGAGAGAGAGAGAGAGGGGCAGAGACACAGGCAGAGGGAGAAGCAGGCTCCATACACCGGGAGCCCGATGTGGGATTCGATCCCGGGTCTCCAGGATCGCGCCCCGGGCCAAAGACAGGCGCCAAACCGCTGTGCCACCCAGGGATCCCAAGGGTCTTTTTAATAATTTAAGCTTGTCCATTTTCAAAATATCTGATTCAGCCAAACCTTGAATAGTTTAATAAGCTAATGGATATGTCAGCCTTTGACTGCCTTCCTTCCTGCTCCTGCTCTATTGCTGTAGCATCACTGTCTCTCATGGAGTTAGGAGTTCTTTATGCTCCTTTTTTCTTTCCCTATTTGTTTCATAATGGCTTGACTTAACACATTGGAAAAAACTTGGGTTGGGGGCTTTCTTATTTTTGCACATATATTTGTACTTACATGTTTAACCACAGGGTGTGGCAGCTATGGAGGAGGTTGGAGAAGAATATGCACTTAATACGTTTATCTTCAAGGTGCCACCCACTTGGGGAGGAATGTGGCAGGTTGGACACAGGATGAGAGCCACCTTGGGAAGTGTTTTCACATTCACATAGGTAGCAGCAGTCACATGTTTATTGGTTGGATCAGTAGCTTCTGATAAACTGGTCTGTGAGTTTATTTTGTTGGGTTTTGTTTTGTCTAGACTTGTGTTTGCTCAAATCGTTTCCTGGTGCAAAGGGGTATTCATGATTCCTTCGTGAAGAAATTTGCTGAGGCAATTAAAACAAACCTGCGTGTGGGTAATGGATTTGAGGAGAGAACTACTCAAGGTCCATTAATTGATGAAAAGGCAGTAGAAAAGGTAAGTTTGTTTGATTTTCTATTAAATTTCATGGTTTCGATATCAAAGGCTTAACTAGGAAAAAAATACTTTGGTAAAGTGCCCAGCAAGGCTGTTTTGAAAATAATGGTGAAATCAGGAAAACGTGAATTTCTGCCCATAGTATAAATTAAGTGGCATCATCTGGCCATAAACTTTTCCAGCTCTGTCATTACATTGAGTGCCCATGAGATCTGTCAGTTTAGATCTTCTACTGTCCTTCCTAGGTTTTCTCTAATAGTGGTGATAATTCTATCCCTGGCTGCCTCAGGAATTAGGATCTTAAAAGACAAAGTTCTTTAATTTTTTGAATACTCAAAAGGAAAGGAAGACGGCTTTTGTTTTTGAAGTCATGTAAGTTTCAGCTGAAATGCTGGTTTCCACTGACAAAAAAAAAAAAAAAAAAAACAAAAAAAACCACCCTTTCAGAAGAGTCCTTGACAAAAGCATCCTCATAGGGAGATTCGGAATAGCAGAAACCATGCCCAGGATCTATAGATGGCAGGAAAAGGAGATTGCTTTTAGGAAGGATCTCTTTGTTCACAGAAAGTCATAGTCTAGATAGGTGAGATTTCTGTCCTTGTTTTTTTTGTTTTTTCGGTTTTTTTTTTAAGATTTTATTTATTTATTCATGAGAAACACAGAGAGAGACAGAGACATAGGCAGAGGGAGAAGCCAGCTCCCTGCAGGGAGCCTGATGCAGGACTCAATCCCAGAACCCTGAGATCATGACCAGAGCCAAAGGCAGATGCTCAACCACTGAGCCACTCAGGTGCCCTGTCCTTGTTTTAAAACAGCTTCCTGGGGGATCCCTGGGTGGCGCAGCAGTTTAGCGCCTGCCTTTAGCCCAGGGCGTGATCCTGGAGACCCGGGATCGAATCCCACGTCAGGCTCCCGGTGCATGGGGCCTGCTTCTCCCTCTGCCTATGTCTCTGCCTCTCTCTCTCTCTGTGTAACTATCATAAATAAATAAAAATTTAAAAAATAAAAAAATAAAAAAAATAAAAAATAAAAATAAAACAGCTTCCTGGGATGCCTGGGTGGCTCAGCGGTTGAGCATCTGCCTTTGCCTCCGGAGTTGGTGGATTGAATCCCACATCGGGCTCTTGCATGGAAGCCTGCTTCTCCTCCCTCTGCCTGTGTCTCTGCCTCTCTCTGTGTCTCTCATGAATAAATAAATAAAATCTTTTAAAAAAATAATAAAAATAATAAAAAATAAAAAAAATAAAACAGCTTCTTTTAAAACATAATCCTTTTTAATAAAGAAGGAATATATACAATGGAATATTACTCAGCCACTAAAAAAAAAAGTTGAATCTTGCCATTTGCAACAACATGGATGGATCTAGAGAGTATAATGTAAAGTACATCAGCCAGAGAAAGACAAACACCCTATGATTTCACTCATGTGGAATTTAAGGAATAAACAAGCCACACACGCACACACGCACACACACACACACACAAATCAGACTCTTAACTCTAGAGAACACATTGATGGTCACCAGCGAGGAGGTGGGTGGGGGGATGGGGGAAACAGGTGAAGGAGATTAAGAGTACATTTACTGTGATGAGCACTGAGTAATGTACAGAAGTGTTGAATCACTATATCGTACAACTGAAACTAATGCCACACTGTATGTTAACTCTACTGGAGTTGAATAAATAAAGGGGGAAAACCCAAAATCCTTTTTAGAATTGCTTACAAAGAACTTTCTTATAGTATGAACATCCAAAGCAAAAAACAAAACAAAAACATGAACATCCAGGGTGCTCCTTAGATAAGTCTCTACCAGTGGAAAGGATTTTAATAGAATAATTTAAAGCAGACAGAAATCGGAGGCTGGACTGTGTGTGGGAAAAGAAGGGAGAAGAGGTGGCCAGAAGTTAACACAGCCAGCCTCCTAGGTGTCACCTGAGGAACCAAAATTAAGTTAAGGTCAGGTCAGTACCCAGCTTGGATGCACAGCCTGCCTGTTCTTTGGCTACCTGAGGACCAAGAACTCTAGCACTGCCTAGACTCAGTGGGCAGCCATGTCATCTGAACCCATGTCTGTGCCTCAGCCAGTGGGAGCCAAGGGATGCATCAAGGTTTGACAGAACTCTGTAGTTATTGCCTTGGGATTGCCCTAATAGAGAACATGCATTAAAGTGGCCATTGGGGGACGCCTGGGTGGCTCAAGCAGTTGGGCATCTGCCTTTGGCTCAGGTTGTGATCCTGGGGTCCTGGGATGAAGTCCCGTGTCCGGCTCCCCACAGGGAGCCAGCTTCTCCCTCTGCCTGTGTCTCTGCCTCTCTCACGAAAAAATAATAAAATCTTTAAAAAAAAAAACTTTATTTATTCGTGAGAGACACACAGAGAGAAGCAGAGACACAGGCAGAGGGAGAAGCTGGCTCCCTGCAGGGAGCCAGTCACGGGACTTGATCCCAGGTCTCCAGGAGCACACCCTGGGCTGAAGGCCGCGCTAAACCACTGAGCCACCCAGGCTGCCCTAAAGTCTTTTTATTTATTTATTTATTTATTTATTTATTTATTTATTTATTTATTTATTTATTTTTATTTATTTATTTATTTATTTATTTATTTATTTATTTATTTATTTATGATAGTCACAGAGAGAGAGAGAGAGAGGCAGAGACACAGGCAGAGGGAGAAGCAGGCTCCATGCACTGGGAGCCCGATGTGGGATTCAATCCCGGGTCTCCAGGATCGTGCCCTGGGCCAAAGGCAGGCGCCAAACCGCTGCGCCACCCAGGGATCCCTGCCCTAAAGTCTTAAATAAATAAATTAAGTAAGTGGCCATTGGTACCACTAGCATTTTTGAGGGGATTTTGGACTTGATTGGCCAGTGGAGATGATTTGGGTCTGTACTAGCTGTGGTTCAAGCCCAGAGTGCTGATTCTCAACGAACCCTGTGCCTTTCACAACTAAAGATGCCTGGGTCCTACCCGAGGGGATTGGGTGTGAGTCGTTCTCAGCACTGGTATTTTTTTTTTTTTTTAAATGCCCCAGCTCTTGCTAATTTGCTGGCCCAGGAGACCATCCTCCTAGAGATTCTGTTGTTCTTGCCAAAGTGACGATGCAAACAATGCCCTCTAGAGGGCGCGGTTTCCTAGCGCTTCAAGCACGGACAGGCGAAGGATTTCTTTTTTTGGAGAGCTTTGTAGAACGCACCTCCTGAAAACATCCATGTGTTGGCTTTAGTATACATATAGTCACAGGGTAGGTTCTAGGGAAAAAAATTGCACATGACATTTAAGATGACTAGAAAAGGGCAAAGCATATATTTTATTTGGGGGCAAAGAAGTGGGCCTTGTTAAATATAATTATTTTTAGAGCTTTAAGTCCTAGGAAGTAAGCCATTATGGCTGATGAGGATTTGTTGCAGACGGTGGACTCTGCGCATGGTTGGGGCAAGGGTTTGAAGAGGGTGGGTCTGGATGGTAGAATGTGCCCAAGCCTGTATTTACCTTTCCTGAAATCCCATAGAATAGCTCATTGAGAATGGGAATGGAAAGGGCTCCAGTGGACCAAAGGTTATGGAGAGCTTCTGGTGGTATTAACAGAAAAGTCAGCACAGACCAGGCATGCCCAGGGAAAGCCTGCAGGGGAAGTGGGTGCCAATTTATAGGATGGGCCTATCTAGAAGTGGCTGGGGTGAGTCGGAGTGGGAGTGAGGGAGACATGGTGCTGACTGGTTATATTTTGCATAGTTTTCTGGGTGGTTCCAATAACATTTCTCTTCATAAGCACCACCAGTACACACAGGACAGCAGAGACATTTGCTCAGGGCAAGAGATACCACAGCCTACCTAGTTGGGCTCCAGCTTCAAGAATGAGGGTGGGAGTACTGGAGCCGGCCTTCCCTGCCTTTGCCCCTTGGGGAAGGGGGCTGTCCCTAAAGTGAAGCCTGCCAAGTCAGAATAAACCCGAGCTTGCTGTTGTCCCTCTTGTTTAGGCGAGAGACTGGAAACAGCAAAGGCCACCCATGTCACCCACCTAAATGAAGAAGGTGAACAACGAAAAATCATGACACCTTTAGGGCAAATGCTCAGCACTTATATGAGAGGAACAGTCGACCCTCAAGAAGTGGATGAGTCTGGGGACAGAAAGGAATTTTCTGAGAATCCGATAGCATCCTCCAGGTGTTTTGAGCAAGTAGCACCTCTAAACGAAAGCAGGCTCTGTGAAAATGAGGCAATGAGAACAAGAAGGGTTTTAGAAATTAAACACATGATGGTCAAATCTTTTTTAAAAAATCAGCTGAAGATGGAACACAAAATCGAGGAGATCTCTTATGATTTAAAGCTAAAAACAAAGATAAAAAATACGAGAAAAATTTGAAAAGAAATCAGATTAATTGGAGGTGAGTGGGTATCCGTTTTAGCAATAGTCGCTCTGAAAGAACTGAGAGAGAAGTAGCATTACCAGGTAAGTAACATGGAAAGTCAGAGCCGGGGAAAATGATTCTTCGGATGGAAAGACTTTACCTACCACCTAGTAGAATGAAAGAAAAAAGCCCCAGATACAATCTGCTAAAACACTGGAATGTTAGGAACAATGTTAGGATTTTAATTGCTTCCAGAGAGAGGGTAAGCTACCCACCAAGGACTGAGAACTATTGTTGAACTGACTTTTCATTAACAACAGTAGAAATTGAGACGTGTACTCAAGAGTTCTGAAGGAAAATGATTTTGGATTACAATTCTGTCACCAGCCAACATAAGGTAAGACATCACACATGCATTGTCGGAAAATTGGAAGTACGCGTTTTCAGTGTACTTTTCTTGAAACAACCACTTGAGAATGTATTAGAACAGAATGAAAGCCAAGAAGACAACATGGCACCCAAGAACCTGGAGCTAACTCAAGAGTGCAAAGAACAATCCCAGGAAAACCACAGAGTGTCAGGCCCAGAAGGACATCAGGCCATGCTAGATCCTTCAACAAATCATAAGATCAAACAGCAGAAAATCTAAGAGGAGGAGAAGGTGGCATTGCACATGCCACGTACCCTTTTCCTGCTTTGGTGTCGCTGCATATTTGGTCTTTCTACCTAGAAGGATCATGTCATTCTCAATCTATTTTTTAAGAAAAAGAAAGAAAACACAGTTTTCTGCAGATTTAACATTCTAACAGATTATATCATCTTCAAGCTAGCTTTCCCAGGCTCCTCTTTTTCTCTTCATGCAGGTAGAGAAACACGTGAGTGATGCCGTTTCCAAAGGGGCCACCATTGTGACTGGCGGGAAGCGACACCAGCTTGGAAAAAATTTCTTTGAGCCCACTCTGCTTAGCAATGTCACCAGGGATATGCTCTGCTCTCATGAAGAGACATTTGGGCCTCTTGCACCAGTTATCAAGTAAGATCACCCTGCTGGTGGGAAGATGGGAGAAGATGAGTACAGAAGGACACCTAGAAAGAAATGTAGTTCAAATGCTGTTTCGAGGCCCTGGGGGTGGGAGGCCGGGCTGCAGGGGCAGAGCTGTGTTGTGTCAGCCAAAGAGCCAGGTCCAATTCATGGTTCTAAAAAATTTATATGTGTGTTTTTATCACTGCCTATTTAGACTACAAAATTCACCTTTGCCTTCCCCTTCTTACTTTCTTCTGAGCTCCATTTTCTTCTCCGTGGAACACATCCTCAAAGAGTTCTTTCAAGAATCAGTGGGAAATGAACTTACTCTTTCTGTTCTTAGGTGATGTTTTATCTCACTTTGAGAAGTCCATAATAATTTTGCCTGGATAAAATTCTAGATTCAACACTGCGAAGATACCATTAATTGTCTACTTATTTCCAGGATCATACCCAAGAAAGCTAGTGTCTAGCTTTGTTCCTATTTTTTCTCTTGGAGGCTGTTTAGATTTCTCACGGTCTTTGACACTGATGAGGCACATTAAAAGCCTCTCCATGCTGCAGTCTTGATGTCTTCTTTTCATACCCAAGGTGTCTATCTCGTCCATCATTCTTTAGTGGCCTTTCTAGGAAGTCTGTGAAAGTGACATGTCTGCATCACCCCCCACTTCTCTTCATGCTTATCTGTTCATCGCACCTTTTCATCCATTCCCGATGCCTCCTGAGACTCTGTCTCCTCCACCTGCCAGCTGAATCATCTGTTCTTCAGATACGTGCCCTCTGCTACCCAACCCATCCACCACATTCCTTCAATTACTCTATCACCCTTGATTCCTCTAGTTCGTTCTTCCCCGTGAGACGTTCTCACCTCATTATTCCACCTTATACCCCTGCTATGGGTGCTTATCCATTTCTTACATTTTATTCTGTTCCAGTGTTTCTGCCTTCTCTTGTGTAGATCATTTGGTTTGTCATCCTTTTCCTTCTCAGAGCTCCTCAGATGTCTTGCCCTTTTCTCTGTGAACTTGTCTATAGCTCCTGGAACTCTTAGCAGCCTTGACTGGTAGTATCTGCCTTGGAGTTGTGGTAAAAAGCTTAGGCCTTAGTCTGCGCTGATTCTGATACATTGGACCCGTAGGAAAGGAAGCTTCTAGTATGAAAACCCAGTCTCAACACTTCTGCCCATGCCCCAGGTATTTTTTGTTTCCTGGTGTATTTTGTGGTTACCGCTGGAGTAATGAGAGTGGTTCGAGGGAAGCAGCCTCTTGTTCATGCTATTGTCTACACACCAAGCCAGGTAGGCTCAAGCTCTGGTGGGGCCCCACCACTCTGAGCTGGCTCTGCTGCTTTTCTGCCTATAGCCTCGTAGCATCAGTCCAGGGACCCAGGTCTGTAGGCAATAGCACCTGAATTTGCAGGCACAGTGCGGGAGGTGCAGTCCCTCCCTCACCCTCTACTCTGCAGGCTCCGTGGTGCTCTGGCCCTTCCCACTCCTCCAAGGTGGGGGGGGGGGCTCCTAGCTCTCTCCCACTTGTCAGGATCCCACTACCCTCTCGGCCTCCGGAAGTGTCTTGTGTTTTTGGTGCTAGTTGCTGATTGAGGGTTTTTGAGCCTAGGATGCTTTGTCTCTGCTCCAGCATCTCCAGCATCAGGTTCCCAAGAACAGCTAGCCCCTGGTGCTATTTGCACCACTTATGTCTCTCTTATCATTTATTTTCTTGGCTTTGTTACTATCTTGCTAGTGAGATTTACATATTAATCCACCACTGGAGAAAATGGACCACTTGAAGAACTTTTGTCTTCTTGGTCTTAATAATTTTTTTTTTTTCCTAGAATGTGAACTTGACATTTTCAGGGAGCCTAAAGGATGCAGTGGTTAGGAGTGCAGGCTTTGGAGCTGAACTGGGTGTACAGTAGATTCAGGCTTTGCTGCTTCATACCTGTGTACCCTTGGGTGAATTAACTTGTCTGAGCCCAACGGTCCTTGCATGGAAAAGGAATTGAACTAGTACCTGCTTCGCAGAGTAGTTACACAGTTTCAATTACATAATGTGCATAAAGCACTTAGCACATTGCCTGATATCATTATGGTTGTTGTTACATAATTAAAGAATTAGGTCAGAGAGGGGGACAAGTTGTTACTAGTGGGCCCTGGTCTTCCCACACCCCTCCTCTGGGCAGAGAGTGGTAGGAGCACAGTTCCCTTGTTGGTATACACCGGAAGGTGCGGATCCTCACTGATGCCACAGATTACTGTGCTTCTCAGTGGGAAGTGGGACCATCAGCCCTATGATTCTGTTCTCCAGCAGGCAGAATGGCTTGCTGTCTGTCTACAAGTTGACAAGCCTAGGAGACATAGGTGCTCATCGTCAGACAAGTGATTCTCCTGGGGTCCCCCTTCTTTATCTTGATCTCTCCCCAGAGCCCTCTTCTCTCCCACTCTTCCTCTTGTGTAGACAGGACCCAAGGCAACCCCTGGCTCTGCCCAGTGCCTTCAGAGAGATGGCTGGCACTCATTGCCAGCAGATATCTTTTTTTTTTTTAAACATGAGTACTTCTTTATTGAGGCCATGCTTTTTTTTTTTTTAAGATTTTATTTATTCATCATAGACATAGAGAGAGAGAGAGAGGCAGAGACACAGGCAGAGGGAAAGGCAGGCTCCATGCTGGGAGTCCGCCGTGGGACTCGATCCCGGGTCTCCAGGATTGTGCCCTGGGCCAAAGGTAGGTGCTAAACCGCCGAGCCACCCCGCGGATCCCCTCATTGCCAGCAGATATCTGAATTTAAGAATTGGGGTGATTAGGGGATCCCTGGGTGGCTCGGCAGTTTAGTGCCTGCCTTTGGCCCAGGGCGCAGTCTTGGAGTCCCGGGATCGAGTCCCACGTCGGGCTCCCGGTGTGGAACCTGCTTCTCCCTCTGCCTGTGTCTCTGCCTCCCTTTCTCTCTCTCGCTCTCTCTCTCTCTGTGTGTGTGTCTATCATGAATAAATAAATAAATCTTTTTTAAAAAAAGAATTGGGGTGCTTAGAGCTGTCTGCCCCAGAAAAAATGCTTCTCAGATCTTGTTCCAGAAGTAAAATGATAAAGCTGAAAGGGACTGCACAAGGCTTTGGTACAAGCACTCTTCATTGCAGGTAGGAGCAGGCTCCCAGGGCCACATACTCAGGACTCGGCTCTGGCTTCCTCAGATGCCTTTCTGCCACATGACGCTTGCTTCTAAGGTGGTTGCTGATTGTTATGTAGTCTCAGTAGGTAGCAAGAGCAGTAATCCTTTTTGAAGGCGTTTGGTTTGATATCCTGGATGTGCTGTGGTTCCCTACTGGCGGCCTGCTTGCTCTTGTGCTCTTGGAAGAGAGGAGCCAGCACATGTGGAGCAGTGGGGCTGTTTTCTTCTATACTCTGCCCTGGGGTCTCTGCAAAACTGCGATTTACCCTTTGCCATTATTTGGGAAAACAGGAGAAAAACAAGCCAGTTTTCTTTACTCTCCCCTACAGAGTTTGCTGACAATACATTTCACTTTGGCAGATTTGACACAGAGGAGGAGGCTGTGGCAATCGCTAACGCGGCTGACGTGGGGCTAGCAGGTAGGTCTTCCTGCTGGGTGTGGTCCAAACCATTTCTCAAGCTGCTGCTGGGGCTTGCCTTTTAAACATCACCCTGGGTTTTGAGAAGGAAATGCCATTGGAGTATATGTTTGCTGCTTCCTGGGGCACAAGTCGGTTTGTGCAAGTTTGTGGTCCTCTGCTTGGGACTTTTGTATTTGGCAGTTCTCTGGTGAGAGCGAGGGGACCAGGAGAGACCAGGTGGCACAGGTTGTGGGTGGAGAATTACATGCCACACAAGTCCCATGTCCTCACAGGCTTGCCTAGAAATTCCAAGTCTTGTCTTCCATTTGACCACCTGGCTCCTGGCGGCCTGAACCAGACCCAAGGCAGTGGCAGAGCACCAGGGACTGCGAAAGAGGCAACGAGCACGCATGTAGACGGCCTGAATAGCCACCGTCCTTTTAGTTTAGAGATGGTCAGGGTGGCCACAACATGTACCCTGTTATCCTGACATCATTGTACGCACATAAATGCACACAGCAAATCGATGTTTAGCCTCCACCGTGGGGGAAGTACTGAGAAAGATAGAGACATAGACATACAGCTAGCTACAGCTCTGCAGGAGCTGCCACTTCAGGCATAAGGGAAGTATTTATACCAAGAAGAAGGACATGCACACCGTGTAGGCCCTTCTGCCACGCTCCCTACATAGAGTTATCATAAGGCTTGGGTGAGATGTGTGCAGGAGAGCCTCAGGGACACTCACTCAGTGTGCCTTTCTTCCCTGGTGACGGGATGAGGGCAGAGAGAACTACACCTGGCACTGCGTCGTGGGCTGCCATCGGTGATGAGCAGTGTTCTGCTTCTGCAGAGATGGGAGGAGGGAAATTCTGGGCAGAGGGGACCAAGGAAGTTAAGAGGGAAGGAAGGAAGGATGAGGACAATTTGGTTGCAGAGTTTGGAGAGGATGGCTGGTGAGTGCCATGATGGAAGGTAACACTGAAAATGTTGGCCAAGGCCACACTGGGGAGGGTCCAAGTATTCACAAAGAGGTTAACCTTATAGTTAGCAGAAGGTGGGGCAAACACTGTGACAATAATCTCACAGAGCTGTGCAGGAGAGGCTGGGCAGCAGGTGGCAGGAGCTGGGGAGGGTACCGTTGCATCCTGGTAGGAGGTAAAGTGAGCCCTCCTGAGGGTGGATCAGAAGCAGAATGATTACAGCCCATGGTTCTGAGACCGAGACATGGACAGGACCAGCTTGGGGCCCCCTGTGGGAGCAGGGAGGATCCCAGGCCCCAGATGAGACACAGTTGCCAGTGGCATCCTCAGCTTTAGACATGATGTCTTTAACGACTGTTCCACATGCTCTGAATGTTCCTTATCTCCATGACAGGTTATTTTTACTCTCAAGACCCAGCACAGATCTGGAGAGTAGCAGAGCAGCTGGAAGTTGGCATGGTTGGCGTTAATGAAGGATTGATCTCCTCTGTGGAGTGCCCTTTTGGAGGCGTGAAGCAATCTGGCCTTGGGCGAGAGGGGTCCAAGTATGGCATTGATGAGTACCTGGAACTCAAATATGTGTGTTTTGGAGGTTTGTAGGATTGATTAGTTCTTTAAAAAATAAAAAAGGAAGCTTACCTACATAGATGGGGACATGCCCTCCATTATTTTAATGAACTTCTAGATTATTGGAATTAGGAATTTTAAAAACTTCTCCAATGCTCATAATCTTAAGTAGAGTTGAATCCCACCCCTCCCCTTACCTAACTAGGGACCAATAGAGGCCACGTTCCTGTGGCAGCAGCTTCCCCAAGAACCAGCACTGTGTTTATAGAGCAAAGCCCTGGGACTCCGCCACAGCCCCATCTGCCTCAGAGCAAGCTGCAGCATGAGGGTGGCTCTGGGGGCCTGTCACAAAGGCTCGATCACTGCCTGGGTGGCAGCACAGCCATCTCCCCTGTGGCTCTGAGCTGGGACCAGAGGGCTGCAGGGGAGCCCTGAGCACAACAGAGAGGCTGGCCAGGGTGGGCACACCATCTGCGGCAATCTTCCAGCTCCACACTACAGACACCTACTGTGTGTTCAGAGGTGTTGCCACAGAGGCCGAGTTCATCATTTTTAAGACCTCGAAATAGCACAGAATTGTCTGTGTTTCTGTGAGGGATGAAAAGGCACCTCTCCCTTTTTCTGGACCTTCTTTTTTTAAGTTTATTTATTTTTTAGTAAACTCTATATGCAACATGGGGCTTGAACTCATGATCCTAAGATCAAGAGTCACATGCTGTACTGACTGAGCCAGCCAGGCACCCCTGTATCATTTTTTAAGCTGAAGTCTTCATCATCCTAAAATTACTACTTAAAGATTTTGTTTTCATTTCCATCCTCCTTTCCATTCATCTTTAGGAAATGAGGTTAAGCATAAAGCAAAGACCTTACCTTTCTCAGCTGGTAGATGGGAAGGTGCTTACAGAAAGGCATGGACCAGCAGTGTCTTTACCCGATAATAGCTTTGTCCCTGTAGACATGCCATTCAGCATCCCTGTTCCTTGTGTGGAATGGAGATTCTGTATATGCCTTACTTAGCTTGATGGGATATTGTGAGCCTGACAGTGAAATATTTGCCAAAAAAAAAAAGGAGAGAAAGAAAGAAAGAGAGAGAGAGAGAGAGAAAGAAAGAAAATTCAGTGTAAGTACAGGGGCCATTAATGTTAGTAGCAGCATAGCCCCCCACCTTGGGCATCCAGGTGTGGCTCTGCCAAGGTGAAGAAGGCTAGTGCCCACCTGCGCTCCTACCTGAGACTAAGCAGTTGTCACTTGCAGCCTGCTCTTCCTGTCCTCATGGGGTGCTGCTCCTTCAGCTCCAAAAGAACAAAAGCAGTCTCACCACAGTGACCCCAAGAGGAAAATAAATATCTATTATTGCCAGTTCACCTAATGGAAGAGGCATGAGACCTTGAATTCCAGGCACCCTTTATCCAATAAGAGTTTTTACGGTTCATTATTTGAAACAAAAATGACCAGTGTTCCCTATCACTCTGAAAGAAGAACTCTGATTCAGAAAGTTCTAGGCTTTTCTGGACATGTCTCCCACCCATACTCATTTAGAGGGAAAGGAATCAAGGCTGTTCCTGGCTGAATAAGCAGAGATAAGCTCTTTTCTTACCCACTCTGTGTGTGGAGTCCACTGACATCCCATGAATATTGTGGGTAGTAGAAGGAGAACCTGAGGGATAGGCGTGCTGGTGGGGGCAATTCCTCTTGTCCCCCTGCCCCTTGGTACTCTGAGTTCCTCCCTGCATCCTGGGGGAGCCATGGTTAAGTCAGTAACAGTCTGGAATGCCCATAGGCACAGAGGAACTTCCTGCCGGTCCTGAAGCTACCTTCTATTTAGCCTACATTGTACCAGCCATATCCCCAATACTCACAGAAGAAATGAGCTGAACTCTGCCTCCTGGTGACATCCCTCCCCCAGGGCCTATCGGGAATCACATATGCAGCACATCGACAGATTATTTCTTTTTTGCTTTTATATTTTAGGTGGTTTTATATAACATTCTAATTCTTAAGATTTGGATATATCCATCTGTTTTATCAATAAAGATGCTATAACATTATTTGTTAGAAGTCTGGAACACTGATGCTTGGAGGTGCCAGGAGAATGCATTTAAGTACGTGTGCAACTTTGTAAGGCAATGGATTCCTTGGTGGGGTCGCAGATTTAAGTTTTCTTGTATATTTGGCTCATCCAACATAAATTGAGGTCCAGAGACACATTGCAATGTCTTTGATTAATTTTATGATTAAAATAATTTGAGAAGGAAATAAGTTACTGTTTAGTAACATTGTTTTGGGTTGTGGGAAGAAAGAAAAGTGTCTCTAATCAAACATTTTGGGGGGTTTTCAATAAGGTAATCCTGTGTGGTGATGTTTGCCAGGGGTTTGCTCACAAGCCAAATCTGGCCCACCACTGTTTCTCTACAACCCAGAGCTAAGAATGGTTTTGCATTTCCAAATGATTTTTGCACCGGGGGTGGGGGAATCAAAGGGTAATATTTCATAGCACAAAATTATATGAAATTCAGATTTCAGATTCGCACCAATAAAACTTTACTGAAATACAGCCATGCCCGTTCATTTAACATTGGATCCATGGCTGCTTTCTTGGCAGAGCTGAGTACAGCAACACAGACCCACAATGTGGCCCGAAAGCCTGTAATATTGACTGAATGCTTACAGAAAAGGCTTGCCAACCCCTAATCTGGACACACTGATGCTGAGGGAGACACTGATCTTCCTGTATTTATCAGGCATTATTTTATTTCTTTGAACACCTACATAAAAAGTAATTTTCTGGGCATGGCTCCAAAAAGTTCTCCCCAAGAACTTGCCAGCAATAATCACATAACTCAGATGAAATTACCCAGATAACAGGAGTCTTGACCTAGAGAAAACATCTCAATTTACTTTCCCCAGCTAGGCAAGGATTCCCATTGAAACAGCTTATCTGTATCTGTTGCGTTTAATCCCTTTGGGTGGCTTGCAAACATGATTTTACATCAGGTGTTGTTTCTTTTTTCCTTTATTCTAATGGAAAGAGTCAGTGAAAATAAATATCAGAAGCACAATGCAGGGGATCCCTGGGTGGCTCAGCGGTTTGGCGCCTGCCTTTGGTCCAGGGCACGATCCTGGAGTCCCGGGATCGAGTCCCACATAGGGCTCCCAGCATGGAGCCTGCTTCTCCCTCCTCCTGTGTCTCTGCCTCTCTCTCTCTCTCTCTCTCTCTCTCTCCCCTAAATAAATAAATAAATCTTTAAAAAATAACTAAAAATAAGTTGATTAAAAAAAAACTTATTAAAAAAAAAAGCACAATGCAAATAAATCTTATTTTACTGTTATACTGTTAACTTTAGATTGTGCCGCATGCCTGCTTTCCTGAAGGCTGAGCCCAGGGTTTTAATTATTCATGTGCAGCTATGTTAGACAGCATTTTACTTTAATATTTATGCTTTGATTTTTGTGTGTGTGCTATATTTTTTAGGATAAAACTTGGGAATACATGTAGTAGGAAGTATGGAAACGTTTTGCTTTTTAAACGTGCATGTAACTCATTTTTCCAGTTTTTGATAATTGTGTACATGGATCAGTGTCTTGTCAGCAGAGTTGTGTGTGTATGTATGTATGTGTAATTAATAAATGTTGCATAACAGAATTTCCTGTTTCTGTGTTAAGGTTTCTGGTTCTGCTTTTCTCCCTTCTGATTTATCACTTGAGTTTATATTGGACATTATTAGACCCATTCAGATAGGTATGAAGAGTAGCAGAATATGCCATCCCAAAATATGCTGCTCTGGTGTAAGGATTATTGTGAAGATGCCTAGAAGAAGCGGATGGCAGAAATGCCCCCTATTTTCTTAATGCAGGACCCAAGTTTACAAAGGTGCTCCCACCCATGCAATAGGAAGGACAAAGGTTGATTCCCAGAGACCACTCTAGATCCTGAAGAGGGCCTAGCGTCTGAAGAGGGCACCAAAGGAATCTATCCAACAAACTTTACCAACTGGCCTTTATCTCTGCCCTTGAAAATCTACAATGGCTTTCCTCCTGTCATTTCTTGGCAAATGTATTGTTCTTTTGTTGAGGATGTTACCTAAGCCAGAGTTTTAAGCCACCTCTTGGAGTTCCTCATTCTTCCCTGGGTCTCTCCCATATATATGTGAGGCATACATGTTATTAAACTGCTTTTCTCTTTTTCCTCTAATTTTGATTACAGAGGTCTCAGCCAAGAACTCAGGAGGGTAGAAGGAAAATTATTTTTCCTCTCCTACAGGTGTAAATACTGCTCCCTCCACAGAGAGCTGCTAGTCAGTGCATGCTGTGGGCCAGAAGCTTGCATGTGAAACTGTGTACACTAGCATCTGCAGGAAGATCTGTCCCATGGTTTGTGTTCATTAAATGTTTGCTGAACTAAACTGAACATTTTTGTTGTTTATAAATGTAGCTGCATGAGAAAGGAGTATATTCCATCTTTCTCAAATTTTCCAGTATCTTCTATTCACTCCACTGTTTGTTATCCATTATATACTTTTTCCGAAGTTTGGGTTTTTCTGATAGAGATGTATGAGGAAGAAATTCTCTGAAATCCTGCTCTTCAGATATAATCACTGTTAGTTATTTTAACAGTGTATCTTATATTCTTACCCAGTGCTCATTTATATTTTAAGAAATTTCACGTGGCCTTGGGGCACCTGGGTGGTTCAGTAGGTTAAGTGTCTGCTTTCAGCTCAAGTTGTGATCCTGGGGTCCTAGGACTGAGCCCCACATCAGACTCCTTGTTCAGTGGGGGTGAGGGGGGTGTCTCTCTTCTTCCTCTCCCCCTGCTTGTGGTCTCTCTCAAATAAATCTTGAAAAAAATAAATTTCATGTGGATTCATTTAATCTGGCATTGAAGAAAAGTAAGTTTTTCATTAAAAGAGCAGTGCCACTGGATATATGCCTCCCTTTGTAATTCCATTGAGTTCATGTATTTGTTTTTACCTGCTTTGGTTTTTTTCTTAATGAACATATGAGAAGTGTTTCATTAAACTCATTAATGAGGAAACTTGTAAGGGTATTATAACCAGTTAAAAGAAGCCAAAAGAACCTCACACAAACTTCTATGGATAAGGAGCCTTGAAATGAATGCGCAAATGGAAACACACTGGGTTCTTCCATACATGGGAGGGAAGTCAGTGAGACTCCAGGACAGGACAGAATTTGCACTTCCCACTGCTCTTCTCTACAATGGCACAAAGTAAGCAGATGCCTCAAGGGCAATGAATGTGGAATCAGATAACCCAGAAAGGCCATGCTTTGTGTAGACAATGCCTACTATTCCACTGAACCTGCTTTTGATTTTTAAAATTACTTTATTTCCAGGAGGAACTATCTACTTACCTCTCGATTTGGAGGTTCTTTCCATGCTTGGCCTAGGCCTCTGCTTAAAAGCAAGTATTACTTTTATCTTCCTACTATTTCTTACATTTTTCTATCAGTACAGGTTCTGCTACAGCTGCTTTCTTCCTGATTTAGCCTGCAACAAATTAAAAAGCAAATTAGGGTGGTTTTCATTTATGAAGTCTGGGAAACTTCTCCTGAAAATTAGCAGGCCCTGCTTCATCTAAGAGCATTGAAAGGCTACCTGCACATTCTATTTGCATGTGCTCTTTATAAATGAGTCGGACATGGGTTTGGAAATTGGCAGTCTGAAGATTTATGTATCATCCATCCATGTTTTCAACTAACTAGGAAGGACTAGCCACAGTGTAGACCACAGACAATCCTGTCCCGATGATTCAGGGCACATGAATGTTTTTGCAGGTGCTATGTCAGACTAGCTAAGACCTCAGGCCTGCAACTCTGGGCTCATCACTTTCAGGACAGAGGTGATAATACTAAGTATGCCACATATAGGAAATTTGGCCATTCCCTAAACTCATCTCCAAAGGGGAGACATGCTGGCTTTGCTTTTTGTTGTTACTGCTGACTTTAATGGAAAAACTTTTAGCATTTCACTGTTAATCATGATTCTGGCTGTTTACCCTCAACATCTTTCATTTGTTCATTCATTCATGAGAGACACAGAGAGAGAGAGACATAGGCAGAGGGAGAAGATGCGGGACTCAATCCCAGGACCCTGGGATCACGCTCTGAGCCAAAGGCAGATATTCAACCACTGAGCTACCCAGGTGCCCCATCTTTCAACTTTTTATTTTGAAATAATTATAAACTCACAGGAGGTTGCAAAAGGAGTAGATTGCTCTGTACCTTCCACCCTTTGTCCCCCAGTGGTTACCATCTTACATAACTAATACCAGGCAACTGACATAGTATCATACTGTTTATACAGGCCTTATGCCAGTATCCCCAATTTTTTGTAGACTCTGTTTGAATGTGTGTTATATCCAACTTAATCCCACCAGTAGGAAGGTTTGTGTAATCATCGCTAGAATCAAGATACAGAATTGTTCCACCACCACCAAGAAAACCCCTCATGCTATCCCTTTAGACTTAGTTGGCTTTAAAGTCACTTGGTAAGGTTCTTATTATTGAGTGGGAGCATTAAGGAAGGTACGTGATGTGATGAGCACTGGGTGTTATATTTAATTGATGAATCACTAAATTCTACCCCTAAAACTAATAATACAGTATATGTTAATGAAATTGAATTTAAAATTTTTTAAAAATTTCATTCAAGTGTAACATGCATACAAAAAAGAGAACTTAAGTGATTAAGTGAACAAGTTAATCTTCACACACTGTGCACACCCTGTGACCAGCACCCAGAGAAAGAAACAGAACACTGCCAGCCCCTGCCTGTGCCCCTGTTGGAATGATCAGTTTTGGTTTGTTTTTAAAGGTTTATTTGTTGGCATACTTGAGTGGCTCAGTTGGTTAAGTGTCTGCCTTGGGGCCAGGTCAGGATCTCAGGGTCCTGGGATCAAGCCTCGCATCAGGCTCCCTGCTCCGCAGGGGGGTCTGCTTCTCCCTCTCCTGCCCCCACCCTGGGCCCCGGAGACTGCTCCACAGACAGCAGAGGTGAGGTGCATGGGTTCCACGAAGGCTTTATTTGTGCACACTGAAATACAAACTCCACTTAAGTCTCACAACAGCCTTATGATTTTCCCCAACCATTTGGAAATATGAAAACCATCCCTCGCTCACGTGTCACACAAAACAGGTCACACAAAACAGGTCACTGGCCAGCTTGTGGACTCTCACCCAAGGGAAGCGCCTCATGCGAAGAATGAAGTAAACTCCCAGTTACAACTAGGCGTCATAGAAATAGACACCTTTATTTAGACTGGCCACGTCTCATACATGCGGTCTTAGAACGAGGACCCTGTCAGACCTGGGAAATACTTTACAGGATGGGGTCTTGAGTGTCCTGCCTCCAGGCTGGTAGTGACTCCTGCACTGTGCTGTCTTGCTTTCTTCAGTCACACACAGGACCAGCCTCCTAGTACCAGCTCACATCCTCTTGCAATGACTGGAAGGGAATCGTGGGCTGGTTTCTCCATTGGAGCTGCCAGAGCCCCTTCCCTCCATGGGCCCGGGGATATGCTGTGGGACAGAATGAAGGAGACGGCGCTCGTTCACCCCACGCTGGTCTGCCTGGGACCGCAGGGTACTGAGGAGGGTGGGCCACCGCTGCCTGGTACACATGAAGTTGAGGTCCACCAATAGTTGAGGGAGGCTGAGAAGGCCAGGCACAGCCCAGGGCAGGTGGAAGTGGCACTCTGAAACCCAGGGTGGTGGCGCAGCGTGGGACCCCACAGGAGAGAGAGAGAGGCTTCCCTCTCTGTATTTTGTGTTCTGTCCACCATCTGAAGGAATTCCTCTGGGTCACAGGAACAGACAATCCAAAAGCCCCTCCCCCCCGAATTTGCTGTCCAATGGTTGAGGGTGGGAGATCTTTGGGTAATAGGGGAGGAGGGTGGAAAGCACTGGCTTTACAGCTTAAAAATTTTGCATTCAGTTACCAGATCTACTGACCTTGTGCAAATTGCTTAATTAACCTCTCTGAGATGTCAGATGGCTATCTGCAACATGAGAATAATAACATCTATTTTTCTAGGCTGACTGTACGGACCAGTTGGGTATATAGAACACATGTATTACACACATAAAACACTTAAACGTTTGCTCCCTTCTTCCTCACTGCACTCTACTGACCTCATATTTGGGCTGCATTCCTCGAAGCCAAGATTTCTGTTTGTACACAAAGTAACATAACTCTGTTCGCTAGATATGCTAGATATCGTTTATCAAGATAAATATTGGTGTAAAAACTATCACATCTTCCTTCTAACATCACAGATAGTATATTGAACTGACTAGCAATACAGAAAGTAGAGACAGAAGCAGAGAAATTATTTTTTAAAATAAAATTAGTCTTACATAATTTTTAGTTCAGCTATTCCCCAAAAAGTACAAAAATTAAATACATGATGATCTCACAAGGATGAATATGACCAGAGAGAACAAAAGCATCTGAAAGCTTAGTTTTTGTTTTTGTTTTTTTAAGGACCCATCACAGGAGCTATTTTTCCCACTTGTTCCTGTCCTGAGGGTTTAAACCTGGTGGTTTAATGCTATTGCTTTTTCACTTAATCAGGGCAAAGCAATCTTAGCTTCACAGGAACTTGTGCACCAGGATACTCTTCAGGTATGTTCATGCCTGAGGCCATAACACTGATTCTGTGATGCACCCCACCTCTATTCTAATCTTCCTGAAGAATGCCAAGGGGATCTCCCAGGCCACAGCCTCGAGACTATGGGTGGATAGAGAACTACCACAAGCCAGCCACCTTCTCAGGCTATAGTTCACTCCAGTTCACTGCTCTGGGGCGCTATATGCTTGATGTTTCTTTCTTTTTTTTTTTTTTTCCATATATTTAAAATAAGATTTTGTAGAAAAAAATGGTTAAATAAACATAACTTTAAACATGAATGTCTACATCAATTTGTTATTGTGGGAAGTATCTGTAGGGGCCAATTATCATGAGCATACCATCCTCATTAAGACAGACTTCATTTCAGAGTTTGGGAATCTATACAAAGTCACTGAGTCATTATCACGATCTATGGCAATCCAAATGCATGGCCTATGTACATACTCAACCAAATGTTCCATGAGTTAATAAATCACTTTTATCATGTGTAATGTAAATTGGGGCTAGGAAAGGGCTCATAGTAGTTTGTTTTCCTACGACAAAGAAAAGGCAAAGAATGTTAACATACTTTCTTCAACTGTCAACTTACAGGTCATTAATCTCCCCCCTCCCTTTCTATAGCCTCTGGTTCTCATAATGTAATTTTTATTTAGCTCTCCGACTTCCAGGAGCTGCTGTCCACATAGGGCATAGAAATAGTAGTTGGCCATAGCAAGGGATTAACGTAGCGAGGGGCCTTTCTCTGTATGGGTGTCTCGGTCGGCACAGAAAACTTGTCACACAGAAGACAACCCACATGTCAGATGAACTACTTTAGAATATACAGCCACGTGACTATATGGGTCCTACCAGAGAAACAGCATTCAGAAAGTCGTCCTCAAAGGCAGTCACAGCTCCTAAGAGAAATCAGCCCTGTTTAAATTAATATTTAACTTACCTAAAGGTCTGCAGAGAGAAACACGTGTTAGTCTTTAACACAGGTAATATAGTGAGCCAGCTACAAAACACAAAACTCTTTTAAGTATATAACTAGTATCTTTCCCAACCTTTCTCCCTATTAACAAGCATCTCTGTTAAGAGCAATGTTGCTATTTTGTTTCATGTCTCCAACACCCTGAGAAAACAGATCTTCTAAACACAGGGACACATCCACCCGGTGTGCAAAGACATCGATGTGCTAATGTAACAACATTTCTGTGTTTTAACTCCCATTAACTAGTCCTGGGTTAAGCGATCCCATGGGTGGCCTTCAGGTTTACAACTGCTCCATTATCTGTCCTTTGAGCAACAGCTGAAGGAAGCTCCATTTCTGAGGGAGCCGTTCATAGAAACTTTTGGATTCTCTCTTTCCATTCTTTCTCGGCTGAAGATTGTGTCCTGGTCACTGTCAAACTCAGACTCAGACACCATCAGGCTGGAGTTGTGCTCTGTGCTTCGGTGTTTGATACCTAGGGAGAAGCAGACAGATGCATCTTGGGGGAGATGGCCTTTTCATTCTCCACTATCATTCTGGTTGTAGGTCCCATGTACCGGTTGTGTGCTCTCTCTTCAAAGCATCACTCACAACACAGCAAGCGTTGGGGGTCCTGATGAGCATTACTAGGAGCTTTGGAGTCGCCTCCGATCTGAGGCCCAAGCTTTGACACTTACCAGCTTGCTGTGTGATGCTGGACAAGATGCCTAACCTCTCTGGGCTTTCAGTCTCATTAGCCATTAAAAACTGGGAGGTAACAAAGCATTTCTTTCATGGGTTTATGGTGAGGATTTAGTGAAACAGTACACGTGAAGCCACTGCCCAGTATTTAGCACTCAGTAAGCACTCGCTAAATGAAAATTCTTATGATTTTACTATTTGGTTCAATCAAAATATTGTGGGTGAATGTGTGATTGCTGGTGGTCAAAACAAGAGACAGAACTGGTATAAGATATGATCCCTGCTCTGAGAATTTATTGTGTCTAGCTAAGGGTTTAAGGCAAAGATTCATGAGAAGATGGTCAAACAGGCAAAAAATTTTTTAAAATAATTTTTTTAAAATTGTATTTATTCATGAGAGACACACACACATACACACACAGCAGAGAGAGAGAGAGAGAGAGAGAGAGGAGACAGGCAGAGGGAGAAGCAGGCTCCATGCAGGGAGCCCGGTGTGGGACTCGATCCCGGGACTCCAGGATCACGCCCTGAGCCAAAGGCAGACACTTAACTGCTGAGCCACCCAGGCGTCCCTTTAAAATAAATCTTAACAGGAATCCAGAACAGATAAGCACACACTGATCAGTCAGTATTGTTTCAGCGATATTTCACACAGGATGAGATTTGGACAGCAGGAGAAGGAAAGGCGTGTAGTGTGTAGAGAGGTACCAGTCATTGGGAGAAGCAGATGGCCTGGCCCAACCCGCCATGGGCACTCACCAGCTCCGTCACTCAGGCAAGTGGCTAAGCTTTTCTGTGTCTCAGTTTCCTCTTCTGTGAAATGGGGAGAATCAGAGTATATATCTCACAGAGCTGTTGGTCTCACTGGAATTAAATGGGTGACATGCCTGGAACAGGATGTAGTACATATGAGCCAGTAACTACCTGTTAAGAGTTACTCTCAGAGGCCACCTGAGTGGCTCAGCAGTTGAGCATCTGCCTTCAGCTCAGGTCATGATCCTGGGGTCCTGGGATCGAGTCCCTCATCAGGTACCCTGCAAGGGGTCTGCTTTTCCCTCTGCCTATGTCTCTGCCTTTCTCTGTGTGTCTCTCATAAATAAATAAAATCTTTAAAAAACAAAACAAAAAGTTACTCTCAGGTAACTACTCTGAGGTTAGAAGGGTCTGAAGGGGGTAGTGAGAATGTTGGGGAGAGGCAACGAGACTAAATGAGAGGGTGGGTGGAGTGTGAACAAGACACTGACACCAAGGTTTAGAGCCTGGTAATAAGAATGAGGGTTCTCGGAATAGAGACAGGGATGAAGGACGAGTGTACCTTAGGAGGAAGGTGGGTCACATAATGCAACTTGAAAGCACTTTGAGCTCTTAGGTCTAGAGCTGCTTTATAAACCTGATATGAGATGATGTAAATGGTGAGCACACATACATTTATTATATTACTCTCACTTCCATGTCCTGTGAAACCCTCCCTGCCAGAGCCCCCATCAGTCAGCCCCGTGGGGTCCTGTGCTCAGCCAGGCGCCATCAGGGCCTCGGCAGATCTCCCTGCGCGCTGCTCTGACCGCCTCTTCTGGCCAGTCATCCTGGGGAGGCAGGTGCTGGCCTTCCTTGTCCCCATCTCTGGGGCTTCGTCACTGTCAGCACATAGGGCAGGCACTCAGCATTTACTGTGGACATTTTGCATCTCACAGCTTTGAGAGTGCTATGTCCCTCTGTGAGAATTTAGTGATAAACTCAGAATTATGAAGAACCCATACAAATGAGTGCTGAGCAGCTTCAGAGGGCCAGGGTAGGTTTACTGCATCTCTAAGAGTTACTGAGGGAGAGTCAGAAAGTTCTCTGAGATGGGCCAGAGGTACTTCTAAACATAGAGCTCTGCTCACTTTGTGAAGACTGTCATCAGTTTTCTGTAAAAGCTTTGTGTTCATCTGCATATAGCTAATCAGCTAATGGAAATGATGTTAAAGTCCACGTGTTATTCTGCTGCATTCTGGTGGAGCAGACCTGCAGGACATGGTGTTCAGAGATGAGCTGCTGTGGATTGGCCTACACGCTCCACACCCCACACTCCAACGAGGAGAGACAAACCTGTTTGAAAAGCAGTCTGCCTGCAGTCATTCAGCTGACAGCAGGTATTTTATATCCCTCACCTGTGAAAGCCTCAAAGTGCTTCACCAAAATCTCATGAAATTCAGAATACAACTATGCCCCCCACCGCAGATCCTTGGGACAGGTAAAGGCTTTTCTTCCCAGAAGCCCAGACTCACTCTTCCTTCCCTATGAGAGTGCTGGCTCCAGCCCGTTCTCCCATCACCCAAGGTAAGGCTCAGGCAAACGCCTGGACCCAGTCATTTAAAGGCAGCAGGTAAGCATCCTGAAGACCACCTTACCAAATTTCGGCCTCAGCTCCATTCTTTCCTGGTCATCTATGTTATCCAGGATGGTATACTTGGTTTTCTTTCTTATTTTAGTCCTTTTTCGTCTGAAAGGAACAAGAAAAAGCTCAACTCAGATTCTCAGAGAGGGGACTGGGACCCAGGAATTAAAACACTAAGGGGAATGGTTTGTCTTTAGAATGGGAGGGTTGGCACTTCTACGAATGATGTGCACACAGCCAGGTCTGGGTTCAGTGGAACAGAGGTGCACCACGCATCTTGAAGAAACACAGAAGCAGGACAGCCATACATACCAGCAGCGCCCACCTAGCTGAAGGCTCTCAGGTAAGCCTGGGCGAGGGCCCAGGGCCCTTGAGAGCAATCCTTTCGCTACCTGTGTGTTGGCAAAGTGAGCTTTCTCCTTGAGTAATTCCTTACTCAGAAACACCTGGATGCACACATTTTCCGCTGAACCTATACTGGCCTAGAATGTCCAAAGATGCAAAGAGGATGTAAGCTAGCAACCAGGGAAAAAAAAAAAAACCCAACAGAAATATAACAGATTCCCAACATTAACTGGCAACAACCCAGGATTTCATTTTTTTACAGCATGTGAAAACTGGGCTGGTCCTTGGTATGTCATCTTGAGCTTCAGGGAATTATTTGGAGATGTGCTTCCAAGCCATGGGAAGGTTACATTGAGGACCGTTTCACAGCACTGAAACTGTTTCTTGACAGGCTGGTGACCAAGAACATGGGCCTCTGATCCCTGATTCAGTGCTTACTAACCGGGTGATGCTGAGATCATCTTTCGACATTTCTGTGACTCTATGTTCCCACCTATAAAATGAGAGTAAAAACAGTCCCTTTTTATATGGTTGGTGGGAGGACTGAATATTTATAAAGCACTGAGAGCCATTCGTCACAATGGCAAATATTTAATATTATTTATTAACACTTAAAATAGTCACAGTCAACCACTCTCTTCAGCATCACCATCATCTGCTTGATACACATGTCACAAAACAGCAGAATGTGTATTTTTTAAGTTTTCATTTATTTTTGTTTTTTGCAGAACTTTTTAAAGCCAAGCACAGCAGGGTGTCCATCATGTATCGTAATTCATCATATCTTCTTTGGAGAGCATTTAGTATTTTGTGTAGGAAGGTGGGCCACCCACACAGTATTCTGAGGACTTGAGAAATCACTGTCTCTACAGATCTCACAGAAGGCTGGGCACAGAGTTCTGGAGGATTCAGACACTGAGGCAGCTCAGAGGTTTCTCAGGTCAGCTCCACGGAAAAAGGAAGAAGGAAAAACCTAAAGCAAAACTTCTCTCTCATGAGTATATGGCCCTGATTAAAGTTCTGCATTTATTAAATAGGATTCAGATGGATTCCACTGTTGCTTCACCAAAAAAATAAAAATCTAAATTTGCATCAGAATGTTCTAGAACTCCTTCCTCTCCTGTGGGCTAGTCAGGCCACTCCAGGAGAGTTGTAGTAACCATCACGTGAAGCTGATAGAATATAAGATTTGATACAGAATCACTAAGCCTTCTAGGGAAGAGGTAAGCTGCATGCATTAAGATAAGTCTGCCTCTGGATACCTGGGTGGCTCAGTGGTTGAGTGTCTGTCTCTGGCTCAGGTCATGATCTCGGGGTCCTGGAGTTGAGTCCCACATCAGGCTCCCTGCATGGAGCCTGCTTCTCCCTCTGCCTATGTCTCTACTCTCTCTGTGTCTCTCATGAATAAATAAATAAAATCTTTAAAAAGAAAAAAAAGAAAAAGCTGCCTCTGGTATTATTCCATTTATCTAGGCACACATGCCTTGTGAAGAGAGTACATTATAAAGGATTTTTTTTAAGTAGGCTCTACACTCAACACAGGGCTTGAACTCACGACCCTGAGATCAAGAGCTGCGTGCTCCACCCACTGAGTCAGCCAGGCAGGCACCCCCCCATAAAGGAGTTTCAAAGTCTAGTTTATCTTCATATAAAAGTGATTGTCAGATGGCTCAGCAGCTTCACACACCCAAGCAAAAGCTACTACAGCTATTGAGTCCCATTTCCTGACGTGTCTTTATTTCAAGTAAATAAATAAGCAAGCAGGCCTGGTACCTCTTGCAGCAGTAGATGCACAGCCAGGGCAAGCCCCCCATCAGCGCTAGGAGAGTGAGAGCCAACGCTGTCACATAGAAGATACTCCACTCTGAAAAACAAGAAAATCGGAGTGGACATGGTTACATACTATTCGAGAAACAACTTTATTTCAGTGATTCAGAGTATTTTTGAGTTCTGACAAGCAAAGGCCACCTGGGGCGTTTGCTGATCATGCCTCATTGGGCTGGTAGTGAACATAAGCAAGGTAAAATACAAATAGATCAAGAACTTAAAAGCACCCTACTTTCGTTCACTTGGCCCAGGGACCTCATGAGGTACAGTTCATGCTGCCTTAAGGACAGAATGATCAAAAACAAATTAATTAAAAAGTAGTGCTATATTGGGCAGCCCCGGTAGCCCAGCGGTTTAGCGCTGCCTTTGGCCCGGGGTGTGATCCTGGAGACCTGGGATCGAGTACGCGTCGGGCTCCCTGCAGGGAGCCTGCTTCTCCCTCCCTCCCTCTCTCTCCCTCTCTCTCCCTCTATCTGTCATGAATAAATAAATAAAATCTTTAAAAAAAAAAGTAGTGCTATAAACAGCCATGTGTGACACATCAAAATATTCACTTTATAATCACAAGAAACAACCCTAATCCCCAAAATAGTTCTGGCTGAGTTTTATTTATTTATTTTTTTAAATTAATTTATTTTTTTTTTAATGATAGTCACACACAGAGAGAGAGAGGCAAAGACATAGGCAGAGGGAGAAGCAGGCTCCATGCACCGGGAACCCGACGTGGGATTCGATCCCGGGTCTCCAGGATCGCGCCCTGGGCCAAAGGCAGGCACCAAACCGCTGCGTCACCCAGGGATCCCCCTGGCTGAGTTTTGATAAGGGAAATAAAATATGTGTATGGCTGCCTATGACAAAAGGCCACTTTTCAGAGAGCCAGGTGGTAATTCAGAACCCACCTGACCTATATTCCCTTCTATGTCCTTGCAGAAATCCAGTGTAAAAAGCCACTGCAATGGCAATTCAGGACAGAGAAACCAAGGGACACAGGCTTAACTCTATCCCATGTTATATATGCTCCTTGGAATAATGATCCAAGGGCTGGCTATTTTCAATTCCTCAGCCAACTAAGTCTATCTGGGTCCCAAGGCAACAAAATTACCCTTGGAAATAGACAGTTCTGGGAAATTTCCTTCCCAGAAGAGATATGAGAACATCCACTAGGCCAGCTGAGCAGGTGTTCCAATTCTTAGTGCCTGCTGGACAAACATCCGGGAAGAGTGGGCTAGATTCTCCATTCACCTGTGTCCGGCACAAACCAACCCTCCCAGCAACACCAGAGGCCATCAGCCAACTCTGTTCTGCCAAACTCTATTTCAACTCTTGTCATGACCTTTTACAGAAGAACCTAAGCACATCTGTACTGGCAGGTGGTGGGAAGAATCCTAACTCCTACTCCTTGGCTTCAGGCAAGGACAGAGCAAATATGGATGGCAGCAGAGTAGAGCAGGTAGGTACTTCTGGTATTTCAAAATGGTGTGTCCCAGTGTCCCTCACCCATAGCCGCACCCCGCTCCCCACCCCATCTGGGACTTACCACAGTTGCTCTCCCCATCCTGGATGTAACGCTGTATCAGGTTCTCCATCCATAACTGGGAGCACACACAGCGCTTTGTGATGGGGTCACAGTGACCATGGCCAGAGCACTTCAGAAGGCAGCCTGCAGAGGCGGGCAGAAGGAGGAGATCCTGGCTTCCACCTACTTTGGATTTTTGTTAGCACAAGCCCCGAGTAGATGCACCTTGCTGAGTCAAGAGCCTCTTATGGTATGGAGGGGTTCCAGGGAGTTTCTCTCATCAGAAAGTAAATGGCAGAAAAAAGCTAATCCATACCAGGTAACAAATGCCTTAAAAATGTAGCCAACACGTTGTACCCTCTGGTCTAACAGATAAATTCTAAGAATTTATTCAGGGAAAATAATTGGGGATATGCATAAAGATTTGTCTACAATTACAGCATTATTTAAAATCAACCTTAAAGTCCTTGAGTGGAGGACTGGTTGAACATATCCAGGATGGAGGACTATGCAGCCATAAATATCTTATTGAGGAAGAAATCATACAAGATTGTATAAAATGATAATAGGGGGATCCCTGGGTGGTGCAGCGGTTTGGCGCCTGCCTTTGGCCCAGGGCACGATCCTGGAGACCTGGGGTCGAATCCCACGTCGGGCTCCCGGTGCATGGAGCCTGTTTCTCCCTCTGCCTGTGTCTCTGCCTCTCTCTCTCATTCTATGTGACTATCATAAATAAATAAAAAAAAATTTTAAAAAAAATGATAATAGGATTTGAAGTTAAAAAGCAGATTAAAGATATTTATCCAATTATCCTGATGGTATCACATGTTTCCAGACATGGAGGAAGTGGAAGGAAATACATGAGAATATTAACAAAAGTTAAATTCGGATGGTGGGGATTCTAGGCTCAAGAATCGAGAGGATTGTTTTCAGTTTTTTGCCTTTCTGGATATTTCACATTTCCTACAATAAATAAGACATTACGTTCATAGCTAGAAAAAAAGAGATTATTAAAAAAAATTAAGTTAGTGCATGTTAGCAGTGAGGATGTCAGCTGTGGGCAGACATCTCTCTGAAACAAGCTGAGCTGTACTACCCAACAGTGTTGTGACCCTTGTAATGCTCCCAATCCTCAGCACCTGCTGGAATGCCCATGTCAATGTCATGGTCCTCATAAGGTAGTAACAGAGAACTAGAACAAAGACCACACTTCAACCACACTCATGATTCAGTTTGGGGCCAAGACTGAGCAGCAAGGAAGGGGCAGAGATGGAAAGCACACAGAAGCCACCCTACATTTCTAGTAGTCTATGAAGCACACCCATCACACCACTTCGATGTCCAACATAAAAAATTATATGAACACAGTTTTTCTGGCCCATACTACTTATTTGTCTTTAAAACGTTCTGGCAGCTTCCATGGGAAAATTCTGATAATGACCATTATTTGGAGTACAGTTTTAAAAACCAACCCATAACTGCCATTGCTCTTGCTTTCCTCAGAGACAAAGAGCAGTTGGCTAATATGCTGGAGGAAGCCCACTGTAGAAATAAATGCGAAACAAGTCTCTGGAAACTAATGTGAAAATGTTCACATGTCACTCCTCTCTCCATGCCTGTAAAACTTAGCCATGACCGGCAAGGCTGATTCTGATTCTTCTGGAATATTCCCAGAGGAACCATTCCACAGGCATATTCTTAGAAGAATTAAGTTCAATATTAATTTATAAATAGAAACATATTGGGACTCCATTCCCAGTCCATCCAAAAAGACTATGTGACCTCACATCTGTCCTGTCAGATGTGCAAATAGATCTTATTTCACCTCTTCCAAAAAATCTGTCATTTTAACCTCAGTGGGTATTTAGGTTTCCGTAAGGTTCTCAATGCATTTAATTTGATGGGATGTTTTGCTCAGTGCTAGCCAATTCTGAATAGATAGCAAAGATTTATATGACTTGGACCCTAAAAGAAAGGACATTCCCACAGGAAATATACCTGCTGTGTCAATCCTCAAGACTTTGAAGAGCAAGGAATCAGCCTTCTCCTTTGCGAGTTGCCTGTGCAGATTTTGGACCACGTCAGCAGCTTTGAGAACCTTGAAAGGTGGCCCACTCTGTACATAAAACACAATCACGGTGCTGCAGAGGAGACAAGGAGAGAGGACAGCTGCGTGGTCAGGCAGCGACCAACACAACACATCCATGCGAACCATCTGACCTGTGGTTTGGCAAGGACACGGGGGCATATCTTGTGGGCCAAAGAATGAATCCATTTCTATTCACAAATAAAGGCTCCTCAGTCCCAGAGAGCTATCTATTCACCTGAAGACAGAAAGACCTTTAGGTTAAGAGAAATAACATGCCTGTGTGTGCAAACAGAACTCAGCCATACACAGGACTACACCTTTACTTTGTATCTTTTTATTGAAATATAATTTACTTACATTGAAATTCACCCTTCTAAACTGCATCACTCAGTGGCTTTTGGTGTATTTGCTAAGTTGTGCAACCATCACTATCACCTGGCTCCAGATCACTGTCATCACCTCAAGAAGGCACCCTGTGCCCATTCCGAAATCACTCTTCATTCTCTCCTCTCCAGCCCCTGGCAACAACTAACCTACTTTCTGCTTCTCCTGATTTGACTGTGTGTTTGATATAAATGAAATACACAGGGACACCTGGGTGGCTGGGTTAAGCATCTGACCTCGGCTCAGGTCATAATCCCAGGGTCCTGGGATCCAGCTCTACATTGGGCTCCCTGCCCAGCGGGGAGGGATTCCCCTCCCTATTCCTCCGCCCACTGGTGTGCTCACTCTCTCTCAAATAAATAAGATCTTAAAAAATACATATATATATATATACATGAGACATTTTGTGTCTTGTTTCTTTCACCTTTGCATGCTGTGTTCAAAGTTTATCCACTTTGTACTATCACTACTTCCTCCCCTTTTACTGCCAAATCATACTCTATTGAATGGACATACTTCATGGAATTTATCCATTCATCAAGTGATGACATTTCGATCATATCCACTTTTTGGCTGTACATATAATGCCACTATAAACGTATCTGTGCAAGTTTCTGTAAATATACATTTATCATTTCTCTTGGGTATGTATCTAGGAGTGGAATTACTGGGTCATATGGTAACTCTGTTTAGCATTTTGAGGAGCTACTAACCGGTTTTCCAGTAGACCGGCTGTCTATTTTACATGCTCATCAGCAATGCAGAGTGTTCCAATTTTTCCATGTACTCACCAATGCTTGTTATGGTCTGTCTTTTGGATTACAGCCATCCTAGTGGGTGTGAAATGGTACCTCAAAGGGTTTTGTTTTGTTTTTTAAGATTTTATTTATTTATTTGAGAGAGTGACAGAGCAAGCATGAACAAGGTGGTAGGGGGATGGGCAGAGGGAGAGGGAGAAGCAGACTCCCCTCTGAGCAGGGAGCTGATGCGGGGCTTGATCCCAGGAACCTGGGATCACGACCTGAGCCAAAGGCAGATGCTTAACCACCTGAGCCACCCAGGCGCCCCTCAAAGGGGTTTTGTTTTTGTTGTTTTTTTTTTTTAATAAATTAATTTTTATTGGTGTTCAATTTACCAACATACAGAATAACACCCAGTGCTCATCCCGTCAAGTGTCCCCCTCAGTGCCCGTCACCCATTCACCCCCACCCCCCACCCTCCTCCCCCTCCACCACCCCTAGTTCGTTTTCAAAGGGGTTTTGATTTGCACTTCCAACTGCTCATGATGTTGAATACCTTCTCATATACTTATTAGCCACAGGTATGTCTTCTTTGGGGACATTTCTATTCAAATCTGTATTCATTTTCAAAGTAGCCATTAAAAGTACCATAAACTGGGTGGCTTGTAACAGAAATTTATTCTCTTAACAGTTCCGGAGGCCAGAAGCTCAAAATCGAGGTGTTGTCAGGGCCATCCAGTCTCCAAAGGTGGTAGAGGAAAACACGTTCCACTCCCTTATCTTGGCTCTGAGCAGAGGGCGCTGTGCTTGTAGACACATCAATCCAATCTCTACCTTCATTGTCACATGGTGATCTCCTTGTATGTCTGTCTCTGTGTCTCTTCTCTTGTTAATAAGGACACAGTCACACTGGATGGAGTGTGACTCCACCCTACAGCAGTATGGGCTTATCTCAACTATTTCCATCCTTAAAAATCCTATTTCCAAATAAAGTCACATAGTTACTAGGGGTTAGGACATAAATGTATCTTTTGAGGGGACATAACTCAATGTACAAGTAAAAGTTTTATTGTGAAAGGCTGCTGGATTTCTTCAAGTGCTTTTTTCTGTGCCTACTAAGATGATCATGTGGGTTTTGTCCTTTATTAATAGGGTTATTACATTAATTGATTGGCCTACCCTGCATGCTTGTGATAAATCCCACTTTGCCATGGTGTCTACTTCTCTTAATATGTTGCTGGATGCAGTTTCAAAGTATTTTGCTGAGGATTTCTGCTTCTAGATTCATATGGGACATTGGTCAGTAGTTTCCTTTTCTTGGGATGTCTCTGCCTGGTTTTAATATCAGAGTAAAAACTGGCATCCTGCAATGAGTTAGAAAATGTTCCCTCCTTTTCTCTGTTTTGGAAAAACTTGTGGAAGTGGTAGTAGATCTTTATATTTTTGGTAGAATTCACCAGTGAAGCCACCTGATCCTGGGCTCTGTGGGATGTTACTGATTACTGATTCAATCTCTTCACTTAGCAGAGGTCTGTTAAAATTTTAAATTTCTTCTGCAGTCTGTTGGCATAGGTGTCTCTTTCTAGGATTTTTGTCCATTTCATCCAGGTTAACTAATTTGCTGATATACAATTGCTCATAGAATAATACTTTTAATTTCTCTATGATTGGCACAAATATCCTCTTTCATTCTTGATTTTACTAATTTGAGTCTTCTCTCTTTTCTTTTCTCTTTTTTCTTGGTCAGTCTAGCTGAAGATTTATCAAATCTGTTGATTTTTCAAACAAATGCCTTTGGTTTTGTCAATTTTCAGAATTGTTCAGTTCAGTGTTTTGTATTTTGTAAGTAAGGGAAATGTGTGATTTGTTTTGAAAGGGTTCTATAAAAAATAATTCAAAAAATTTTTAATTTGGTATTTTTCTAAGTAAACTTCAGTTGTCTGGAAAACAAACCTAAACAAAGTAGCTGACAATAATTGACAAATGGATTTGCCATGAATGGTAGTTTTTCATTCCCGTATTGTTTGTTTCCTCCTACCCTACGACTCATAGATTGGATAAGAGTTCAAAAATAAAAGCTCAATGAAATAAAGGTCAGATGTTAGCCTCCTGGACTCCCAGAAGACAGCAAAGGTAATCAGTGGTAATCTCTTACACTGAGAGAAGCCTCAGTCCTCGGAATGTGGGGTAGGGATAAATCTGGCTGCGAGACTTCCTCTGTGCCAGCCCCAGACCATATGCATGCCCTCTGAAGACAGCAGAGCTAAAAACCAGTTCCTGCTGATGTTTGCTAACTCCTTCATCTAGAACATTGTGGGTCAACAAACATTTATTGAGGCTTGTAGGAGGGACCTGGAATGATGTTGTCCTTACGGCTGCCCTTTGAGAAGAAGAATATATAAATGTGATACAAGTATGAGCACAAATAGGGAATGAGCCCAGGAAATGAAGAGTGCATCATGCTGGACTGGGGTGCAGCTCACACCTGAGATCTGAGTGGGCCTGGATCTTCTGAACCTTAATGTCTGTGTCCAGCACGTTCAGCAGTGCTGCCAGCTGCCTCACAAGGGTGTCCTTCTGCTGCTCTGCCAGCTGCCCCACGCCCACCTGCAGGATCAGCTCCACCAGGCCACTCTTCCTCGGGTCTGGGAAAAGAGAACACATGGGATTTCCCCTTGGGAATCATGCTGGATAACAGGAGGAGTAAGGCCTGAGCAAGAGTTTAAAAAGTTTAAAATGACCCCTGGGTAACTTCTTAGGACTTAGGGAATTTCTTAGGTGTTAGAAGACTCGGACAAATTTTTCCAAACAGTATAGTGGCTGCTGAGAGTGCTTTTTTCTTGTTTTACCCAAGTCTTGTTGTTCCATCATTTTCCCAGAAGCTAATCAGGGAAACCCAAACAGCCTCGGGGCTACCTGGAAACTGTGGCTGGCACGCCCCTCCCAAAGCCTGAAATGAGAATCCGGCCTCTGCATGCTGCTCAGCTCTGGGTGCTGCTTGGCCCAGGCCACAAGGGGGTCATAGAGGCCCCTTGCGGCAGCCGCTCCCTCAGTGCTCCAGCACCAGAGCTCCTGCATGCGCTGCACTTTCTGGCAGGAAAACAAAAGTGAAACGAGATTCTTGCTGCCTCATTCAATTCCCCTTCATGAGTTTTGTGGCTGAAATCTGGGAATACATGATGAAGTACAGAGGAAGCCACCAAGGGGTTCTGGACAGGGGCTGAAGCTAGCTGCAGGAGGCATCCCCTCCACCCCACACCTCTCCCCTTGTCCCCCCAGAGGTATCCCTCCAGTCCCCCAACCCCAGGGTCACCCTGTCAAATGCAAAGAGCAAGAAAGTTGAGCACCTGGATCACAGACCAGCACACTAGCCCAGACATAGAAGTCCCTGAGCGCACCTGGCCGTACTTCCACGGTGGCAGTGTCTGTGTCTGAGGCTCCCTGACGGTCAATAACACGCAGGCGGAATTTGTAGACGCCCTCCACCAGATTGGTAAGCTGCAGGGTGGCGCTGTGGTCAGAGCCATCAATGACATCCTGCAAAATAACATGATTCACAAGTTGATGCTCAGGTCCCGACTCTGGCCTTCTGTTGGTCGCAGGCCTCAGTGGCCCATGTGTTTAAAGTACACATGACTGTCTGGTGAGGGCTGAAGAGGAAGAAGGCTGGTGGGTGAGCTAAAGCTGTGGGTAATCCCCAGCAAGTCTTCCATAGAAAGCACCAGGCTCCACAGATTCCTGCAACGGTACTCCCCAAGCTGTGCCTACCAAGGGCTGTCCACTGCATACCAAACTGTTCCCTTCCTCCAACAGGGGGGGAAGAACCATTGAAATTAGAGTCAAGCACCCTCTGAAGAGTTTCTGGATCTTATTCTCAAACATAGTTTTACAATAGTCTCATCTTGGGTTTCCTCCTAATGTATCACATTTACCTTTTCAAATGAACCTGAGTGGGGCTGCTCCTGGTGGCTCCAAGCTCCAAAGAATTAGAGAAGATTCTCAGACACCCCTGTCCCACCCTTGCTAACGGAAGAGGATGGTAGCCAAAGGTAACAAGTGCTCAGCACAGAGAGCTGTTATACTTTGAAGCTAATCTATCATCTGGCTGAAGAGTATTCATTCCAGAGGTATGTCAGAAAGTATAAAGCCGGTTCAGTTCATTCCCTGTGACCACTTCTTTTTGTTTTTTTTTCCCAAGATTTATTTATTTATTTATTTATTTATTTATTTATTTATTTATTTATTTATGAGAGAGAGAGAGAGAGAGAGAGAGAGAGAGAGAGAGAGAGAGAGAGAAAGCACACGTGTGCATGTGCTGGGAGGGAGGGGGCCGAGGGAGAGAGAGAGAAGTAGACACTCCGCTGAGTAGGGAGCCCAACAAGGGGCTTGATCTCACAACCCTGAGATCATGACCTGAGCTGAAATCAAGAGTTAGATGCTTAGCTGACTGAGCCACCTGGGCGCCACTCCCCTACTCTCATAACCACATCTCTGGTACTTCTCCAAGAGGATATCCACAACTCTGAAGTCCTTAGCAACAGCAGGAATGAAGATGTACCTAGATTTATAGCCTAAAAGGTGGAGGGACCCAATGGGGAAAAATGTCTGCCAGGAGCTATAACCTTGGGTCTGCCTGGTTTGGTTAAAGATGAGTTGGTTTACTATGGCCAAGTCACTTCCTACCTCTGCATCTTGCTTCCTGTACTTGTGAAACAGGAATAGCAATCCTTAACCTACTGACCTATCTGGCATGATGAGAGGAAAAGGAAAGAATCCGCTTGGACCAGAACAGGAACAGCAGAGAAGCTGCGGGAAGACTTGGCTTCAAAGTCCCCCCCCCCTCCCCCCAGGCTATGGTTTCCTGCCCCATCCAAAGTCTGGTTGAGGAAAACATTAGAAGACTTCAGCTTTTCTCTAAGAGCAGCCCTTGCCTCCAGCCCACAGAAGAAACCTAGAAGCATGAACATCTTAGTAGAGAACATGGAAAGGAAGACAAGGTCATAAGAGAAACGCTGCTAACGGTCTGAATCCTGTGGTCTCTGAATTCACTTGCTGAAGCCCCAACTCCTAGTGTGACTGACTATGAAACAGGGCCTGAGAGGAGGTAGTTAAGGTTACCTGAGGTCATAAGGGTGGGGCCCTGATTCCATGGATTCATGTCCTTGAATAAGGAACACCAGAGGGCCCCCCTCCCTCTCTGCCACATGGGGATGCAGTGAGAAGGGAGTCAAAGAGCAAGCTCTGACAGAGAGCCAAGTCATCCAGAGCCTTAATGCAGGACTCACGACCTCCAGAACTGGGAGGAATGTCTGTGTGTCACGGAAGCCACCCAATCCATGGTATTTCCTTAGAGCAGCCTGAGCAGGCTGACTGTGCAGGAGGGTAAGTGGGACAAGTCTCATCAAGTACTCACCCCAGCAGCTGGGCTCTGGCCGTCCCGGACCCACAGGTAGGACACAACTCCTTGGTCATCAATAGACTTTGAACCGTCCAAAGTAATGCAGTTATTGGGAAGCACAAGCACATGGTGGCCACCAGCCTGGGCTCTGGGAGGACTGTTATTTTCTGAGTCAAATATGGCAAAAATGAAAGCAAAGACATTGATTTAAAAAGTTGGTGGCAGAAGTGTGCCGTAAAATATCCACCACGGTTCCATCTTGCACATAGGTAGACTTAACATACAAGAGGCATTATTTTCTACCCATAATATAGAGACTTTCTTAAAGTTCTGTTTATGCTTATTTGTAACTTGGCAGCCTGGACACCAGGGATGTTTCTAATAATGTGATGGTTTTTCTCTTTTTGAAAAAGAGAAACAATGATCTTACTTTTATCAGGGTCCAGAAAGTGAAAATATTTTAGTTTAAAATATACTCTGAATCATTATGTACTGGCCCACACTATTTGCCCATAGATATATTTATTTCTACTAGTGTCAAATCTTGCTTAAGTAAATAAAAACTTGAGTCAAAGATAATTAGGCCTTCACTCCTCTGAGTGTTAAACATGCAAGAACCATTTCTGATACAATTGCCTCAGAGAGAGGGGCCGGGGAGAATGGGGCACAGACAGAGACCATCAGAAGACACAGCCCCACTTTAGGGATGAGGCAGTTGTGTGGGAAATCCAGCTTATTCAGGTGGAGCTCTGGAACCCTATTTGATCCCTGGTAAATGCCCCACAAAAACAAGTCAAGCAAAAGTCATGGGGTGAGGATAGTTAGATATTGATCCAAGCAAGGGAGGACTGAGCACCCCGTCAATCACCAGCCACCGTTCTCCTGAGAAAAGACCCCAGAGGTTAGAGCAGAGGCAAGTGGTACCATTATGTTAGCAGCGCTTCCACATTGTTCACCACACTCCCTTTCTGGGAGAACCTGGCAGTAAGCAGGCTTACCTGTACACTGTGGACCAGGGAGAGGCTGGGAACCACAGAAACAGACTGGCAATAGACTGAGGCAGCCCAAATACCCTTCCGTGAAAAATGACCATCAGACCCTATGTAGCTCCGAGGGTAGACCTCATGGCAGCTACTCCCTTCTGTGCTATGTCCCCACAACCTTGAACTCCAGTCAGAACGCAACCGGGCATGCCATCCCCACAAATCTGGTGTGTCCGAGTCAACCTCCCACAAACCTGCTGCTGCTCTTCTGTGGGCAGAGCTCAGAGCAGGGCACCGCCACCCGTCCAGGTGGTGAGGTCGTGTTCCTGAGTCATCGAGACACCTTCTTCCTTCCCTTCAGAACCACAAAGGCATCAAGTCCTGAGGATTCACCCCTAAGACGTCTTTCTAGTCAATCGTTTCCCCTCTGCCCTCCCTGCTTCTGACTTCTCTTCCCACCAAACCATTACCTTTTTAAAAAATCCAAAACTCTCAGGTAAAATGACATGGTGTTAGGGTTTGCTTTAAAATACTCCAACCGAAATAAAAGAAAATATGAATGGCTAGATGAAACAAGAGTAGCAAACTACTAACAGCTGTGAAGTTGGGTGATGGGGACATAATGGCTCATTGAGCCTAGTTTCTCTACTTTTAAATATGGTAGACTAGTCCACAAACACTTGAAAACATCCAAATCTATGTCACTTTGCTGCTAAAATGGCTTCAGCCTCTCCCACCTGGCCTGGGGATAAAGTCCCAGCTTCCTGGGCCTGACACATGACCCTCCCTGGGATGAGGCAGCTCAGCCACTCCCCAGCGCTCCCACACTGGCTGGTCTATGGACTTGACTTTTTCTGTCCAGCATGCACATTACAGCTGTGTACTTCAACATCATGATCATCTGTCTGTTCATTCATTCATTCGTTTGTTCATTCATTCCAGTACCCAGCATCATGAGTTGCCATGAGCCTAGTGTTGTGACACAGAGGACATATAAATGTCTGAAGCAAAGGTCCTTGGGCAGCTCCAGCCACAGGGAAAAGACAGAAGGACGAGTCCCTAGTGCAGAGTGGCATGAGACTAGACCACAAGTCAAGTAAGAATATGGAACTTGAAAAGGTCTCTGCTCTTCAGTTCCCAAGGAGGCGAGAGAGAAAGCACAATGCTGGACATGGGCAGACATGGGTGGACACAGGTCTTTCACTGCCAGTAGTCATAGGAAGAAAAGGCAGCCCCTAGACAGTACGCTCAACAACAAAAAAAGGAAATGCTGTTTCTTTGCGGAAGGAGACAGAACAGCAAATGTGGACACAGCAAGAATGGCTTTTTCTTGGCCAACCTGAGTCCAGTGTCTACCGTGGACAGATAAACACCAGTATTTCTGAATAATCGTGGTGTGGCCTAGGGCCCTGTGAGACGGAAAGCAGAAGGAGCCCCACCTCCCTCCGCCATGCCAGGACTCACCCTTCCTCACCACCACGGTGAGGGTGGCTGTGCTGCTCAGCCCCTGCTGGTCTGTCACTGTCAGTTGGAAGTGGTGGGTACCCACCTGGAGCCCGCTTACGGTGGCTATAGCTCTGTCTGTATTTTCCATCTCCACTGTGCTGGGGCCTCTGAAAAACAGGGACGTGAATAACAAAAGGCGTGGGCACAGAATTCTGATTATTTGAATCCTTATAAAAGTCGCTTTTTCCAGCTAAAACATATATCATCTAGAGAATTCTAAGGTAACTTTTTATCCACTTATATTCTCTAGTTTAGGGTATAGGTCATAAGCTAATGCCTATTTTAGATAGAGCCTGTGTGATTCCTAGGAAGAGGATTTTTTATTTTGTTTTGTTTTTTTAAGATTTTATTTACCTATTTATTTTAGAGAGTGAGAGAGAGAAAGCAGGAGGTGGAACAGAGAGAAAGAGAGAGAATCTCAAGCAGACTCTGAACTTAGTGCAGAGCCTGATGCAGGGCTCGATCCCAGAACCCTGAAGCCATGACCTGAGCCGAAACCAAGAATTGAACACTTAACCAACTGAGTCACCCAGGTGCCCCACCCTGTTTTTTTTCAATTGAGGGGTCAGTGAAATGATCTGTCCTTGCAAAACAGAGTCTTAGAAACTACTCCCCATTTCCTCTTTGAATAAAATTAGGCAAAATCCTCATCTATCTTTACAAAGTATGGAAGAGGAGGGGATAAGCCAGATGAAGGATTTCCTCAGGGGAATTACAGGCCGTCATTAGGACTCTGGCCTCTGTTGTCAGAAACACCCCACTCCTTCCCTTACTGTCCAGGCAAACCAAGGCTCATGCAAGTCACTGGCTCTGCACTTCTTTGTCTATGGTCATTGCAGATGCTTTGAGTGTAGACAGGAGGCCCCCTGAGGCCTTACACAGGCCTCTATGCACCTTTTCTGTCATGAAGCTCACCCACACCCAAGATGGCCCTGTCCAGCCGGCGGGGCTCCACCCCACTCCACTGCCAACAAATAACATCTCATCCTTTCATGCTTGATCTGCTCTTCCACCTCCAGAAAGGTGCTTGAATCCTGACTCCTCAGCATGCACCAGTGGACTTTAATTTAATGTGGACCCTCCAGAGCAGAAGCAATGTTAGCACTGGGCCAGGATGGGACCCCCCGCTGCTCAGTGGGAAGTGGGCCTACCTGACGTGTTCCCAGTGGTAGAGGACGATGCCCTGGTCGTCTCTGCTCCTGCTGCCATCCAGCGTGGTGCTCTCTACCGGGAAGACCAGCTCCTTGTCGGGGCCGGCCACAGCCACCGGAGGCCTGTTGCTTGCTAGAATTACAGAAATGGTGTGAAAAACTATTTTCTCTTTGCATTAAGTCCGTGATCCCCTGATTTCCTGATTGAAGCTAATTACTCATACTTGGAGCAGGTAGCTACTAGAGTGTACAGTGTCCTGAGGGAACCCTGGAGAGAAACACTGCAGGCTCCTTAAATGTTTAAGGGTGAGACTGGGGGCCAGACAGCAGGGAACATTGTTCCCTAATATATACATGTTTGGTTTCTTTAAAAGACCTTGAGGGGCACCTGGGTGGCTCAGTCAGTTATGCATTCAACTCTTGATTTCAGCTCAGATCATGGTGTCAGGGTCATGGGATTGAGCCCCTCCTCCTACCCCTCGGGCTCCACACTGAGCAGTAAGTCTGCCTGAGGATCCCACCCCCCACCCACTTGAACATGTATGCACGTGTGTGTGCTCTCTCTCTTTCTCAAATCAATAAACAAAAGACCTCAAAAGGCATGGAGTCAAGAGAGAAGGAAAATCAATGAGGAGGGGCAGATGGAGGGAAGAAGGACTAGGGAGACAGTAGGGAGGCGAGGAAGGAACTGGAAGGAAGTTAGCTGACAGCTGCTTTATCAGGCAGGACTTCCTTTTGTCTTGCAGCCCCAATTCCTAACACAGTGCCTGGTAAATAATAAAAACTCAAAACATTTTGGTTAAATGTTAAACAATAGTAAAAGATATAAGGGGCTCCTGGCTAGCTCAGTCCATACAGCATGTGACTCCTGATCACAGGGTTTTAAGGTCAAGACCCATGCTGGGTATAGAGATGATTTAAAAATAAAATATTTTTTAAAAAAAAATTTAAAGAGATTTTATTTATTTGACAGAGAGAGTGAAAAAGAGAGAAAGCGCATGCACAAACAGGGAGGAGGGAGAGGAAGAAGCAGACTCCTGTGCTGAGCAGGGAGCCCCATGTGGGGCTTGATTCCAGGACTCCGAGATCATGACCTGAGCTAAAGTCAGACACTTAACTAACTGAGCCACCCAGGCGCCCCTTAAAAATAAAAGTTTAAAGCAAAAGATACAAAGTATCGCTGATATTGATACTGAAATAAATAGACAAGTTTTTTGTTAAAAAAAAAAAAAAAAAAGGTCCTGTAGTCCAAAGCTGAAGCAGCTATTACTCACTATCTGGACCACTGTGATACTCAGTAAGGTCTGGTGGTCCAGTGGCTTCTCTTGACCTTGGGATAAAACACTTCCATGACCATTGATTTACAAAAGCCCTTGATGGTGAGCCCTGCCCCTCTTTCCAGATCATCTGTTGGCATTTTAATCCCTATGCCTCATGCTCCCACATCCTCACCACTTTCTCTTGTTGCACTAAATTCTTTTTAATTCTTTGAACTACCAAACTCTCTTTCATCCCATGGTTTTCACGCACAGTGTCTCCTTGCCTAAAAAACTCTTTCTCTTGCCCTTCTCTCCCCAAATTCACCTGGCCAACTGCAACCCTGAGCTCATATAAGACTCTGTGCAGATACTGCAAGCCCAGGTGGTATGTCCTTTTGTGGGCTCCAGGAGCATAGTGTACATCCCCTAGAAATGCACTGATCATGTGGTTTTCTTTTGATGTACTTGCCCATGAGCCCTGGGAGGACAGAGACCAAGTCTATCCTGTTTAATTCCACATCCCCAGGCTCTAACCAACAGCACTGACTATATATAGTCAATAAATAAATAAAATAAATAAATGCATTGTAAGTATATTTTCAGTTGCCAGGAAACTGGAAATTACTGGGATTAGCAGCATCTTCTAGAAAAGTTCTAAAGCAGAGAGCACTGTCAAGAAAAACATAACTACTCTTAAGATTATTTAAATCTGCAGGAAGGCAGAGTCCTGGGTTTTCACAAAACCATTAATGGACTGGGAGATGACTGGGAGTCAGTTCTCCATCTGGCTATGATCCATCTGAGTTACCAGGCCATATATCAAGAATTCCCTGAAGCTCTGCAACAGAATGAGACACATGTGGGAGTGTCTACCTGGCAAGTGGAGCCTGCAAGGGGCCCTGAGGATGTCCATCTGGGTCTCCATGCCAGGGTTTAAAGACAAAGTCAACAAAAGGTTCAGAACCACAACAGAAAACTGGCTTTGTATTAGGATTCAGCTATTCCAGCCCCGATTTCTTGACAGTTAAAAGATTTAGAGAATTTGCCACCAAATTTGGCTAGTCTGGTCAGATGTCATTTCTGCCTTAATCTCTGGGGCCAAAGCCCTCTTTCATCTCACATACCAGGCTGGACAGTCACAGTGACTATGGCAGTGGACTGCTGCATTGAAGAATCTGTCACCATCAGCTGGAATGTATAGTCTCCTTCCTGCATGGCAGACAAATGAAGGTATGGTGTCTTGACACCCTAAGTAATAGCAAATAGAAATGAAAAAGAAAAATTAATTTCAATAAGCAGCATGACATAATGAAAAATGAGTACTTTTTCTAAATATGGAGATCCTACTTGAAAACGAAATATGTGTGCCCCAAGAAAATGTAATCTAAAATTCACTATGTATCCTCATTTGCTGTTGAAGAAGTCTAAATTAATTTGGCCCTTTTGGAAGCCAATTTGGCAACATCCATTCACACATTAAATGAGCATATTCTTTAACCAGCAATTCCACTTCCTACCTACACTAGAGAAAAGCCCATGCACACAAGGAGGCTCACACTTGGATGCTGCTGGAAGCACTGCCTATAATAGCAGAAACTGGAAACAGTCTAAATGTTCATCAACAATGGGGCACATGGGTGGCTCAGTCAGTTAAACAGCCAACTCTTGATTTCAGCTCAGGTCAGGCTCTCAAGCATTGGGCTCAGCAGGGAGTCTTCTTGGGATTCTCTATCTCCTTCTGCCCCTCCCCACTGCTCACATTCTCACTCTCTCTAAAATAAACAATCTTTAAATAAGTGTATGTTCTTCAATGGGGCGTGACCAGATCCACCATGATACACTACAATGCTAGTTTGAAGGAGAAAGTGTAAAAGAATAAGGTAAATTTATAAATACTGAAATGGAGTTGGGCTCCATGCTGGGTGTGGAGCCTACTTAAGGAAAAAAAAAATGTCTGTAGCTTATAAGTAATGAAATGGAAAGATGTCAAAGACATATTGTCAAGGAAAAAGAGAAAGTTGCAGAACAGTACATATAGTGTGACAGATACTATGTGTACACATGCATATACACAAATACACAAAAAAGGTTCTGTAAGGACACATATTAAACTGATAAAAGTAATTATCTCCATAAGGCAACTGAGGTAAGTTCAAGATGTATTTGCATTTTATCAGAAGTCAACTTTCTTAAAAAAGATTTTTTTATTTATCCATTTGAGAGACCAAAAGAATGAGCAAGAGCACAGTGGGGAATGGGGCAGAGAGAGCAGACTCCCCGCTGAGCAGGGAGCCTGATGTGGATCTCAGTTCCAGGACCTCCGGATCATGACCTGAGCAGAAGGCAGCCACTTAACTCACTGAGCTGCTCAGGTGCCCCAGAAGTTATTTTTTTTTCAACTACAAGAAACAACTCATGTATTACTCTAACAACTAAAAACAATTTTTTAAAACTCTAAGACAACAAAAGTTTTCAATAAAACATTTTTTCAATTGAGTATATAATAGCTATACTTGTTTGCAGCTTAACCTTTCACTTTGTTGCTACTGTGTTGCTGCTGGTAACATTTCCAATTATTGCTTATGTTTGAAGTTTATGGCATCATAGAAAGGATTTTTAATCTTAAATCATATTATAATTTATTTACTTTTATAGATCATCTAAGATGATCTATAGATACATGTATCTGTATGTATTTGTTAAACGTTTTAATGGAAAATTGAAAAAACTGATAATTGTTATAAGGGGAACTTGTGAAATTTTAAATACATACTTTTAATAACTTTTAAAAAGGTGCTTTCCCCTACTTTGACTAAATAAAGCAAAGCATTTTGCTCTGTAAAGCTCTACAAAAGTAGAATTTCCTAGTACTTAACTTCAAAATTAATATGGTTACATAAATGCTTATGCACTCGGTACAGGGAATGTTATGGATGGCAAATGGGAAGTAGGCAGACCAACACGTGTCACTAAACACCCTCGAAGCCACCATATGCTCCAGATAACAGCAGTGGCCTCCCCCATCTGCAGCAAACCCTTAGCAGGATGCCCTGCACAACATTTAGACTAATGTAAAACTCCGGTTTACAGAGTCATCTTTGTGATTGCCAGTTAATAAAAAAATCATCTAACACCTTAATCCATCAATCATAAGGCAATAACCTTGTTACTATGGATGATCTCAGAGTGTCCACTGCAGACAGGCAGGTGTGGAGAGGCAGTGGGATTGGCCCTGCACCCTGCACTCATGGATTCCCTTGGACACATATTGGGCAGACGTGGATGAAATCTGGGGTGTGAGCTTTGGGCACATAATTCACAAAAACTAAAGGAAAGAAAATTTGGGATTTTTTAAAAAATTTATTTTTTTAAGTAATCTCCACACCCAATGTGGGGCTCTAACTCACAACCCTGAGATTAAGAGTCGTGCACTCTTCAGGCTGAACCAACCAGGCACCCCTGGAATATTTTTTTAACCAAGGAAATACAAAATATCCCATCTTTCTGTTTTGCATCCAAAGTACTCTGGATCAGAATTCTTAGCATACCAGAAGCAAACATACCACTTGCCACAACCTTTAGACAAAGGTGGACACTACAGCATGGCCCTCTCAAGTTCCATAAACACAACCAATTATTTTAAATTCATCATAATTGCAAAATACTTTCCAGAAACATTAGAAAGTAAAGTAGGTAAGATTTCTTGGGATATCTGACTTCATCTAAAATACTAATGAGAAATTTATGTTGGACAGATGAGATGTAGTTTGAAGGAGTACAGGGTAGCAATGTAAGGTCCTGCCTTTTTTCCATTAAACTTTCAAATAATAACCTGAAACTAATAATAACACTGTATGTTAACTGGAATTAAAATAAGAACTGAAGGTATGCCTGATTGGTTCAGTTGGTAGAGCACGTGACTCTTGCTCTTAGGGTCGTGAGTTCAAGCCCCACATTGGGCACAGAGCTTGTTTACACAAACAAACAAATAAATAAAATAACAACAAAAAAAGATAATAAAATAAAGACTTAAAGAAAACCATCGAATAACAACATAACTTCAAAAGAGCAAGCTGGTTAGCAATAAAAACAAACAAATAGTTTTGGCCATCACCAAAGGATTCAAGAATGAGCAAACAGTTCATGTGCACACACACCACTCACAGCAAAAGTGTCCATGGTATTATGTCTTGAGACAAATATATTTAACATTTGAGCAAACTAAAAGTTAGATACAGAAAGCTCTTAAAAAGAGACCACTAGATTCAGAAAAGATGACAATGAAGTTTCTAAAAATATAGGAAACAAACTAAGGAAAAATTTCCTGATAATACTGTTTATGTTGGATTATTTCCGAAGTTTTTCCCAATCCTAAAATAGTATTTCTGTGGAAAATATTGGGTCAGACTTACCCCAAATTAGCCTCAACACAAATTAGCTGTCAACACAGGACTCACTTCTATGCTTATAGAGAATGGGTGAGTGGAAAGGGTGTAAGTTTGGAAGATCTGTGAACTCTTCTAATAGTTGTAATATATCAGACTATCTTATAAAAACATGTTTTCTGGATTTATACCACATACCAATAATTTAGGTAGGTAGGAAGGTAGATAGATGTATGAACAGTTTTAAATGGATGGACAGATGTATGGATGTATAGGTAGATGGATTAATGGGTGGGTGGGTGGATAGATTGATGGGTAAATGGACGGACAGGTGGGTGAGTGGACAGATGGAGGGATAGATGGATAGATGGGTAGGTGGATTGGGGTATGGCTAGACAAGTAAAAATCTGAAGGCAGGATAGAGAACTTGCCTGCATGGCCACCTCTTTGTTCTCACTTCCTGGACCCAGAGACCACTCATAGAGGACAATCTGGTGATCATCACTGCTCTGGTTTCCATTCAAAGTGATGGAGTTTTGGGGCAAAGTTATGGTCTGATTTGGTCCTGCATTGGCAACTGGAGGACAGTCCACAGCACTGTTGACTATTAGTGCTGCAGTTGTGGAATTAGAGGTTCCATCGGAGTCTGTAACAGTCAATCTACAAAAAGGAGAGGAAGCCATCATGTTGCAAGAAGATGCTAAGTCTTAAGGCAAATGGTCAATTTAGTCTGTCCATGGTACATTTCTCAGGAAAACTCAGAAGAGGCATAAACAGAGATCTGAGGATGAAGCTGAGAAAAGAACAGAGCATCTCAGATTTTTTTTTTTAATTCCTTGCTGGTTTTTTTTTAAGCTAGTAATACTGTCACATGATGGAGTTTTATCTTAAATGGTTTTCTGATTAGTCTTTGGGATGTCAGATGAAGAAATCTTCCCCAGCCAATACAGGAGCCTCCCTCTAGCATCTGAGACAAAGAATTTCTTTGCCTTCAGGTCCGTGCATTTGGAGACAGTAGCTCACTCATCAATTTTCATCTACAAAGCTTTTGAATCTTTTTATTCTTTTCTAGAGGACTTAATATAATTATGTTTTCAGAACACTCCTTGCAGACACTCCTCCAGGACCTCTTGTGGTAAACTTTCTGCTCATGAGGTAATATATCAAGAAATATGGTCTCTTCATCCTTCTGGGGTAAAGATGTCAGTTCCAAACAGTGATAAATGCTACACGGGTGTTAATAGGAATATGATAATAAAGCTATGGGAAGAACACAGGCCTTACTTGTAGTAAGGTGTGTGTTTGGGGGCAGGTGTATTCTGTGTATCTTTCACATTATCTCACAAACTCCATGCAACCAAGATCTGAACTCGGGTTCTGCTCTGACAGCAAGCCAACCATCTGAGGTCCTTTGTCCTCAGCTAGGCTTTCAGGACATATCCTGGGCCCCTAAGGAAATTTCTTCATGGTAAAATGTGGACAGCAACAGTAACCTGACTCAACCAGATGATCAATTAAATAAAAATGAAATGGAGAGGAGTCAAATGGCAGAGGAATAAGGGGACCCTATGCTTGCCATGCCCCTTGAACACAGGTAGATAAATATCAAATCATTCTGAACACCAAAGAAATCAATCTGAGGACTGAGAACAAACTGTACAACAAAAGGGAGAGAAGAAGCCACACTGTGGAAAGTAGGAGGTGTGCCGACATGATTTGGGGGAGAAAAGAATCCCGGGTGCTGTGGTAGGGAGAGAGCCTGTAACCACAGAGAGAGGAGAGACAGAGCAGTGCACAAGAAAAACACTTCCCCAAAGCCAATGGCTGGAAAAGCGAGAGTGGCTGATTATTGTGAGTTTTTATAATCAGTCAAGCTCAAATCAGCCTGCCCTGCAGCCAATGTGGAGCCAGTGGGGATAGTGTTGGAGTGGAGAAGGAGGCCAGAGACCCAGGAGTGGACAGCATGGTCTTAGCATCCCCTGCATTGCACTGGGAGAGACAGTTCCCCTTGGAATGCACTTGAGAGAGGTGGCACTGAGTCACAGGAGACAGAAGAACTGGTGGGTGCCCCTGCACCACCCCATTCATTAGCATAGTGGCAGGGACACCTGCTGAGGGCAGCTAATCTGGATGCCAGCTTTTTGCTGTGCTTCACTCTAAACTCCAAGCACCTGTGCATTCCCACAACTGCCCTTCTGGGATAAATCTGCACCAGCCCCAGTGCCCCAAGACCCTCCCGCAGAGGATCAGGGTGGGTTCAGGCAGTGCCAGGTCCTTAAAATTAGAGTTTTGAAACTCCACCAGGCACCTGAGATAAAACACAGAAGCACTGTGCCACCAGGTGGGCAGATAGCTCAGACACAGACACTGTGAAGGCAGAAATCTGAGGGATGCCTGGCATGCAAGGGGAGATTCTTCTGATTCTTCTCTCTTCTGTGAGGGCTGCCTGGACAGTGAGGGCATGAATTCACCTGTTGGGGGCCAAGGGAGAGGGTGGATGCCATCTTTCTCCTCCACCAACAGCACCAGTGGATTTCAGGGAGCAGCACAGTGCCCCCCCCCCCAGTAGAGGCTAGAGCCACTTACACCAATTTCCACCCCCCTGTACTCTGCAGGTGCTTCTATGCCAGGGCAAGTGTGCCTGAGAGCCAGAGCAGCAGGCCTCTCCCCCTAGAAAACCAGCAAAATTCCATCACATGCACCAAGTCTACTGATCACAGAGTGCTGTAAAGCTTCAGCTCTAGTGGAAATAGAATCTGGCCTTTTTAAACAAGCAGACCAAAGCACACCCAGTTAAAACTTGCCAAACACAGGACAAGGTCCAAATACTCCCTACTGTAGGCAAGGAAAAACTCAGCAGAGAACTGACCTAAAGGGAAAGAGCAGCCAAAACACACAGCAGAGTGAGTACATGCAGCACACACCAGACACACTTCTTGAAGCACCAGGTCCTGGACAGTATATGATCTCTTCTTAATAAAGCCATTACTCTCAGGAGCAGAGAACATAACAGGCTTTCCTAACACAGAGAAGAAGATACATATCTAGACAAAATGCCAAGACAGAGGAATTCATCCCAAAAGAAAGAACAGGAAAAGGTTATGGCTAGGAATCTAATAGAAACAGATAAAAGTAGTATGCCTGATACAGAGTTTTCTTTTTTTAAGATTTTATTTATTCATGAGAGACACAAAGAGGGAGAGAGAGAGAGAGGCAGAGACACAGGCAGAGGGAGAAGCAGGCTCCATGAAGTGAGCCCGACATGGGACTTGATCCCCAGTCTCCAGGATCACACCGTGGGCTGCAGGTGGTGCTAAACCACTGCACCACCGGGGCTGCCCCTGATACAGAATTTAAAATAATAATCATAAGGATACTAGATGGGCTTGAGAAAAGCATAGAAGATACCAGGGAGTCCCTTACTGCAAAGATAAAAGACCTAAAAACTAGTCAGGCCAAAATAAAAAATGCTATAACTGAGATATAAAACTGACTAGATGTAATGACCACATGGATGGAAGAAGCAGAGGAAAGAAGGGGTGACACTGAAGATAAAATTATGGAAAAGAATTATGGAAAAGAAGAAGGAAAGAAAAATATTAGATCACAGATGTAGACTTAGGGAACTCAGTGACTCCAGGAAGTGGAGTATCATTCATATCACAGGAATCCCAGAAAAAGAAGAGTGGGAAAAGGGACACAAGGTTTATCTGAGCAAATTACAGCTGAAAATTTCCCTAATCTGGGGAAAGAAATCCAAATCCAGGAGGTACAGAGAACTCCCATCAAGATCAACAAAAGTAGGCCACCACTGAGGTATACCACAGTAAAATTTGTAAAATATAGAGATAAGGAAAAAGAAATCCCTAATTTATAAGGGAAGACAAATACGGTTTACAGCAGCTTTATCCGCAGAAAGTTAGCAGGAGAAAGTGGCACGATACATTCAAAGGGCTGAATGGGAAAAATATGCAGCCAAGAAAACTTTCAAAACTGAAACAGAAGAAGTAGAAAACTTGAACAGACCAACCACTAGCAATGAAATTGAATTAGTAATCAAAAATCTCCCAACAAAAGTCCAGGGCCAGATCGCTTCCCAGGGGAACTCTACCAAACATTTAAGAGTTACTATTCTTCTCAAACTGTTCCAAAACATAGAAAGAAAACTTCCAAACTCATTCCATGAGCCCAGAATTACCCTGATACTAAAACCAGATAAAGGGACGCTCAGTGGTTGAGCATCTGCCTTTGGCTCAGGTCATGATTCCAGGGTCCTGGGATCGAGTCCCACATTGGACTCCCCACAGGGAGCCTGCTTCTCCGTCCACTTATGTCTCAGCCTCTCTCTCTGTGTCTCTCATTAATAAATAAATAAATTCTCTTAAAAAAAATTTTTTAATTAAACCAGATAAAGGCTCCACTATAAAAGAGAACTACAGGCCAAAATCCCTGATGAACATGGATATAAAATTCTCAATAAAATACTAAAAATTGAATCCAACAGTACATTAGAAGAATCTCTCACCACAATCAAGTGGAATGTATTCTGTGCTTCAGGGGTGGTTCAATATTTGCAAATCAATTAATATGATACACTACACTAATAAAAGAAAGAATAAGGATCATGTCAAAGGATACAGAAAAAGTAATTGGCCAAGTACAACAATCATTCATGATAAACACCCTCAACAAAGTATGGATAGAGGGAATATACCTCAAAATAATAAAGGCCACTTATGAATGACCCACAGCTAATTTCGCACTCAATGGGAAAAAATTTAGAGCTTTTCTTCTGCAGTCGGGAACAATAAAGGGATGTCCACTCTCACAACTGTTATTTAACATGGTACTGGAAGTCCTAGATTCAGCAATTAGACAACAAAAAGATAAAAGCCATCCCAACTGGCAAGGAAGAAGTCAAACTTTCACTCTTCACAGATGACATGATACTCTACATAGAAAACCTGAAAGACTCCACGAAGAAATTCCTAACACTGATATACAAATTCAGTATTCTCAGGATAAAAAAATCAGCACACAGAAATCTGTTGCATTTCTATACACCAATAATGAAGCAGCAGAAAAAGAAATCAAGGCATCAGTCCCATTTACAACTGTACCAAAATCATAAGATACCTTGGAATAAAGTTAACCAAAGAGGTAAAAGGTCTATACTCTGAAAACCATAGAACACTTATGAAAGATATCAAAGAGAACACAAAAAAATGGAAAAACATTCCATGCTCATAGGCTGGAAGAACAAATATTGTTAAAATGTCTATCCTACTCAAAGCAATCTACACATTTAATGCAATTCCTATCAAAATACCCCCAGCATTTTTCACAGAGCTAGAACAAATAATCCTAAAATTTGTATGGAATCACAAGAGATCCTGAGTAGACAACACAACACTGAAAAAGAAAAGCAAACCTGGGGGCATCACAATCTCAGACTTCAAGCTCTATTACAAAGCAGTAGTCATCAAGACAGTATGGCACTGGCACAAAAACAGACACATAGATCAAAGGAACAAAACAGAGAACCCAGACATGGACCCTCAACTCAATGGTCAACTAATCTTCGACAAAGCAGGAAAGAATACCCATAGCAAAAAGACAATCTCTTCAACAAATGATGTTGAGAAAACTGGACAGCAATATGCAGAAGAATGAAACTGAACAACTTTCTTACACTATATACAATAATAAATTTAAAGTGGATGGAATACCTAAAAGTGAGACAGGAAACCACCAAAATCCTAGAAAAGAACAAAGGAAACAACAACCTCTTTGGCAGACTGGGAAAGGGTACAGCAGGCAATAAACAATACAGGGACCACAGGCTGATTATCCATGTGTGAAAAAATGAGACTGAATCTCTCAACAGTATATACACAATTCTAGATGGATCAAAACTTAAATATGAAAGATAAAACTTATAAATCTTTATTAGAACATGTAGAAGGTAGCTTCCAAACATCATATACATTTTGATTCAAGTAAGAAAAAAAAATTTCAAGTTTATGTATATATAGAAAAAGGACCCTAAGCATAAAATGCCAGACAGTTAAGGCATTTATTTCTAGGTAGAATTATGGGAGGTATTTAATTTTTTTAAAGGTTTTATTTATTTATTCATGAGAGAGACACACACAGAGAGGCAGAGACACAGGCAAAGAGAGAAGCAGGCTCCATGCAGGGGCCTGATGTGGGACTCAATCCTGGGACTCCAGGATCACATCCTGGGCCGAAGGCAGGCGCTTAACGGCTGAGCCACCCAGGCATCCCTATTTAAATTTTTTCTAATTATAGACATATTCTGGGTTTTAAAATTTTTTATGTCAAATGTGCATTATTCTTATTATCAGAAGAAAATATATTTTTATCTCTTAGATTTTTGTCTCTTAAAACCCTATATTTCTTCTGGATCAAGCCATGACTGCCAAAGTGGTAAATTAAAGATAAACATATAGACTCCTCACCAAAGATATGCCAATGGCAAACAGGCACATGAAAAGAGGCTCCACACCATATATCATCAGGGAAACGCAAATTACAATGAAAGACATCACTACACACCTATTGGGATGGCCAAAATCTGAAACACTCCCAACACCAAATGCTGGTGAGGCTGTGGAACAAAAGCTCTCACTCACCGCTGGTGGGAAAGCCAGAGTACAGCCACTTTGTAAGATAGCTTGGTGGTTTCTTACAAAACTTAGCATACTCTTTCTGTACAATCCAGCAGTCACACTCCTTGGCATTTACCCAAAGGGTTTGAAAACTTATGTCCACATAAAAATCTGCACATGAATATTTCTGGCAGCTTTATTCACACTGCCCAAACCAGGAGGCAACCAAGAAGTCCTCCAGAAGGTGAATGGAGAAATAAACTGGTATCTGTCCAGGCAATGGAATATTACTTATTGCTAAAAAGAAATGAGCTATTAAACCATGAAAAGACAAGGAAGAGCCATAAATGCATTTTACTAAGTGAAAGAATCCAATCTAAGATGACTACTTACTGTGTAATTCCAACTGTGTGACCTTCTGGAAAAGAAAAAACCACGGAGATAGTAAAAAGATCGGTGGTTGCCAGGGAGGAGGCAGGGAGACAGATGAATGGGTGGAGCATGGAGGATTTTTAGGGCAGGAAAATACTCTGTATGATATTTTGATGATGGGTTTGTACATCTGTCCAAACCCACCAAATGGACACTATCAAGAGGAAACCCTGAGGTAAACTACATGCTTCAGCTGATCATGATGTGTTAGCACAGATTCATCCTCGGTAAAATCTATAGAATACTTGTGAGTGATGTTGACAATGGGGGTGACTACACACAGGTGGGGCCCAGGGCATGTGGGAAATCTCAATTTTATTATAAATCTAAACTACTCTAAAAAAAATTCAAGTCTTTAAAAAAAAGATACACGTGAGCACTGAATGCCCCATGTGACTGTTCACCCAGCTTTCACAGGGCCTCTAGATTTGTAGGGATCTACTCTTAATAATAAAATAAGCTTGCAGAGCCAGGTAAGTTTATTTTTTTAGCTGTGGTAAGGAAGGAAGATCCTTGGTCTTGGGGTCATGAGTTCAAGTCCCATGTTGGGGGAAGTTTACTTAAAAAAATAAAGGAGCATTAAAAAAAATACGACAAAATAAAATAGGAAAAGGATACTTCTCAGAAGAAAGCTCTATAAATGGCTAATAAGCACCTGAAAACATGCTTAATATCATTAGTCATCAGGAAAAGGCAAATTTGGGATCCCTGGGTGGCGCAGCGGTTTGGTGCCTGCCTTTGGCCCAGGGCATGATCCTGGAGACCCAGGATCGAATCCCACGTCTGGCTCCCGGTGCATGGAGCCTGCTTCTCCCTCTGCCTGTGTCTCTGCTACCCTCTCTGCATCTCTCATGAATAAATAAATTAAAAAAAAAAAAAAGGAAAAGGCAAATTAAAGCCATAATGAGATACTACCACTCATCAAATTAGATAAAATTAAAAGGACTGACTATATCAAGTATTGGTGAGGATGTGGAGACTGGAAGTCATATACTGAAGGAGGGAATGTACAATGGTACACCCACCTCAGGAAAAAGTTTGGCAATTTCTTAAAATGTTAAACATAAATTCACCATAGAACCTGATCTTTCCACTATTTATTTACCCCATAAAAACAAAAATATATGTCTACACAAAGACTTAAAATAAATGTTAATGGCAGCTTTATTTGTAGTAGTTCAAAGATATAAAAAGCCCACTGGACAGAAGGAAGGATGGATAGATAGACTGATCAATCAACCAATCAATTGTGGTACATCCACACTGGAATAGCACTCTGCAATGAAAAGAAGCAGACTATCGATACAGACAACAGGGATGAATCAGAATCCTTTGCAGAGTGAAAGAAGACAGGCAAAAAGGAGTACGTACTGTAGGATTCCATTTATGTAAAATTCTAGACAGTATTTACACTGACCAAATACAGTCCATGGTGGCCCGAGGACAGGAGTGGAGAAGCAGGCAGAAACCCAAGGGGCATGAGGAGACCTCCGCGTTGACAGAAATGTTTATCGTGGTTGTGATGATGGTCTTCCTGATATACACACGTCAGAATTCACCAAGTGTTCTACCTTAAATACATACAGTTTATTATGCTCCAGTTATATCTTTAAAAGTTATGAAGAGAAAAAGATTAAGAAACAGATAAATCATACAACTCTGCCTTACTTTAAAGATACAAAATTTCTTTCACATAACAACACAGCAAAAAGATTGGCCATCGGCATACCATTCCTGACGACCAAAAGAAAATATTCCCAGTAAGCAGGCAGTTCTAGTCCACGTTCATCCATGAGGATATCCACCTCAAGTGGCTGCCAACCAAAACCCCAAAGGAAACCTAACTGGCCTTGACCTCTTCGTAAAAATGTAAAAAGCTCGGTGTAGTTAGTGTACTGGCGTCAATTTAGGGAAACAGTCAAAACTTATGTATTGAAAGCTCAGTAAAGGTGTGGGAACCACTTGCCTGAAAGTGTAGTTTCCTGGAACCAGGTTAGACAGACGTAAGGTGGGGGAATCAGCTGGGGTCTTCTCCTCTTGGAAGGGGCCATTAACTTCTTCCCAATGATAACTCACGATTTTATTGTCATCTGTACTTTCTAGGGAGATTTAAAAATACATGGAGACCAGAATGAAATGCAAGAACAGTAAAACAAAATTTATAATTTATAGTCCTCATGCTTAAATTTGTTTTTGCATGAAATTGCGGAATTATATAGATTTCAATGGAGATGTATTATGTGCTAGCAGGAGGATTTTTCTTCTTCCTAAACCATCATCACCATTTTCCTCCTGAATTTCCACCAGATTTGGGTGAGGCTGCTTTCACTCAGCTGTGAATTTTAAAAAACAGTGACAGGCACTATTGCTTTTTTAAAAACAGGAATCAAGGGGCACCTGGGTGGCTCAGCAGTTGAGCATCTGTGTGATCCTGGGGTTCTGGGATAGAGTCCACATCAGGCTTCCCCTGCAGGGAGCCTGCTTCTCCTTCTGCCTACATCCCTACCTCTCTCTGTGTGTCTCTCATGAATAAATAAATAAAATCTTTTTTAAAAAAAGAGAGAGATGCTTATGTATAATTTATCATACCCCTTTTACTACCCTCATCATTAAGGTGTAAATCTAGAGAAAGGTATCCTACAAGAAAACTTCCCTTTCCTGTGCTAAAAAGAGAGCAAATGAAATATGCTCCATACAATCACAGAGACTGAGACCTGGAAGAGAGTCAGCTGCATCTCACTCAGTTAAAGAACTAGCTTGTGTGACAGCTTAATAATCCCAGACTCCTGTCCTAAGCCATCCTGCATTAGAGAAATCAAAATGTGGTACATTTCCCCATGTAAATATTTTCATCTAAAATATGCTTTGTTTTCATGTTGTTAAGGGGGAAATGTGGATATTTGTATTTGAATAGGCAAAAACGATGTCAATATAATTTGTGTATATTTGCAGACTTGCAAAATGGAGCAGCATTAGCAACCGACAATTACCCTTTACTCCAGAGAATCTGGTATTAGCTTTGTGGTTAAATGTACACAAACGCAAATACCAGCCACACTGCGACTGAACATACTTTGTCACATGTCTATATCTATCTATATCAATGTAGTCAATTTCCATCTATTCTTGTTTGCATGGATGCCTGGAGTCACACAGGGGCCCCTTCCACATATAAGAGAACGAATGAACTCTGATCAAATTAACAAAACACTACCAACCCTCGATGAAGGCAACCCTCCTCATTTTGTTAAAGTGATTTTCCAGTTGCTCATCACATATACTAGATGAAAAGGAAATTCTCTAAGAATTGCTTTAATTCCAAACCAAATAGCGAGGCCCTAAAGAAGTTTTGTGGACAAGTGGGACATAACCGATGGCAAGATGAACATTGGACAAAGCTGTGAGCCACATGCCCAATGAGGGAGACACTGGGCATCGGCGTGAGTGTGCAAGCCCTCCTGGCCTCATAAAGAACACCAGGAAGCCTTGCAGCACGTGGGGCGGAGAGACTTTGAAGTGCCACAGATACCCACGGCTGCCGTCGATGAGGGCGGACGTCAAAGGCAGGGTGAGCACTTGCGTCTGGGGAGACACAACAGCCGTGGGGGGCAGGTTGACTCTTCTGGCTGTGTGACAGGAGAAAGGGACACTGACTGAGCCTGTCAGGTGTGCACAGATCATAACCCCGATAAAAGCACCTGCCTTTTAAAAGTTGGTTATAGCCCCGTCCCGGAGGACAGAGCTGCAACAACCTTCCCGTGCGGGCGAAAGGGTCTCGCAGGGAGTTGGAGCAACCCAGGAGGGCTGGATGGCCCTCGGGCTCCCGGGACACTAACAGACACCTGCGAGCGCAGGAAGTGCGCCGAGCTCCCTAAGGGCTGCAGCGCGCACGGCGGGACCGGACCGGAGCAGCTCGGAGGGGCTCGGGAGCGGCTCCAGGGAGGGATCTGCGGGGCGGGAGCGCGAATCCAACAGCGCAGGCCCCAGAAAAGGCACGGGCGCCGGGAACACCAGCCCAGGATCCCGCCTCCCCCTTGGACAGGCAGAGGCCCGGTAGGGCCCAGGACCGCGATGACGCACCTGCCCCGACTGAGTCAGATCAGCGGCCCCCGCCCGTAGCCTCCAGGCCCCTGCAGACGGATAACCAGGAATCCCCGAGCCCCGTTGTTTCCTCTGAGCTGAATCCAGGCTTCAGAGTTGCCATAGCAACTGCGGCTGATCCTCCCGGGGCCCACGGGGTGAACAAACCCCCGCTGAGCCCTGCAGCAGGCAGGGCATAAAAAAGAGCAGCTCCCCACGTGCTAACACCTGAGAATCAGTCACAGCAGGCCCCTCCCCCAGAAGACCAGCTAGACGGACCAGTGATACTCCCCCGTGTTCCCAATACAACTTGTTTTATGCCCTCTGCCACTGAGGCAAAATGAGCTAGAAGGAAAACCTCAGCTCAAATGAAAGAATCAGAAACAGCCCTGTCCTCCCACAGAGTTATCAGAATCTGGATTACACTTCAATGTCAGAAAGCAATTCAGAAAGCACTAATCTACACTACTGTGGCTCTAGAAAAAAAGCATTAAGGACTCACGAGACTTCATGACTGCAGAATTTAGATCCAATCAGGCAAAATAAAAATCAATTGAAATGAGATGCAATCCAAACTAGAAGTCCTAACGAACAGGGTTAACGAGGTGGAATAACGAGTGATTGACATAGAAGACAATTGATGGCAAAGAGGGAAACTGAGGAAAAAAGAGATAAACAATTAAAGAACCATGAAGACAGATAAGGCAAATAAATGAACTCTAAGTATGAAAAAACCTACGTTTTAATTGGGGTTTCCCGAGGGCGCCAAAGTGGACAGAGGGCCATAATATGTATTTGAACAAATCCTACTGAAAACTTTCCAATCTGAAGGAAACTGCATTCAGACCAGGAAAATAGAGAGATCCCCCCCCTAAAATCAATAAAAAACCGTGTTCAACCACCTCGACATCTAATAGTGAAGCATGCAAATTCCAAAGATAAAGAGAAGATCCTGTAAAGCACAAGAGACAAGAAGTCCCTGACTTTTCATGTGGAGGGAATATAATGGTAACAGCAAGACCTCTCCACAGAGACGTGGCAGGCCAGAAAGGGCTGGCAGGATATATTCATGGTCTAAATGAAGAAGAACATGCAACCAAAATACTTTATCCCAGCAAGGCTCTCCATTCAGAATGGAAGGAAGATAAAGAGCTGTCCAAGACAGGCAGGAACTGAAAGAATATGTACCTCCAAACAGCTCAGTCAAGAAATTTAAGGGGGACTCCTTAAAACTCCCTTTTAAGAAGAAGTTCAGTGGAACAAACCACAAAAACAGGACAAAAATAGGATATCCATGATGACACTAACTCTATCAGTCAATAGTAAACACTGAACGAGAATGGCTTAATGACCCCATCAAAAGGCGCAGGGTTTTTCAGACTGGAAAAAAAAGCAGGACCCATCAATTGCAGTCCTACAAGAGACACATTTTAGACAGAAGGACACCTACAAACCTGAAAATATATGGTTTAGAGAACCATTTACCATCAAATGGTTCTCAAAAATACCCTAAAAAACTATAAACACTTCTGAAAGAAATTGAGGAAGACACAAAGATATGAAAAATATTCATGCACATGGAATGGCAGAATTAATATTGTGAAAATGTCAGTGTTACCCAGGGCAATTGTACACGTATAATGCAATCCCTATATATACCATGGACTTTCCTTCAGAGACTTAGAACAAATTATTTTAAGATTTGTGTGGAATCAGAAAAACCCCCAAACAGCCAGGGGATTTTAAAAAAGAAAACCGTATCTTGGTGGCATCACAATGCCAATTTCAGGTTGTACCTACAAAGCTGTGTTCATCAGACAGTGTGGTACTGGCACAAAAACAGACACATAGATCAATGGAACAGAATAGAGAACACAGAAGTGACCCCGAACTTTATGGTCAACTAATATTAAGATAAAAGGAGGAAAGACGATCCACTGGAAGAAGACACTCTCCTTCCATAAAATGGGCCTGGAAAAATTGGAACCTCCACATGCAGGAATAATGAAACAGGACCACTCTCGTGCACCATACACACAAGATAACTCAAAATTAGAATGAAAGATCTAAATGTAGACTAGGATTCCATCAAAAACCCAGAGGAGAACTCAGGCAACACACCTTTTTGAACTTGGCCACAGAACCGGAGAAGGACAGTGTAATGTTCTCATTCATTTGGGGAATATGAAAAATAGTGAAAGGGAATATAAGGGAAGGGAGAAAAATGTGTGAGAGAAGATCAGAAAGGGAGACAGACATAAGACTCAAACTCTGGAAATGAACTAGGGTTGGTGGAGGGGGAGGAGGGCGGGGGTGGGGGTGAATGGGTGACGGGCACTGAGGGGGACACTTGACGGATTGAAGCACTGGGTGTTATTCTGTAAGTTGTTAAATTGAAACATACCAACCAATAAAATTAATTTATAAAAAAAAAAATAAAAATAAAAAAAAAATAAAAAAATAAGTTGGTAATAAACCATCCTGTCAAGAAGGCGTTTATCCTATAGGCCTCCGCTGTGGAGACTACCTCCAACAGTTTCAGAACCTTCCTATGAAGGTTGAGGAGCCTGTCTGCAGATTTACATCTTGGCAGGCAAGTCCCAGCCCAGGGGATTAGTATGTATGTATTAGTATTAGTGTGTACTAATAACCAGGGCTTCCTCACGTAGCCTGAGCAGGAACTGCAGACACAGAGCAGAGGAGCACACTTCCAGCTCCTGCCATGGACAGCTGGGTCTGAAATCTTTGACGCAGGCACCCCCTACTACCCACACTGAACTCTGGCTGGAATAACACTCGGGCAGAATGTGCTGAAAGGGAGCGTGGAGCCTCAGAGGTAACAGCTGGGAGGAAGCGCTGGCACAGAGGAGGCCTGCCTCCAACTGGACAGGTTGTGGCCACCCAAATGACAAAGGGCCCCCTGCTTCTAATTCCTATAAACGCACTGGCCTGTGGGCTAGTGGCAGCCTGCAAGCCCAATGCATACATTCCCCAGCACCCATGGAAGGGGAGACTGAGGCGAGGGGAAGGGAGATGGAGTAGTGACGGGAGCAGAGGTTGGCACATGGCTACCCCCTGACCTGGTACCCTTAAATAGCAGCATTGAGCAAGTACTAAGAATTACACAGAATGCAGAAAGGGGTGGGGGGAGGCATAATCACTGCATATTTTCTCTAGAGTAGAGCCAAACATAAAAATAAAAGATACAATATCATTCTGGCACCAAAAACAGATGTAAACCCATACAACACAAGGCCATTCTCTCACACAGGCTTACCTGGCTTAACAGTGACATTGACAAATCCTTCTCCAAAGGCATTCTCACTAGAAACTGCTACTTTGAAGGCATAAAGTCCCGCTGACAACTGCAACATAAAGAAAAGTTTCAGGGGTAAACATGCTAAGGACATGATAGGTCCATTGCCTAGAAAGTCCTAAAATCTTCCAGAAACCGTTCTCCTGAACTAAGCACAGCAAAGGGTCTTAGGAGAAGGTCTCATCTGGAGCTGTGCAGACATTGCCACGTGTTTGAAGCCAGGGCCCTGGCACACTGGAAATCACCCCAAAAAGCCCACAGCCTTGTCACAGATGCTCACGGACCACATAAGTGGGGTGGACCTGCTGAGGGTAGCAGTCCATAAATTGGCTGTCAGTGGTCTGGCACTCAGAGAAGCGGAGCACGGTGGTTGTAGGAGCTCGCGCTGCACCCATGGCTGTGTGGTCTCAGGACCAAAGACAAAATGATCATCAGGTGGGAAACCAGATCCCTAGTAGCTAAGTCAGTTTCTTGATCCTTATGATCCAGGAAGGGGACGTGTTTGAGGGGCTTCCCTCTTGGAGCAGTATCTGATAGCCAAAGCATTTGTGAGCTGGAACGGAATTACTGGCAGCTCTAGAAATATGCCTACTTGCTTGAGAAGCAGACGTAACCAGAACGTCTCTACCACTAAAAAGACAATGGGACTTAGAACACAGGCTTTGCAACCTCACCACAGAAACCCTTGGGCAACCAGTCTCCTTTATCCAAGCTGATAAGCCAAGTAATTAAAATAAAGAAAAGCTATCTGAAAGTTTCCTTCTTTCAACATTTGCCTGTCTACATGGTTGAAACTATGGTTGAAACTTTATTCATTTATAACCTTCTTCTGATCTTAGTCATAAAACAGATTTCAGGGCTCAACAGCTAAAGTGTTAGCTGAATTCTATGATGTGCTGTCCGAGACAATCAGTCTGCAGTTACTTACTTGAGAGAGATTAAGAGTTTGCATGTGCCTTTCTTTTATTTCATCTCGGTAGTCTTCAGGGTGGCGCATTAAACTCCATTCATAGCTGTATGCGGTTTCTGAGAGCAAAAAAGAAATATGAGTAATCATAAATTTGGAAAGGTTGTTTTAACAATCTGGGCAGATGGAAGAGGATGACAGCCCTGACCCCAGCAGAAGGGACAGCTGAGATATTCTGAACTCTGCTTTCAACTGTCATCCAGGTAAAGAACTGTGAGATTTCTCTATCCTTTTAACGTAAAATTTGTTTTATTAGAAAAACACACAGCTTATGGAAAAACTCATGAAATGTAGAAACTGAAAAAAAAAAAAAAAGAAAGAAAGAAAAGAAAAGAAAACCATCTCCCTGCTCTTAAATTTACCATTTGATGACTTTCCTTTCAGGCTGACTATATATTTACATATAAATTTCAACTACAGTATAATCCATTGTTCTTTTTTCTCCTTTTAATAAAAGGCAAGGAGATTTCCATACATTTCATCTGTTGCGGGGGTTTCTTTAAGGACACAAAAACGGGTTAAACCTCTGAACGAAGACGAGAATGTCTCCTACCATGAGATGCTACTAATTCAGGTGTGGAGTGCCTCAACTAACAGGATTAAAGGCAAATGCCAAATATCATCTCTGCTGAAATGTCGACCCATAGGTGATAGAGGGGAAAGCAAATGAGGGAATTAACCTGAACGAGAAACATTCAACATTTTAAGAACGAATATACTTTAGGAAAAAATGCCTTTGGCTGCTCAGGGGAAGAACTCAAATGTTTGCTTCTGGACAAGCAGAAGAAAGGGCATTTTGAATGAGCACTGGGTGTTATACTATATGTTGGGAAATCGAACTCCAATAAAAAAATATACAAAAAAAATAAGTTAAAAAAAAAAAAAGAAAGGGCATTTTGAGCAACATATTTCGAAGAGCTGGTGCGAGGCATCCTGAGAACCTCAGAGCCCCGCTGTCAACACCAGAACATCTGTAAACAGAGCTTGGGGCACATGCCCCACGCCCTCTCTCCTCAGGGTAAAATCTTCCCACGCCTTCTGGGTGACCACAGGTCAAACTCTGGAATGTGGAAACCTCTCCAGCTCTAACACATCCCTTGCTTTGCATCCTCAGAAATGCATGACCTTCCGTCCTGACCAATTACAGGATATGTCCTGTATTTCATTTCCCATACTCTTCCTCTAGTTTGGACTACTTCAGTGAGGTTTAAGGCTTAGGACCACCAAAGCCTCGCCACCACTCCCGACCCTTCAGTGAGGACTTCACACAGTGTTGTTCAAGTGAACCTGTGCAGTAAATAACCAGCAAAGACTGGTGAAGAGCAACCCAGCTACCTGGCCTCTGGTGTCACAAAGGAAAACCAAACCCTTACCTGCAGGTAGGGCTGACACAACAAAAGCCTTCAGCTCCACTTCATTTTCAGGTAAAGTCAGTATCAGGTTATCTCCAGCAGACACCACGAGCTCTTGTGCTATGAGTTGATTAGACATAGTACAGTCCTTTACACACAATGATGCTATTATATTACTGCCCCGTGATAGATTTGTTTTTAGATAAGACAAAATAACATCTCTCTTTATAGTAGTTCTCCTCCCTCTGATTTTATCTAAGACACTTCTTTCCTCTGGCTAGTAACCTACCACGACCCATATTATGCTGCAGGGCAAATTTCATAAATTTTAAGTCATCTGTGTGAGTTGACAAAGGGAAGAAAATCGCAATTTGGATTGACTGAGCACAGTGTTGGGTAATAAGGTTTTTGGAAGAACAGGTCGGGTACTATAAGTTGAGCCTCTTCTTTCTCTTACCATCATTGCCTGACTCCGTGGTATGTGCTACTTTCATTAAAAAATTGAGTGTAATCCTAAGTGTTTCTGTATCATTAGTCACATACCACTCAGTTCTGTTAGCAGCCTCGTGAATCACCACTGATGGCCTCGCTCCTGGAACCTTTCCAAGAGAAAACCCAGTCAACCTCCATAAAAAAGGCGATTTTAACTCAGGCAGCGGAGACATTCACTCTCATCAAAAGCACTTATCCACTATATCAGCACTCAGAACAAGGTTCATTTACCTCCTCTGTAAGCAGCAGAACACTGATGTATTATTCAATTGGCATGATGTAACTGGACATTAGTTTCACTTATAAAATACAATTGAGATATGTCAAGATATCACACAGATATCACACAGAGAAAAGCACTGAAGAGCTCCCATTCTGTTTTGTCTTAAAGCAGAGTGCTCCTCAGAGGTCTCGGCTACTTGGAGGTGTCAGGGGGCCATGTGGCTCACTTACAACTGATCCTCTCCTTTCAGTACCCTGTCCTTCCAGAGCCTTCCTGGACCACCTGCAGGGGCCTCCTTGGCCTCTCTGGCTCCTCTTTCCCATTACTTCCATGGACTCTGTGCCCTGAAAGTCAGTAACCGTGGACGCAGAGGGGACACTGGTCCCAACCTATCATTTCATCCTAAGTGTTTCTGTATCATTAGTCACACACCATTCAGTTCTGTTAGCAGCCTCGTGAATTACCACTGATGGCCTCGCTCCTAGAGCCTTTCCAAGAGAGAACCCAGTCAACCTCCATAAAAAGGTGATTTTAACTCAGGTGGTGGAGACATTCACTCTCATCAAAAGCACTTTTCTGCTAAATCAGCACTCAGAACAAGGTTCAGATGAGGCAACTGAGCTCAGAAAGGCCAAATAATTGTTCAAAGTTATATTAATAATTAGCAAAAATAGACCCACCAATATTTAATTAATTTAAATGTATTGATTTCAACAAACACACATAGCAGATGACACTATGCCAGGCTCGGTTCTAAGGACGTTAAAAAATGATTACTTCATCTAACCTTCTACTAATTCCATGCAGTAGGTCCTATTAGAACCCAAGGATCCTATATCCCAGGCTGGTTTCCTTTCCAAAATACCACACAGTTCTCTTCTGCCATTACCTTTCTCTGTACTCATGCTTAGGGTAAAAGTAATTGAACAAGGCAGAGAGGGCTATCCCCAAAGCATGTCAACCACAGAATGGCTTTGGAAACAAGGTCTCTAGTACCTCCTTTATTAGTAAACCTAATGGGAGCTCATCAGTGCCTGTCATGATCTCTGCAACCCCTGGGTTCCTTCATGACATCTTTCTACCTGGAAGTATTCTTTCTGTCCCTCAGTGCATGCCTCCTCTTGATGCCCTCCTCTCTGGCAAGGCCACTCAGCCTGCCCCATAAGTTCCTTTGGGTCTCCCAGCTCCTTATGTTAAGACGTTCCCAATGATCCTCCTGAGGCCTCTCCCCAGCTCACCCATTGCCCTCCCTGGAAGGTCCCATGTGTGCCCTACACCCTCACTTATCACCTCTATGCTGATGACTCCCGATCCTTTATCTTCATTCAGCCCATTGGTCATCTAATGTCCAGTCCCACACACTCATCTATCTCAGAGTCCCCTGTCTTTCATCCTGCCATTGAGCCATTCATCAAATCCTAATGATTCCAGCCCCCAGACATCTCTTGAATGTTATTTCTCTCCATCCTTGCAACCACTCCCTCTAGTCCTTATGGATCTTCTTGTCTCCACTCAACTCCATATTATTTTCTTGAAAACACATCTGATCAGTTTGTTTTCCTGCTTAAAATCATTCAGAGAGGGGCACCTGGGTAGCTCAGGGGTTGAGTGTCTGCCTTTGGCTCAGGGCATGATCCTGGGGTCCTGGGATCAAGTCCCACACTGGGTTCCCCACAGGTAACCTACTTCTCCCTCTACCTGTGTCTCTGCCTCTCTGTGTGTCTCTCATGAATAAATAAATAAAATCTTTAAAAATAAAATCATTCAGAGATTCTCTATACTTACCCAATAAAGCATAAACTCCTTAGCACAGACTGCAGATCTTTCAAAATCTTGTCCTGCTTACCACTCTAGATCCATACTTTCCCTCTCACTCACATGATTTGTTCCAGCCACACTGACTTCCTAACAGCTCTCCCAAAACGTCACACAAGCCCTAGTACTTCTGTTCTCTTGCACAGGCAGTGGATGAGGTGATGGCTGGGAAATGCTGAGCCCTGTACTCAGTAAGTGTTCACTGAACAGAATTATCATTATGGTTATTACACACTGTGCTGCCTTGACCTGAACAACACACCGACCCCCATTTTTAATTGGCTTGCTGTATCCTGGCATTATCACTCTGGAAAGGCTTTCCTGGCCTTCAAAGGTCAAGCTGGGTTTCTCCCTCCACTCCCACAGCAGCCTGTCCCAGCACTTACCACATGATACGAAAACCCTGTTATTCTTATTTCCTGCACTACAGATCACTGAGGGAAAAGACAATGTCTGTTCATCTATTCATTCCTGGTGTGGAGCACCATTTCTAGCACTGGGGAGAGGCTTGAAGATGTGCCTGGAGGGAATGAGCAAACTTTATAAAGTTGTAGCTACTCTACTCCATAGCATGATTTGTACTTTTCTCCCAGCTATACTGTTCTTATAGTTACCTGTCCCAGGAGCAGTGGGCGGAGATTCAGGTTGCTGGGATAGGGTAGGCTCAGCAGGGACGAGGCTAGTGGGAAGGGTCATGGCACCATGCTCTGGGCGCCACGTGGGGACTGTGAGAGGTGGGTTCTCCTCTGTGGAGGCTGGGCTGAACTCCAGTCTGGCTGGAGGATCATAGGACAGCATGAGACCCTAGGAGATCAATCACAAAAACACATTGTTACCAAAAAAAAAAAAAAAGCAAAAAATGGTTGACCTCTTTGAGCAACACAATGTCACTGATCTTTTACATAAATGAGATTTGTGGCATTCAAAATACCGTATCTAGGGACGCTTGGGTGGCTTACCAATTGAGCGTCTGCCTTCGACTCAGGGAGTGATCCCAGAGTCCCGGGATTGAGTCCCACATCAGGTGCTTTGCAAGGAGGCCGCTTCTTCCTCTGCCTGTGTCTCTGCCCTTCTCTATGTGTCTTTCATGAATAAATAATGAAAATCTTAAAAAAAAAAAAAAACTCATATCTAGTATCACAAAACACTAGAAGTCTGGACCATCTCTCTCTTTTCTTAAGATTTATTTATTTATGAGAGAGAGAGAGCATGTGCACACACACATGAGTGTTGGGGGTGCAGAAGAAGGAGAGAGAATCTTAAGCAGATTCCACACTGAGCACAGAGCCTGAGGCAGGCCTGGACTCCAGAACCCTGAGATCATGACCTGAGCTAAAACCACGAGCTGGACACTTAACTAAGCCACCCAGGTGCCCCAAGACCACTTCTCTAAAATAATCTCTCTGCTACCCATTAAAAATTTAAGAAAACGGGGCACCTGGGTGGCTCATTGGTTGAGTGTCTGCCTTCAGCTCAGGTTGTGATCCCAGGGTCCTGGGATTGAGTCCTGTATCAGGCTCCCTGGAGGAAGCCTGCTTCTCCTCTGCCTATGTCTCTGCCTCTCTGTCTCTCATGAATAAATAAATAAATAAATAAATAAATAAATAAATAAATAAATAAATAAATAAATAAATAAAATCTTAAAAAGAAAAAAAGTAAGAAAATTGTAGGTTGGACAATTATAAGTGAACATACACATGCCATCACTTGAGATGAAAAGAGAAAATAACCGTAGTAAGCCCCCAAACTAGTAAATAAGACAAAAACTGAATCAATCAGATAATTCAACAACCAGGCTTCTAGAGTAAATGATATCTATTTGTACCCTCTACTGAGTATATATTGTAACAGGAAGTTAGAGTAACAGCCAACTTAGTGTTTTTGTTTTGTTTTGTTTTGTTTTTTAAAGATTTATTTCTTTATTTGAGGTGGAGTCGGGGCAGAGAGAGATGTGGAGAGAATCCCAAGCAAGCTCCATGGTCAGCTCAGAGCCTGATGCAGAGCTTGATCCCACAACCCTGAGATCAAAACCTGAGCCAAAATCAAGAGTCAGACATTTAACAGACTGGGCTGCCTAAGCACCACAGCCAACTTTAAGTTTTTAAATTGAGTATTCTGTGCCATAGAGGAAAGTCTCATAAAATGATAATAAAATGCTCTTCTGAGCCTCATCTGCCAGTGGGCCAGGTGAGTAAAAGTCATGCTCAGGACAAAGAAGACCCAAGGGGGAAGGTGCCATGAGAAATCCATAGAAAGAAAGCTATAAGTGAAATGTAAATCAGGGGATGCCTGGATGGCTCAGAGGTTGAGCACCTGCCCCTGGCGCAGGGTGTGATCCGCGGTCTCAGGGTCTCAGGATTGAGTCCCACATCAGGCTCCCTGCCTAGAGCCTCCTTCTCCCTCTGCCTACATCTCTACCCCCCCCCTCTGTCTTTCGTGAATAAATAAAATCTTAAAAAAAAAAAAAACACCTGGTAGTGGGTTATAGGAAAGGAAAAATAATTTTTCTTCTGCCCTTCTAGTTCTTTGGCTGAGACCACCACTCTCCAAATAAAAAGGCAGATTAACAGAAGAAAAACAAATTTAATTATGTGTATACAAATGTATGTGCAGGTGCTCCATAAAGATAGGAGATGCAGAGGAATGACCAAAACAAAATATTTAATATATTTTAGACAAAGAAACAATAGATTTGTGAAGAATTGATAAGACAAAGGGGTTTGAACTTCTGATAGTTAGTGGTGAAGAAGTAACAAGGTTATATAGTCTCCTCTCCCCCAAATCCCTGTCTCTGGTGACATGCCTCCCCTAAATCCCCTCCAGGTACAGGGAGGCTACCTTTCACATGAGAGACTGCTCTCCTGCTTTCCAGGGGACAAAAGCAGATTATCCTTCCTGCACCGCTGCTTCTTAGGTGCCGTGTTTGGGGATGACAATCTGAACCCCTACAGCGTCTACCATAATTTTAAGATGCTTGGTTTCTTTGAGGTTTCAGACATCAAGGTTTGTAAAGTGCATGCTGATATAGGAGACCTCACTGCATCTGTGCTGAGAACACTATGAGGTTCAGAATCCCTGCAAACCAGAGCTCCAGAACAGGTGTTTGCAACATATTATAGTGGAACCTCTGTAGAGGCTGCTTTGGGGCAAGCAACTTGACCATCAGAAACCTGAGAAAGGTAGCAGGACTCACAGTCACCCCAAACCCCTGTCGGCTGATATCCATAAGCCCTAGATGACCAATGGGCTACTTACACCCAAACACACATACCAAATGGGGAACACTGCATGCATCCCCCATGTCCTCACCTTCCCACATAACCAGCCCCCACCACTGCCTCATGGCAGTCCTCTCTGCTTTGCCATCCTGCCTGCTGCTCCCTTGCAGTGTATTCAATACACTACTATCTCCTTTGTTCTGCCCTGGGTGAGTTCCTCCACCAACCATGCCACCGGCCTCCAGCCTATATCAGCTTGCCCATTTGGTGGCCCCCTCCCTCACCCATCCGATCAAGAGACCCCACAGCCTCTGTAAACTCCACAAGATAAACCAGATTTTTTAGTTTGAGAGTCTTGAAAAACTACTACCAAGATGAAATAAAAAATGGTCTACAGACAGTGGTAGGAAACATTAGAGTGCCTCTCCAAGGGTTCACAGCCACCAGGTCATGGCTGATGGGATGATGACTGCCCTCGTGCCTCCTGTGCAGACCACTTGCTTTCCCACTATGTGGCCTCTCTGGGTTGGATGGGAATGCCAGGTCTCCACTCACCCTTGGGCCCTGCCTCCATGAGCTCCAGAGAGAGCTCCTCGCTGAGCTATCAGTATGCAGGTCCTCCCTGACACACCCCACCCAGAGAACCTGGATCCCCCACGGAAGCCATGGGCACCCTCGCCCCCCATTTCAGCCTTCAGTTCACAGCCTGGCTTGGTCAACAAGAGTCTCAGATGCCTCCTTTCTTTTTTCTACTCTAACTACTCTAAAACAACTTATCAAAAGTCTGGTCTTGCCCACTTGAAAACAAAACTGTAGGAAACATCGTTTATCCTCTACAAATTTAATCTGGATTTGTTTCAAATTTCTTGACTGTGTCCTATTCAGTTTATTTTATGAATAATGCTATGTGTCTTTCTATGTACAGATATTTTTGTTCCTATTGAGTAAACTTAGAGGTTGAATGGCTGGGTTATATGCTAAGTCTATGTTTATCTTTTTTTTTTAAGTTTTTGCTTTTTTTAAAAAAATTTTTTAAAGAGAGAGCGCTTGGGTCACTTGGGTGGCTCAGTGGTTGAGCATCTGCCTTCAGCTCAGGGCGTGATCCTGGAGTCCTGGGGTCCTGTGTTGGGCTCCCTGCTTCTCCCTCTGCCTGTGTCTCTGCCTCTCTCTCACTGTCTCTCATGAATAAATAAACAAAATCTTAAAAAAAAAAAAATAGAGCTTGCAAGAACAGGGGAGGAGGGGTAAGGGTGGAAGGGCAAAGGGAGAGGTCATCAGAATCCTAAGCACACTCTATCTCAAAGCAGAACCCTGGGCGGGGCTGGATCTCATGACCCTGAGAGATCACGACCTGAGCCAAAATCAGGAGTCTATTGCTCAAACAACTCGCTCAAACAACTGAGCCACCCAGGTACCCCAAGAATTTCATAAAATTTCTAGAACGCTTGTATACAAATACAACATAAAGAAAGCTTAGTATTAGTTAGGATTTAGTAATACTTCCCATGCCATTTAACACATCAAATAAGCCTAATTAGTTAACATCTCCCTTCTATAAAGAGGAAGAATAATTTTTTGGCATGATTTTCCAGGGACACTGGAAAATCTGAGTTAATTTGAGGTAAAAAAGGGATGCCTGGGTGGCTTAGCAGTTGGGTGTCGGACTTAGGCTCAGGGTGTGATCCCGGGGCCCAGAGATTGAGTCCCAAATTGGGCTCCCTGTGGAGCCTGCTTCTCCCTCTGCCTGTGTCTCTGCCTCTCTCTCTCTCTCTTTCTGTCTTTCATGAATAAATAAGTAAAATCTTAAAAAAAAATTGAGGCCAAAAGGATTGAGAACTTGATATTTGAAAGTTTGTCAGAAAATGTCAAAAGGTTTTAAAACACATTCAAATATTAAGTGAAGTAATACTTAGTAATCCATTTACCATAGTAGCAATTAAACGATTCCTAGGCAAATACAGAAAATTAAAAACAAAAACACCTTACCTCTTTTAATAGAGAGGATTTGGCTTTCTTATGTAACCGAAACACCTGATCAGGAAATTATTTTGACAAGATACAAGATCTTTGTTTCTTCTAGGCAGATTACTGAGAAATGTAAAGGAAAACCTTTCATAATCTCTTATCAAGAGCAAGCCAGTCATCTAAGAAACCTTTGTCCTTTCAACAAAGAAAAAATCAAATTCTAATTTTGCACTAATTTTACTTAAGATATTAAAACTCATTTAATTAGATTCATTCTAATCTTAGTCCTGATCACAGATAAAATTCCCTGCCCTTTTATTTCTAGTAATACTCCTAAGTAGCTTCTAATTTTAATCATGTATCTTTTTAACCCTTTTCTCTAAATTTTTCATGAAAATGAAGAAAGCAATTACTAACTTTTACATTAGCATCCTGTTCTTTGCTTTATAACTTCTAGAAACATGGGCTTTCTCATAGAAAATTTCTTAGTGTGGGATAAAATTTACTTAGTAATAGACCAAAATACCTTTAATCCTCCATGAAAGGAAGAAAAAATGGATAAACCTGTGTTCTGTAGTTAATGTTTCAGTATTTTACCTTATTAGGAAGTGATCTGGATGG